TGGTGTGAGAGTATGTGAAACGCACTGAGTGGTCTTTCAGATCACTTAGTCCTGACGTGGTGTCCTTTTCGCCTGTCGCTGGCTTCCGTGTGCCAGTATCTCACTGTTGTGTCTGCACCCGTGCTCAGGGGAGACTGGTTTGTATTTGTATTTCAGTGTCTGGAATCTGCCTGATGAAGTCACGCCCCGTGTGTTTTCTGAGAGGGTTTGTGTGGCATTTGCGTTACAAGTTTGCAGAGTTAGTACCATCGGACGCTTCAGTATTTTGGGGTCAGGCGATGTGGATTCCTGTGAGTCTTCAGAAGCTCGTTAAATTATAAGTTTATGCGAGGCGTGGAAACCTTCCTCCAATCGCCTTTACCATAATGTCTAACACTGTAGTTTTTGTTGTTGTTGTTGTTTTTTTTTTTTTAGGTTTATTTATTTATTTGAGAGGCAGAGTCACAGAGAGGTCTTCCATCCGCTGGTTCACTCCCCAAATGGCCGCTACAGCCAGAGCTGCACCGATCCAAAGCCAGGAGCCAGGAGCTTCCTCCGGTCTCCCACATGGGTGCAGAGGTCCAAGCACGTGGGCCATCGTCTACTGCTTTCCCAGGCCACAGCAGAGAGCTGGTTCGGAAGTGGAGCAGCTGGGACTAGAACCAGCACCCATATGGGATGCTGGTGCTTCAGGCCAGGGCTTTAACCCGCTGTGCCGCAGTGTCGGCCCCTATGTGTGCATCTAATTTCATTCTTCTACGTATATACATACATTTTTGCCAGCACCATTTGTTGAAGAGATTATCCTTATTCCCCTGTATGGTCTGAGCACTTTTGTCAAAAAGCAGTTGGCTGTATGCACATGGACTGATTTCTGGGCTCTCTCTTCTGTTCCATTGATCTATGTGGCAATTTTTATGCCAGTACCGTGCTGTTTTAATTACTATAGCTTTGCCGTATGCTTTGAGTCAGGATTGTGATGCCTGCAGCTTGACATGTCTTGCTCAGTATTGTTTTGGCTATTTGGGGTCTTTTGTGATTCCATATGAATTTCAGGATTTTTTCTAATTCTGTAAAGAATGCCACTGATATTTTTTAAAGATTTATTTTATTTATTTGAAAGACAGTTACAGAGAGAGGCAGAGACACACAGAGAGAGAGGGGTCTTCCATCCACTGGTTCACTCTCCAAATGGCTGCAACAGCCAGAGCTGTGCCGATCCAAAGCCAGGAGCCAGGAGCTTCCTCCAGGTCTCCCATGCAGGTGCAGGGGCCCAAAGGCCTGGGCCATCTTCTACTGCTTTCCCGGGTCATAGCAGAGAGCTGGATTGGAAGTGGAGCAGCCGGGACTAGAAGTGGCACCTATATGGGGTGGGATGCCAGCTCTGCAGGTGGCGGCTTTACCTGCTACCCCACAGCATTGGCCCCTCAACCATTTAAAATTATTTTCTTATTTAAGAGGCAGATAGACCAAAGAAGAGAGACAGAGTGCTCCCATTTGCTTGTTCACCCCCAAATGTATGCAATGGCCAGGTCTCAGCTGGGCTGAACCCAGGACCTGGGAGCTCAATGCAGGTCCCACCCATAGGTGGCAGGGACCCAGATGCCTCCTAGGGTGCACATTAGCAGGAAACTGGAACCTAAGTGGAGCTGGGACCGGAACCCAGGCACCTGTTTGAAGTGTAGAGTCGGGACCAGCCTTGTGGCATAGTGGGCTTAGCCTCCACCTGCTGTGCTGGCATCCCATATGGGTGCCGGTTTGAGTCCTGGCTGCTCCACTTCTGATCCAGCTCTCTGCTATGGGCTGGGAAAGCAGTAGACGATGCCCCAAGTCCTGGGGCCCCTGCACCCACGTGGGAGACCTGGAAGAAGCTCCTGACTCCTGGCATCAGATAGGCACAGCTCTGGCCGTTGTGGCCATCTGGGGAGTGAACCAGCAGATGGAAGACCTCTCTCTCTCTCTCTGTAACTCTACCTCTCAAACAAATAAATTATAAAAAAATAGGGGTACAGTCCTGTGACATTAAATAGCTTTCCATTGTTGGACAGCTTTGACCACGTGCATCTCCAAATCTTTCTCATCGCCCCAGACTGAAACTCAGAGCAGACCCAGCCCCGCGTCCCCCGGCCCCGGCCCTGGCATCCAGTGTCTGCCCTTGAGACACTGGGAACCCACACGACACAGCGCTTGTGCTCTGTGTCTGGCTCAACCCCCCGCGCACCCTGTCCTCCAGGTTCAGCCCCATGGGAGCGGCTGCCAGGTCTCCCTGCTTTGCAAGGCGGGGTAGAAGCCCATAAGGGTGGGCCACCTTCTGAGGACCCGTGCGTCAGCCTCCCACGTGGCCGTTACGAGCAGTGCTGCTCTGAGACGGGCCTTCGGGCACCTCTTCAAGCCCTGCGTTCGGGTCTTAGGGCACAGACGTACCCCACTCCCGCCATTCTGTGCTAATTCCCAGGGAACAGCCGGACCACTTTCCACGCGGCTGCCTCCCTCTGCATTCGTTACCAGCAGCAGGGCACGGGGGTCCCAATGCCCGCCCTCCCCCACCGCCCACACTTGCTGTTTCCTCTTATCTGCAGCGGCCGCCCTGGGGTGGGAAGCGTCCCCTGTGGTGCTGTGCCTGGGTTTGCCACAGCGGAGGCTGGGGGGGGGGGGCTCCGGAGGTGGGGCCAGGGCGGGGGTCACACTCGAGGTCAGCTCCCAGGTTCCCACGCCGGCCATCGGGGAAAGCTGTCTCGAATCCAGAGCCGAGTCTGTCTGTCCCTTTCCAGCGCTCTAGGCCCTGGGACGGGGGCGCCGTCAGGCCTGGAGGGAGAAGCCTTCCTCCGCTCTCCAACAGAGCCACCAAGGCCTGGGGTGACAGAGGGCGAGCCCCTCCCTGCCGCGTGACTCAGTCTCCCCAGCTGGAGCACTAGGCAGGTGGGGTCGGAGCAGTGGTTCTCAGCGGGGCGCCGTGCAGGGAGCTTCCATGGGCAGCTCCTGTTTCCCAGAGCGCCTGGTGATCCCGATCAGCTGATTGACAGAGCTCTCCCAGCCCCCGCCCCGCCCCTCGTCCCCAGTGCTGGGCTCTGTAGCTCCGGGGCAGAGGTGGGGGGGGGGGTGAGAGGTGGGGGGTGTGTGTGTCTGGATTTCCGGGTTTCTCACGAGCCCCGCAGGTGATTCTGAACATCAGGCACATCTTGGAAAAACATGGATCAGAGCAGCCCGTCTCCGGCCTTGCTGTGCCTGCAAACCACCGCGGGTCTCATTAAAAGGCCCCCTCCGACCCAGCGGGCGGGCGGCAGGGTGCGAGCAGGCCCTGCTAATGAGCTCCCAGGCACCCCACCTGCAGGAGCCGGGGACCAGGGTGTCCCCAGGCCCCCTCCTCCCCTCCTGAGGCGTCCCCAAGGCTGGGGCCCGCCCGGCGGCACACACAGCCAGTGAGTCTGCCCGGCTGCCCGGCTTTAGTGCTCTCCCTCTCCTGGCTGTGCTGTTGCAAATAAATCGCAGAAAACTCCAGGAGGGGACGGGGCGGGAGATGGCAGCTGGGCCGTCACGTGAGCCCGGACAGCTCCCAGCCTGAAGGACGGAGCTCCTGGGCGGAGCTTTCCCGGGGCGTGTTCCAGTGTCCCTTGCCAGGTGGGCTTCCCCCTCTTGCCGTGCAGGTCCCTCCCTGTAGGTCCCTGGCCTTCCCCTCCATCAACTCCGCAGCCTCAACAGAAGTGAAGCTCCTGTCTCTGCAGGAAGTCCCCGGGGGCAGGCTCTGCGCATCAGCCCCGCATCCTGATCCAATTCCTGCAGCCGGGGCGGCCCTGGCTCGGTTTGGCTGCCTCTGCTCCTCCCTTGTGCCCCAGCCCTGCAGCCCTGGGGAGAGTTAGTTCCCACCAGGCCCCAGGGCTGGGAGGGGTCGGGGGGCTTCCCGGGGGAACATCCAGGCCAGGGAGACAGTGAGCGTGAGAGCGGAGCTGGGACCTGGGGCGGCCCTGCGCTGCTGCCTCCTGGCCACCCGCCTCGGCCAGGTTCTTCCCAAACGTGAGCTTTGGGCTGGGACCAGTGACTCACAACCACAATCTCACAGGTGTCACCATTTGCTCCTAAAGTCCCAGGGCCTCACAGGACCCACAGGGGTCCCTGGGTGCCAAGCCCCTCCCAGGCGTTCTCCAAGGCACCGGATTCCAGGGACAAGGGCACTTTTTGGGGTGCCGCTGTGGCTGGTCCCTGGGGAGTTGGGGTCTGGGATCCCATCCAGCTTCAGGGCTTTCCCGTCATGTTCCGTTCCCCCAGGGAGTTGACGTGTGTGTGTGTGTGTGTGTGTGTGTGTGTGTGATGGAAGCAGGCAGGCAGGAGGTGGGGGGCTCAAGCACCCACTGCTTCTCCTGCCTGGGTGTTTCCCGAGCACCGGCCAGGGTGGAGACACTGGCTGGGGGCTGGGATGCTCCAGCAGGGGCAGGTGGCTCCTGGGCCCTGGAGGCTGTCCCTGGGGGACCTGCGCAGTCACCCTCCCACAGCCTCTGGAGAATTCCCAGGCTGTCTGTGGGGGATGGGCTTTGCTCCGTGATGTTTCCAAGCAGTGCCCGCCTGGGAAGATGCCCGTCCGGAGGGGAGGTGGGCTTTCCTCACGCTGAGAGGGGCTCTGGCCCAAGTCTCCTGGAAAGTGGAACCAACGCCAGGCTGTGGGCGCCCGGGGGTGTTTGCTGTCCGTGGTGCTGATGTCACCGCCATCGCTGTCCGCTCTGTCCCAGAACCCTGATGTCAGTGAGGACGCCTCTGTGCTGACTCTGCCCGAGCTGTGAAGTGCTGTTCTGGCTGCTGGGCTCCAGGTGCCAGGGGCGTCTCTGGTTGTCAGGGACGTGGCCCTGAGGACCTGCAGGCATGGGACACCTTGGCCTGCAGGGGGGGGTCTGGGCCTGGGCTGGCTTGGTTTCCACCGGAACGGGTATCCCCCGGCCCGAACCCTGGGTGATGGTGTGTGTGTGTGTGGGGGGGTGCTGCAGAACCCCAGGTGTGGGGGTCACAGGTGAGCTCTCGCCCCCTCCCCTCAGGGTCTTCTTCCTGAACGTGCCCCTGGACTCCGTCATGGAGCGGCTGACGCTGCGAAGAACGGACCCCGTCACAGGAGAGAGGTTGGTGCCGGGCTCCTGCCCCGGCTGGCCGCTGCCCTGGGGGACAGTGGCAGGGACGGCGCTGTGACCATGGCCAGGGCTCGTGGGGCTGGACTTCTGGGCAGTGCCTGCAAGAGTAACCAAGAATTGAATGTCCCAGGGCTGGGCAGCAAGCCCGGGGCACGGGCAGCCCACCCTGCGGTCACAGCCTTGCCCTGCTGGGGCGGGGGTCCCCAGATTCTCTCTGTCTACCCCTGCAGCCTCTCTATTGGCGGGAAAACACCCTCCGAGGTCCCCACCAGCACGATGCTTCCTCTCCCCCGTCTGCCAGGGCCCTGTTTCTCAGCAGGAACTCTGGGGTGGGGGTGGGGGTGGGGGGCGAGAAGGAAGCCTCTGTAAGGTGCACGCCTGCACCTCCATGTGGCCCTGAAGGCCCCCGCCCGCCCCTGCGTGAGGCTCTGAGGCCCCTCCTGCCATCTCCACGCGCATCAGTGGCTGTGATGCCCCCTCCCCCGTTGGACCACAGGCTCCGTAGAAACAGCTCAGCGCCCGCCTCGCCGACCCTGGTGCTGCCAAGAGCAGGGGATGCCAGCCCCAAGGCAGCCGTGTGTCACATGATGCTTGGGGGCTGAGAAGGGGAAGCAGAAGGGGTGGGGGAGGTGGGGAGGGAGCTGGCCGCCGCGTCCCTGGGCCCTGACAAGAGTGTGCGCACAGCCGGCCCCCAGCAGGCCCTTGCGGCCGCTGCCAGCGCCCACCGGAGCGCCCGCCTCTCCCGCAGGTACCACCTCATGCACAAGCCCCCCCCGACGCTGGAGATCCAGGAGCGCCTCTTGCAGAACCCCAGGGACTCCGAGGAGCGGGTGAAGCTCAAGATGGACCTGTTCTACCGGAACGCGGCCGAGCTGGAGCAGTTCTACGGGCAGGCCGTCACCGTCAACGGCGACCAGGACCCCTACACCGTCTTCGAGTACATAGAGAGTGGCATCATCAACCCCCTGCCCAAGAAAGTCCCCTGAGGGGGCTCCGAACGGGCACCCCGAGAAACAAGTTACCCCCCACCCCGGCCCCGACCTTCTAGAAAGTTCCTCAGGCCAATAAAGTGCTTCGAGTGCAGTCTCGTCTCCTGGCAGGGGAGTCACAAGCTGCAGGCCCCCCGGCGTCCGTTCCCTCCCCTCTCACCAGCTGGAGCGGCTGAGCGACCCTGGGCAAGCTCCTTCACCTCTCCAGGCCCCTGTCGAATGAGAACAAGACAGAAACTGCCTCCTGGGGCCGTGGTGACAGGAAGTGAGAGAGTCCACGCGTGGCTCTTCCTGATACGTTTCCCACGAGCTCTCTGAAGGCTAGGAGCAGGGCCGGGCACGCGGCAGACACGGTCGTCCCCCAGGTGCATCCGAGTCCGCAGGCCCCTCAGTGGACACAGCGTGGGCCTGGCTGTGCCAGGTAGGTGGGAGAGAGGGCAGCACCCAGGCCTTCCCACTGTCGCCATCCGGGTCTGGAGGCCGTCCCTGCTGGCTGGGTGCCGCCGGCCAAGCCAGGCCCCACCGCCTCCTGCAGCCGGTCAGGTTGTGCTTCTTTGGGATGTGCCTGGTGTGGTGGTCCCAGGTGACGTGACCGTGGGCTGGGCCGTCCTGGTCCGGGGAGGCCGGCTCCTGTGGCTGCAGGGCAGACATCTCGCTCCTTCCCCGATCAGCTGGCTGTGCGTGAAGTTCGCCAGCCAGGTTCCATGAACGTCAGCTCGCGAGAGAACAAATCGCTGCTGACGCCGGCATCGTTACCGGGCTCATTCAGCCTCTTTCGTCTGGAGCTGTCACCTCCCCCTCGCCCAGCTCCTGGCACAGCGCCTCGCTCACGCCTGCGTCTGCACCCCCCGCAGTGGGGAATCCACGCCGCCCTGGGGAGCAGCCGCCGCGGGTGTTCTACCCTGGCCCCCAACCCTGGGCTGCGCCTGCCCCAGGCTGGGCCCCACTGCTGTGCTCCTCCAGGAAGGGGCCGCGCTCTTCCTGCAGCCCGGGGAGACCACTGGGGTGGAGGAAGCTCGTGCCCTCCTGCTGCAGCCAGCAGGCTCCGAGGGAGCGCTGGCTCATGCCCTGCCCTGAGCAAGATGAGAGTCGGAGAGGGAGCGAGACCATCTTCCCGTGGGACGTGCCGACCCCTCCCCTCGTGGCCCAGGGGCTCAGCCCAGGCTCCCAAGTTGAGGTTGGAGTGGGTCCAGTGCTGAATCTGCAGAGGAGCAGGGCCTGCTTTTTGTCTTATTATTTGAGAGGCAGAGAGAGAGAGAGAGAGAGAGAGAGAGAGACAGAGAGAGGTTCACTCCCTAAGTGCCTGCAGCAGTGAGGGCGGGGCCAGGCTGGAGCTGGGAGTCAGGAACTCCAGCTGGGTCTCCTTAGTGGGAGGCAGGGACCCAGGTACTTGAGCCCTGCGTGAGCGGGGAGCTGGGGTCAGGAGCTGATCTGGGCACTGAGGCGGGACACCTGCCAGTCGCCTGGTGTTTGGAAAATTCCATGGTAGGAGCACTTACCCTAAGACCTCCTCACTTCCCGCGTCCTAAGTGTGGCCCCGCAGCCCCCCGCAGCCCCTGCTTCTCTGACGTGACTGTTCCAACCGGCCACGGCTGCAGGCTACAGCGTCCCTGCTCGTGGGGCTCACTCGCTGACCAGCCTGTCCCCGCTTAGGCCCAGTGGCGCGGACGGCGCCATGCCCTTCCTTCCTAAGGCCTCAGTTTGTTTACCCGTGCCCCCTGGGTTTACCCATCATCCCTTGGGTTGTTCCTCGCCTTGGCTTAGCCTTGCTTCTCCCAGGCTGTGCGCCCCAGGTGAAAGCCGCTGTGAGGTTCCCACCATGGGCGCCGGCTCGCTTCATCCACGCAAGAGTCGGGCAAAGCAGAAGCCCCTCACCCGCCTTGCACAGACGCGGGAACTGAGGCTGAGAGAGCAGTGGTTGCCTCTGGCCCCACAGGCACGCCCTCTTGCCATGTCCTACAGCTGTCACGGCCAAGGTCGCAGCCACAGTCCAGCCCCGGAGACCGAGCTCCAGAGGGGAGCCCACGGGGTTGGACCCCTCCTGCCGCAGAGGCCACAGGAGCTGGTTCTGCTCCGTGGAGGGCACCATAGCCGCCTCTCCCAAAAGGTGAACTGCACAGAACCGACGCTTCCCTCCACCCGTCCTGCGCTGGGGCAGTGCCACGCCCGCCTTTGGTTTTTTAATCTTCCATCTGCTGGTTTGCTCCCCAGACGGCCACAATGACTAGGGCTGGGCCAGGCCAAAGCCAGGAGCTCGGAACTCAACCTGGGTCTCCCACACGGGGCCCAAGTACCTGGGTCATCACCTGCTGCCTCCCAGGCGCATTAGCAGGGAGCTGGATCAGAAGTGGAGCAGCCAGGACTCGAACCAGCGAACCAGCGCTCCCACATGGGCGTGGGTGTTGCAGGCAGCTGCATTGCTCCCTGGGCCATAGTGCCAGCCCTGCCTTGCCTGGCCTTGAACGCACACACGTGCCTGGGAGACACACCCAAGCAGGTGGGGGGGGGGGACCAATCCTGGGTGTCCTTCGCCAGTGAGGCAGACCCTGACGGCCCACGCCTTGCCAGCCAGGAGTCCTCATGTCCCCCGGGGAGCACCTTGCTCACCAAGCAGACAGAGGGGAAGGAGGAGGGGTCACCTCCCGGGGCCTGCCTGCGCCGTGGTACACCGGCTGGAAAGCACTCCAGTGACGTCCTCCACCCTAGAGGGCTCGCGTGGGAGAAGGGAAGGTGGGCAGAACCCCCTTCTTCCCTCCCACAGCGGCCCGGGGGGAGGGACGAGGCCTCAGCCCCGGGGCCAGAGCGCCTCCCTGTCTCCCCGTCTCCCCGTCTCCCTGGGATGCCTGTTTCACAGCGGGAGACACCGAGGACACCCTGGTATATCAGCACCGGGGACCCGAGGACACCCTGGTATATCAGCACCGGGGACCCGGGGACACCCTGGTATATCAGCACCGGGGACCCGGGGTCACCGCTCAGGCCGTCCCCTCAGGGAGGGGCACAAGCTGACGCGTGCTCAGGTGCGCGCGCCCCAGCCAAGGCGGCTGCCGCCCACCCCGGGACCATGGCAGGTGAGAGGCAGCCGGGGCCTGCACGGGAGCCTTCAGGCAGAGCCCGGAGGGGCCGCCCTGGATGCCGAGGTGCACAGAGGACTTGGGCTCAAGACCTCACAGCAGACTCTGCTCTCTGGAGCAAAGCCAAGTGTTCCCAGGAGCAGCAGAGACGTGGTCACCTCCAGGTAGGCCCCACCCCGTTTCCCAGCTCTGTTTCCCAGTCCTGAAGGCTCTGAGGGTGGCGTGAAGCGTGGAGTCCTGGCCGTGTCCACCACTGCTGTTTCAGGGGCTTCCTCTCAGCCCTCTCTCCAAGGAGAGAACCAAGGCTCAGCTCGTCTGTCCCAGGAATAAGTACAGGGTCTGAGGAGGTGACCAGAGGTGGGTCACCCAGGCCCTGTGCAGACCAGCGTCAGTTGGCGGCGTAAGGTACCACTGGATCACACTGTGACCGAAAGCAGATGGGTGTGGGGTGGAGGGGAGGGGGAGGGGGAGGAGCAAAGGAACACAGCGGTGTGTAACACAGGGTCAACTCATGGGGCTGCTGAACAAGTGCTAAATGCATGCAGGGAGCCAGCAGGTGTCTGCTAAACGTGGGAGATTTTAGCTCCCGTCAAGCAGAACGAGAGGGGCCGTGGCTTAGTGGGTTTAAAGCACCACCTGTGGTGCCGGCATCCCACACGGGCGCCAGTTCGAGTCCCAGGTGCTCCACTTCCGATCCCGCTCCCTGCTAAGGCACCTGGGAAACGCAGTGGAAGATGGCCTGAGGGCTTGGGCCCCTGAACCCATGTGGGAGACCTGAGTTCTGAGCTCCGGGCTCCAGCTTGGCTGGGCCGACAGATGGGCCATTGCGGCCATTTGGGGAGAGAACCAGCGGATGGAAGGGCTCTCTCTCTCTGTAACTCCTCCTTTCAAATACAAAAATATTTTAAAAAGACATAAATGGAACAGCTGGTTGCTTCAGCTCACCCTAGTTTCGCTGAATTTGTGTTGGCGGCACAGGCAGTCCTGACAGTTCGTCGTCACCCTGCACCAGGTGTGCTCTGTGTATTCTTCCCCATCCGTCACAGATGTCCCTATGGGGTCCCCAGGAGGCCAGGCTAAGCCCCGCCTTCACAAGTCAGCAGAGCCCCCAAATGGGCAGCCGGTTGGGTCCTCTCCCCCCATCGGGGCCTGGTGGCGCCCCGTCGGGGCCCTCACCGTGCTGCTCCGCCCAGCACAGCGACGCACCTGCTGCTCAGATCAACGCCGCTCCCGAGAACCCGCACGTAGCTGTCGTGCCCCAGCAGGTCCTGTGTGAGGAGACCCCAGCCCCGTCCACCGCACAGGGTCGTTGGAAGGAGACTCCGGCTGCCCAGTCCTGAAGGCTCTGAGGGTGGCGTGAAGTGTGGAGTCCTGGCCGTGTCCGCCACTGCTGTTTCAGGGGCTTCCTCTCGGCGCTCTCCAAGGAGAGAACCAAGGCTCAGCAAGTCCGTCCCAGGAATAAGTACAGGGTCTGAGGAGGTGAGCAGAGGTGGGTCACCCAGGCCCTGGGCCTTCGTTTTTGGTGAGAAAAATCCCGGCCTGACTCCCGGCCCCAGTGCTCTGGAATGCGCGCTGGCCACAGGAAGTCCTCTTCCTTGCCAGCCCCTCTTCTGTCAACCCTGGCCTTGGGACAGCCCCCCCCCAGCCTCTCGCTGTCGCCCCTTACAGGTGTGTCTGTTTTTCTAGAATAGTGTTTATTTGTCTGTTTATTTTTGAATAAGCAGCCGGAGGCACACTGAGCGGACTCCGGGGCAGCTGCCGGGGCCACCGTCCCCCATCCCGGACATCTGCTCTTCCCCGCTCCTCACCGGGCCTGGGTGTTGCCACGTGCGCACCTCGGGCTGGCAGAGGCTCCTGGGCTCTGCTGCAAGTCACGTGAACCCCACAAAATACACACACGATGTACAAACAATTCTGTTATTTATTTATTTTGAATAAAAAAAAGTGGCCAAAATAACAATACTAGTGGCTCTGCATACAAAACACAATGTATTATTTCACATTTACAAAACCGCCGTTATGTACAGCACTGCGTGTTCACAGAACTCGGCAGACTCCGGGGACAGGCGTGACGCAGCGAGGGGAGGGGAGGGGTCCAGAATGAGGAACAGCGACCGATGCTTCCCACTGCTTGGATCAAAGGCAAAGAACAGACGTGGAGCCTCTTGGGCCATGGACTAAACAAGGGGCCATCCCGCCCTCTCACCTCATTTCCTGGGTAGCCCTCCCCACGCCCCACTCTTCCAGAAGCTCAGCTCCAGCTCAGGTAAGAACCCGAGGCTGCTGTTATCTGTGGGAACAGAGGGCCAGAGTGCCACGGAGGGGGACGCGGGCTGGGTCAACCCAGGACACCCGGTCCCTGAGCTCTGGCCCCGGGGCGTGGGCGGCCTTGTAGGGAGGGACCACCGGAGAAGCGAAGCTCTCTGCATCCCGGAGGCGGGGACTCACTCACGCATGGCGCTGGGTGCTGCAGGGGTGACAGGGGTGAAATGGCCCCGGCCCTGGGAGCTGACAGTCTAGTGGCAAGCCCTGCGCACACACACACACACACACACACACACACACACGATGGGAGAAGCGGCCGCCCATCCCAGACTGCGGGATCCTCCAAGCACTACGAGGTGCTTTTTATTTAAACACTGAAAGTCTAAGACACACCACCTAATTAAATTAGATGATAAGGCTTTTTACAAATCTCCTTTCCATTTCAAAAACCGTCAGACATAAACCAACATCTAACCCAAGCCCAGCACAGAGGCCGGCCCGGGCCGGGGGACGGTGGGCCCACCCCAGGGCTGACCTTCCCGCGCACAGCGTGCTTGCCAAGCACTCGCCCTTCCTACGGCAACGCACAGGCCTGAGCCAGCGGCTCGCAGAAGCCGCGCTTTCTCGCACGCAGTTCTGCGCGGCGCAGGAGCCCCGGCTGGCGGTGCGCGGGTCGGGTCGGGTCGGGGAGGCCCGGGCCGTCACCCCCTCTCCCCTCACCCACTGGGCCATTCTGCAGGGTGCTCTCCGTTATGTAAAATACTCCTAGAAATGAACACCCGTGTCCAGGACCCCCAGCCTGCCCCTCGGACACGCGCTATCACAGGCGGACTGCCTCAGCCCATGCCGGGGGACCGTGGGGCACGGCTCCCACTGGCCACACCATTTCCTGCGTGGCCTCCCCTGGAGCACGGCCACGAGTGGAAGGAAATGCGGGCTAAGGGAAGGCGAGCTGTCTAATCAAAGGGGCTGGAGCGGGATGCCGGGCCACACAGAAGCTCTTCATCGGGCGTCTTTGGGAACAGCCCCCTCGTGTTGCGGCTGCTGACGGCCACGGCGAGTGTTCAGAAGCAGCACCGTCAGCGTGCCGGAGGGAGGCCAGGTCCCAGCCCCGACGGGGACGTGCATCCGCGCGTGCACGCGAGCCCGTGGCCTGGGAAGGGCCGGCTGCGGCAGCCCTAACCCGCGTTCGGGCACTAGAGGCCATCTGTCCTCTCTCAGCCCCAGGCTCTGGCCGAGGGCTGGGCAGCACACTGAAGCTTCCAGAAAGCACACTTCCCAGGTTTCGGAATCACGAGGGCCTCGGGCGCTGATTTCCTCCAACAACCACAATGAAAACGGCTCCCTTTGGGTAGCCCTTTAGAGGCATGTTAAAGCCAGGCAACCTTGAGGAGAGGGTGGGATCCCGAGCGTTCCCGTCTCCCTGGCTTGCTCGGCACCCCTGACAGAGGAGGAGCAGGGTGAGCGTCAGAGTGAATTCTAGAAGCCACAGAGGCTCAAAATAGCCCATGGGGGGCTGAAAGGAAAGACGCTCATTTATTTGGTTATTCACTGTCTGCGCCTTTTAATATGTATTATTTTTTAAAAGTCATTACTTATTTGAGAGGCAGACAGACCAGCACCTGCTGGTCACTCCCCAGAGGCCCGCAAAGGCTGGCGTGGGAGCTGGGAACCCCATCCGGGTCTCCCACGTGGGTGGCAGGGGCCCAACCGCTTGCGCCACCATCACTGCCTCTCGGGGTGCACATCAGCAGGGAGTCGGGGTCAGGAGCCGGAGCCGGAGCCGGAGCGGGAAGTGCACCGAGCACTCGGCTGTGGGGCCGGGGGGTCGCACCGCTAGGTCAAACGCCCACTCCTGTGTGTGCTAACCGCGGCTGTAACCCCTGCAGCTTAGCCTTAAGTGGAGTGTCTGCCTGTGATGAACCACTCTGGCTCGGGGGTAAGAGGTGGGGGTGGCAAGGAGCTAGAAGCCAGCCTGCCTTACTGCAGGCTCAACCAAGCGACAGGGAGACGCCAGCCAGGAGCTGCAGGGCACCCAGCTGCCGACAGCTACGACTCCTCCCGGTGGAAAGCAGCACTACTTAGCAGTTTCTGCTAGGAAGGGAAAGCCAGCACCCAATTTAGACAACGGAACCCACTCTCCTCTCAGAGCCATCGTAATGCTGAGGGGGCGCGAGGAGCAGGCCCCCAGCCCCTCTGTGGGCTGAGAGAGAGGGTGGCGGCAGCACGGAGAGACGGCCCCGCAGGAGCCAGCAGTGCCTCCACTTCCTGGGCCACCCCAGAGCGGCTGCGGGGCGCGGGGGCTCGCAAGACCACCACCACATTCCTCTTAACAAGCACCAGGAAGCCCACCTCCTTCGGGACTCATCTGATACCATTATCATCACAACAGAATATACTTTAATATTTAAACATTAACCTTTAACATTCTTTTAACCAAATTAACCTGTCAAACTCGCAAGTAGATCCAACCTACATACTTCAACATTAATATTCTCAAGAGCTTCTTAGAGGGAGAAGCAGACAAATGTCACCCTCAGCCCGGAGCTTCACTCGTGGTTCTAATAACTTCTGACATTGCAAAATAATTGGTAGTTTGGCAGCTGTAATAGTCGGTACGGATTGCTTGACGTCTGGGTGGTGGACACAGGAGGATTTCAGCTCGAATATCAGCGTAACAAGCTCTCAATCTCTTATCTGGAATAATAGGAACAAATTAACCCCAGGCGGAGAAAATGTGATACACACGTGGATACCAGACTCTCCAAATGCAACGGTGTTGTAGCTAAAAGGTTCAACTGCGCAGCCTCTGCAGCTGCACTTCAGTGCAGTCCAGCGACACTGCTTCTGCTAAGCCTCCCATTCCGCAGCTCTGCCTGAAGCCCACCGAACACCAGGCACAGCTCACGCTGGACATAAAGAGGCAAGCAGGAGTCCTGGTGTCGCCCCTCTGTCCAAGTAGCACTGACCACACCCTGTCACCAGGCAGGCGAATGCAAACATGCACTGTTGCTGGGCTGCGATGGACCCCAACGTCCTCTCACTTCCCCAGCTCCACGGCGGTGGGAGAGGCTAGGGGATGGACCCCAATGTCCTCTCACTTCCCCAGCTCCACGGCAGTGGGAGAGGCTAGGGGATGGACCCCAATGTCCTCTCACTTCCCCAGCTCCATGGCGGTGGGAGAGGCTAGGGGATGGACCCCAATGTCCTCTCACTTCCCCAGCTCCACGGCGGTGGGAGAGGCTAGGGGATGGACCCCAATGTCCTCTCACTTCCCCAGCTCCATGGCGGTGGGAGGGGGTAGGGGAAGGCCTCCCAGTGGTGAGCAAGATCCCAGCAGACAGAATCTGTCCCAGCAAACGCAGTGCCACGGCCACTCCCACAGGCACCAGATACCTCTGGAGATCCCTTTCAGTTACTCTTGATAGTTACATTTCTCAAAAATGCACAACTGCTTTAAATAAAAACTTAATGTAAGTTTTAAACGGCAGCAGCACAAAATCCTGTACTCACTGCGATACCAAAGAAGTGGACCTAGGCTCACTAACTCCTGCAGATCTCCAGCGTCCCTGCTGCACCTGCTGTGAGGCGAGGAGCCAAGCACACAGGCGACCTCGACCACACCACGCTCTGCACTGCTGCACAAACACTGTTCTTGCAATTTCCTCCAAAATGAGAGGAAAAAAAAAAAGACAGAAGACCCCAGCAAGTAACAAAACACGCGAGACCAAACGACCACCTGAACTGGAACCCAGGCGTTCGAACATGCCTCCTGAGTGCCCACACGCGGTGTGTATGTGTGACACATCTGTGTCTCCACACGGTGAGGCCAAAATGCCATTCACTAAGTTGGAAATCGTGTTAGAGCGAGACAAGAGCGACAGCACGGACAGGAGCGAATCTCACCCTCGTCTCCACTTCACTCTGCGGAAACACGGGCCCCAGACGTCTCCTGAGGCCTGCACCAGCGCCAGTCCTTAGGAGGCTGAGCTAAGAGTCCAGAGCTCTGCGTTCCAGAACGTCTGTTTCAGTTTCTCATTAAGAGCAATTCACCAGAGTGCACGTCTGACATCTCCTCTTAGTAGTCCACAAAAAAAAAAAAAAAAAGAAAAGAAAAAAATAGAAGCAGGCTGTGCCCCGGTGCCAGGCGGGGATTCCCAGGCTCTGTCCCGAGCTCACCACAGTGGCACCGAGCACAGGTCTCCACTTCTGAGCTGAGAGCCGTCTCTCCCCACAAGTCTCTGGACAGACTCTGACCTTGGACACTAAATGAAACGTCTAGAAATGCCAACACTAAGAACACTGAACGTTTTCAATTTAATACTAAAAACAGAGGTTTTCCTTCTTCTGTGTACAAGTATCTCATGCAGGCCACCACAGCTCAGTCTGAAGCAGGCTGGGACGTGGGCAGACTGGAGTACTTGACATCTTTCTATGTGTTAAGAAGCTGGGCCAGGCAATCTGACGACAGAGGAGAATTAAAAACAAGTCACTACAGTTAGTAATTAAAACTGTCACCTGATCAGTTGACACATTAGACCAATGTCAGTCTTGGCTTCAACTTCTTAAAAATACAGAATTTTTAGAAAATGTTTTCTGTATGCATGAAACACAAGAACAGACAGGACACCCACCGCAGCTGTTTATGGAGAGAAAGCTTGAGCGTGCAGACACTTTAATATCTGTCGGCACACGCACGCACGCACGCACCGGGGAGTCTGGCGCTCTGCAGCCAGGAGGCAGGAGTAAAGCCTCGCTCAGCCGGGCGAGACCCTCTCCACACACGCAGTGAGAGCGTTCTGCGCCTAGAGACGTCAGGACTTCTTTTTGTTCAAGCCACTCCGGTCCAGACACTGGGGAAAGGGGACCCCACGTGTGAGCCGCTGGGGGCCAATGTTCAACTCAGAACGGCCCAGACCCTGCACGCAGTGGCTCTGCAGCACATCCCAAGTCCCCGGGAGGGAGCCTGTGTCAGAACCGAGCTCCAGGGGCCTCTTACAGTCTCGCAGCGTCCACGCCAGGGGCAGGCTGCCTCCAGCACAGCCTCTCCTCACGCCACGGGGCATCTTCCACAGCAGAGTTCGTGCCCGTCCACCCGCCGCGCTCGGCACTCAGAAGACGGGGGAGTCACAGAAGGGGCAGGGGCTCTGCAGGAGCCTCTTGATCCAGTCAGGATCTGCAGAAGGGAGACAGGAGGGGTCGGCAGCCGCTCCAGAACACCCGCCAGGCCGGCGGTGCTCGCGGCGGCAGGGAGGGGGCAAGCAGGGCCCAGCTCTGCCGCCACAGCTCCGGGTTCTTGAGTACTCTGTTCTGGGGCCTGCGTGGCCACCATTCCAACGAGTGGTTTCCACAGACAATGTGTGATGAAACCAATGTAAAGAAAGGACCGGGGCAGAGCAGGTTAAGCCACCGCCTGAGACACCAGCACCCCGCCCACATTCCTCAGAGGAGCACCAATCCACGTCCCTGCTCACGCTACCAGAAAGCGGTGGAAGACGGCCCAAATGCTCGGGTCCCTGCTACCTCAGTGGGAGACCCTGATGGAGTTGTAGGCTCCCCACTTTGGCCTGGCCCCGCCCTCTCTTCTGTCACTTTGCCTTTCAAATAAATGAAATCTCAAAAAAAAAAAAAAAAAAAAAAGACTAGACTTTATTCCGAGACCAGGATTTCACAGTGCCCCCTTGGTAACGTTTTAGAGCATGCGACACTGGGTCAACACCCCTCCCCGGAGCTGTGCCACGATCTCTGCCTCCCTCTCTCCTTCTTCCTCCCGAAAGCCACGAGTGGAAAAGTCGAAGTCAATGGGTGGGGCCCAGTGCTGTGGTGTAGCAGGTGAAGCCGATGCCTGCAGTGCTGGCACCCCATATGGGTGCTGGTTCTAGTCCCAGCTGCTGCACTTCCGATCCAGCGCTCTGCTGTGGCCTGGGAAAGCAGTAGAAGATGGCCCTCGTTCCTGGGCCCCTGCACCCACGTGGGAGACCCGGAAGAAGGTCCTGGCTCCTGGCTCTGGATCGGCACAGCTCTGGCCGTTATGGCCACCTGGGGAATGAACCAGCGGATGGAAGACCTCTCTCTTTCTTTCTCTGCCTCTGCCTCTCAAATGAAAAATAAATAAATCTTTAGAAAAACAAAAGCCAGTGGGCAGGTTTCACTATTTTTAAGCCTCAATCTTCTGTTTCCTGCCTAAATAGCGTATCAGTTCTCAACTGTAATGACTGTTTAAAAGTTCCCAAAATGTGTGTCAAAATAATCTCACAGGAGGAGGGGCTTATGGAAAAAACAAAAAAGGTTGTGAGTTGTAGAACTCTGAAGTTGGTGATGGAACGTGGGATGTAGTCTCTTTTTCTCTTGAATTCTGCGTATGATTCTAGTCTCTAATAATAAAAGAGCAGAACGAGGCTGATGCCACAGCTCCCGAGGATCAGAGTGGTCAGCTGCTCTCAGGCAAAACCAGGAATAAAGATGCGGTTCCCTGACGCATGCCTCTTGCTTCCACTGAGAACACGTTTCCCCAAACAGACCCATAACTGCACATGCTTCTGACTCTCAGGCCACAATCGGACACGCGTGTGATATCAAACACACAGAGGCCGGCCCATGTCCAAGATCTTGTTTCCTGCTCATCTTCTCCTGTGCTATCAGGAGACAGTACTCAGATCAACTATTAGAAACCCATTGCGGGGCCGGCACTGTGGCGCAGCAGGTTAACGCCCTGGCCTGAAGCACCGGCATCCCGTATAGGGGCTGGTCCTAGTCTCAGCTGCTCCTCTCCCAGCCCAGCTCTCTGCTGTGGCCTGGGAGAGCAGTAGACGATGGCCCAAGTCCTTGAGCCCCTGCACCCGCGTGGGAGACCTGGAGGAAGCTCTTGGCTCCGGATTGGCGCAGCTCCGGCCAATGCGGCCATCTGGGGGAGTGAACCAGCAGACGGAAGACCTCTCTCTCTGTCTCTACCTCTCTCTGTAACTCTGTCTTTCAAATAAATAAAATAAATCCTTCAATCAAATCTATCTAGATACCATCTAACAAATCTATCTAGGGACCACCTAATGAATCTATCTAGGGACCACCTAACAAATCTATCTAGGGACCACCTAACGAATCTATCTAGGGCCCATCTAACGAATCTATCTAGGGACCATCTAACAAGTCTATCTAGGGACCATCTAACGAATCTATCTAGGACCATCTAACGAATCTATCTAGGGACCACCTAACGAATCTATCTAGGGACCACCTAACAGATCTATCTAGGACCATCTAACGAATCTATCTAGGGACCACCTAACGAATCTATCTAGGGCCCATCTAACGAATCTATCTAGGACCATCTAACGAATCTATCTAGGGACCATCTAACAAGTCTATCTAGGGACCATCTAACGAATCTATCCAGGGCCATCTGGAACAAGCTGACCTTTAGGAAGGAGTCACGTGTCTGCAGTGACAGACGTCCGCAGACCATGAAGAGGCCGCGTGTACGTCAACACCACGCAGCCCCACAGCCGCAGGGTGGAGGTGACCTCCGCCATTGTCTGGGAACTGGCACGCTGCTAAGTGCCCCACACCCTGCGCAGAGCTGGGGAGGTGCTCACCTTCCGGGGCTGGATGCCGGGCGATGCTGTCATGGAGCAGACACCGTCTGTAGATCAGACTCTGGCAGGACTGGTAGGTCAGGAAGCACCTGGCGAAGACAGACCCACACTCAGGGCAGGCCGGCTCGGGTCTCCCACAGCTGGGGAGGCAGCACTGAGGTGGGGGAGCCACAGGGTAAGTAAACCCACACCTCCCTCAGGGGAAAGTGCTGCAAGACTTCACAGGTGCATGGCAACCATGTGTACTCTGCCCACCCAGGCAGGTGAGACCTACACTGACACACCTTAGCAAAGAGGAAGTGGCTACTTCATGTTACCAGGCAAAGAGATACAAAGTTTCTAACCCAGAGTCACTGCAGCCTTGTTCCCTCCTATTCCCAGCATCAGGAAAGAATTCAGTGTCTTCCTCTCTGACTGCATTTTGGACTCTCGGAATGTTAAAACAAAAAGATCATGTACTACATTGAAAATTCCTTTTGTGGTGACTTTAAAGATGAGGTACAAGCATTATCTTTAAGAAAATGACAATTTAGTGGGGGAAAACCTGAAAAAATCAAAGACAAAATTAATAGTGCAAAAACAAAGAAGGGCCATGAACAAGCCTCCACTCCGTGCAACGGCTGTTCACTGAGCACCTCCCGGGACCAGGCCAGCACACAATGGGATGGCAGGGTGCTGTTCAGGCTCTGTGCAGTCTTCCAAAAGACGCAGTTTTAAGTGGAGCAACTGAGGAACCGAAATTCAAACGGGAGGGAGGTGAGGAGGAGGAGCTCCAAGCAGGTTCACCTCAGTGAAGACTGGGTGTGGGGGTGCAGTAGTTATCATGTTGCTGTTAACCAGGTTGTCTGGGTCCTGCCACTGACCGCAGCTTCCCGGGCAAGAGGAAACGTGGCAGGGGCGAGTCCTGGGAGGGAAGGGGCAGGGGTCATAATTTCAGGTCACGTGGCCAGGAAGGCCTGATGACAAAGTGACCCTTGAGGAGAGGCCGTGTGGACACCCGCTAAAGGGCTCCAAGAGGAGACGGGCTGACACGAGAGGAACAGCCAGGCCACTCCACCTGGAAGGAGGTGGGGAGGGGATGAGGTCAGAGAGAGGATGAGCAGGAGGGGACCAGGCCGCGGGGTCTCACAGGCCACAGACAGGGTTTTTGCTTTGCCTCCTCAGAACTGGTGGCTTCTGGGTCTTGAGCACAGCGGTGAACAGGAGGGGGAGGAAGATCAGCTGAGAGGCGAATACAGCCTGGGCAAGAGACGAGGAGGAAGCGGCGGCAGCGGCTGGAGTCCGATCTGCAATGCTGTTGGACGTCCAGCAGGCTTACAGCAGGGGAGACAGGTGAGAGCTCCCCCTGAAGTCACCAGGGTCACCAGGCAGCGCTCAGAGAGAAAACCAGGCCCAGAGACGCGAGGAGACGAGGCAGAGCGAGCAGAGACGGGCGAGAACGGAGAGAATGAGGCGTCGAGTCCTGGGGCGGGGTGACAGTGCTCTAAGGAGGGGACGAGCAACCGCACCGCCCACAGCGAGGACACGCCACGTCTCCGCTCAGGGCGGGCACCCGCTACGATGTGAATTCATCTACTTTAACAGGCACTGCCCGGTGACAATACCCTCTAAAACACCAGCCCCGCCACAGCACACCAGGGAACCTCAAGCACCAGGCAGAGAGGACGGCCCTCCAAGGCCACTCTGCTCTGCACCGCGGCACAGCCGTGCGCACCAGGCTCAGACAGCGGCTTTTCTCCAACATGCTGGCGAGGCCAACGTGACCCGGGAAACACTGTGCAGCACCCTGCGCTACACAGAGCCCGGAGCCAGCAGTCGGGGCCGTCGGAAGGGCTTACCGGAGCCAAATGTGGCCGTTGGAGCAGACGGCCTGCTTGCGGTCTGTGAAGGGCAGGATCTCCTTGCACAAGCTGCAGTGCTCGGGGAAGGTCTGCTTGTTCATCTTCTTCGAGATGTGTCCAATCAGCACCTGGTCAGACAGAGCAGCCGGCAGTCAGCCGCTGAGCGCCGCGCCTTCTGAGGAGAAGGTCCACGGCACAAAGGAAAAAGGGAGAAAACGCAGTTCTGTGTACTCCCACACAGGCTGCCCACACTGCCTGAACGAGCAAAGTGAGCCGGCGAGCTGCACAAGTGAACCCATTAGGGACCCCGCGTCACCCTGGACAGCGCACTTCTGAAAACCACAATCTTAGGACCTGCCTTGTTTTCACTGCTTTTGAAACAGAACTTCAGGGTTCCATCAGAAGTCAAAGTGGTTAGCTGTGACGGACAGTACTGAGTTTCAGAAGGAGAAACATGACCTCTACAGGCAAAAGTATTATGAGCAATACTACGGAGTCCGCAGAACTGTCACAAAGTAGAGAGACTCGGGATTAAAAATAACTGCCCATCCCCCAATCCAGACCAGCAGTCTGCACCCGAGACCACCGAGCCCCACTGCAGAGGCCGTCAGACCCACCGTGGGAGACGAGACGGCGCAGGCTCTAGGCCTTGCCCCGCTTCAGATTTGCTTTTCTCTACTGATTAAGATTACCTTTAGGCCGGCGCCGCGGCTCACTAGGCTAATCCTCCGCCTTGCGGCGCCGGCACACCGGGTTCTAGTCCCGATCGGGGCGCCGGATTCTGTCCCGGTTGCCCCTCTTCCAGGCCAGCTCTCTGCTGTGGCCAGGGAGTGCAGTGGTGGATGGCCCAAGTGCTTGGGCCCTGCACCCCATGGGAGACCAGGATAAGCACCTGGCTCCTGCCTTCGGATCAGTGCGATGCGCCGGTTGTAGCGCGCCAGCCGCGGCGGCCATTGGAGGGTGAACCAACAGCAAAAGGAAGACCTTTCTCTCTGTCTCTCTCTCTCACTGTCCACTCTGCCTGTCCAAAAAAAAAAAAAAAAAAAAAAAAAAAAAAGATTACCTTTAAAAATGAAAATCTGAAAAACACAAGTCTGCTTCATCATTGCTGAAAAAACCACTGGCCATGCTACGCAGGACACCTTTCTCTGGAGCAGCCGGTGCCCTTCAAAGCTTTAAGCCCGTGCACACGGAACTTCCTGTGGAAGCACTGACTGACAAGGGTGCATCAATTCACTAAACTCATTACTCGGGTTATGAGGGGAATCTCAACAGCTCCGCCTACCTTCTATATATAACTTACAAGTTTAAATCCCATTAGCTTTTGGCCTTTTTGGTTTTTAGCCGCAGGAAATCCAATGCAGGTGCTGGAGTTGTGGTACAGCAGGTTAAGCCACGGCCCGCAATGCCATGCAGCAGTTCGTGTCTCTGCTGCTCCACTTTCGATCCAGTACCCTGCTAATGCGCTTGGAAAGCAGAGGATGGCCCTACAACCTGGACCCTGCCACCCACGTGGGAGCCCTGGATGGAGTTTCTGGCTCCTGGCTTTGACCAAAGGTCCCAGCTGTTCCGACCACTTGAGGAGTGAAGCAGGGAAGGAAGTCCGTGCGCTTCCCTGACACCGATGCCCCCCCCCCCCCCCCGGGAAGGGCTGCTTCTGGACCACGAGCCCACCTGCTCAGTTGGATTCCTAACTCTCATGGGGGTGATTCTCCTTCCAAGGGGCAAACAGTGGTTCTCAGAAGACAAAAACACTCTTACACTTTTATGTATAAAGCACAGACGTACACACAGTACATAAAAAGACAAAATGCGGGGCCGGCGCTGTGGCACAGCGGATTAACGCCCTGGCCTGGGGCACCGGCATCCAAGATGTGGGGGCCGGTTCAAGACCTGGCTGCTCCACTTCCTATCCAGCTCTCCGCCGTGGCCTGGGAGGGCAGTAGAGGATGGCCCGGGTCCTTGGGCCCCGCACCCTCGTGGGAGACCTGGCAGAAGCTCCTGGATCCTGGCTGCGGATCAGCGCAGAGCTGGCTGTTGCGGCCAACTGGGGAGTGAACCAGCGGATGGAAGACACCCTTTCTCTGCTTCTCCTCTCTCTGTGGAACTTGGTCTTTCAAATAAATACATCAATCTTTAAAAAAAAGACAAAATGAACCTGTGGTAACATTTCATAGTTGGGCAATTAAGAACAAAACGTCTATATATATTCTCTAGGGGAAGTGATGATGAACAAAAGGCTGAGAAGTACACTCTACCACACCAGGCACATTCTCAGAAACAATTTAGAACGACCACTGAATCAACATTCCAGGTTAAAAAGGCCTTCATTTTACAGATACTGTTGGATCGAAGACATGCACTGTCTTCAATCAAAAGTGAGCTGCTGGGGCTGGCGCTGTGGAGCAGTGGGGGAAGCCACCACCTGCAGTGCCGCATCCCACATGGGCGCCGGTTAGAGACCCGGCTGCTGTACTCCTGATCCAGCTCTCTGCTGTGGCCTGGGAAAGCAGTAGAAGATGGCCAAATCCTTGGGCCCCTGCACCCACATGGGAGACCCAGAAGAAGCTGCTGGCTCCTGGCTTCAGATCAGCTCAGCTCCCACCGCTGTGGCCACTTGGGGAGTGAACCATCAGATGGAAGACTCTCTCTCTCTCTCTCTGCCTCTCAAATAAATAAATAAATCTTAAAAAAAAAAAAGGTCAGCTGACTGACCAAGGGTTGGGGTACAGTCTTCCATCTCTTTTACCTGTTCTGTTGGAGCCACAGAGCTACGCTAAACGTGGCTTCCCGAACTGATGCAGCCTCCAAACCAAAAGTCTAAACCATAAAGAACCAACTTCCACTCTTTACTTTCTGGAATTTTTTCCCTAATTACTGAAAACCGGGAAATCTCTAGACACTTCAGAACACAGCAACCAGCTCTCCCTTGGGAAGCAGTCACCTGAACAACACATTCCAACGATTCTTTTTTATTTTCTTAAGACTTCTATTTATTCGAGAGGTAGAGCTGCAGAGAGAGGGAGAGATAGCAAAAAAGTTCTTCCATCGCTGATTCACTCCCCAAACAGTCACAACGGCCACAGCTGGGCTGATCTGAAGCCAGGAGTCAGGAGCTTCTTCCGGGTCCCCCCATGCAGGTGTAGGGGCCCAAGGACTCTGGCCATCCTCTGCTGCCTTCCCAGGCATGTTAGCAGGGAGCTGGATCAGAAGTGGAGCAGCCAGGTCATGACCGGCACCCGTGGGGGATGCTGGCGCCACTGGCAGAGGCCTAGCCTACAGCGCCACAGCGCCGGCCACCATTCTAACAATTCATAAGACTCTGCACACATCCTATAAGAAAATATAACAAGCAATTCATGGATGACTTAACATTAGGGATGAAGACGTTTAAATGTATTCCTTTCAACCTGACATTTTAAATAAGACTTTAGGGAAAGAGAATATGTGCCAATTTTCAGAGTACAGAAGAACCGACTTTTATGATTCTGAGTATTTTAGTATACAGTATGTTCCCTGGAACCCAAGTTCGGCAGGATTTCAGCTGCTGATAGCTGTGCAAACGATTCCCTGATCAAGAAGTCTGGCTACCACCGGAATTTTCAGAAGTCCCAGAATGATAACGTGCACTGAGAACCTGTCAGAGTACACACTTATGGGGCCAGAATTGTGACAGTCAGTTAAGCTGCGACCTGCAACACTGGCATCCCATATGACCGCAGGTTTGTGTCCTGGCTGCCCCACTTCTGATCCAGCTTCCTGCTGATGTGCCTGGGAAAAGTGGGAGAGGGTGGCCCAAGTGCTTAGGCCACGTGGGAGACACGAATAGAGTCCCAGGCTTCCGGATGCGCCTGGCCCAGACCTGGCTGTTGCAGCCATTTGGGGAGTGAACCAGCGGATGGAAGATCTCTGTCACTCTGCCATTCAAATACATAAATCTTAAAAACAATAAAAAGTACACAGTATGCAGTATTCCCAAGCTTGGAGTCTTTATAGCAGTAGGAAGCTTGGACTTTAGGAATTCCTAAAACTTAGATTATGCCCAGCTTCTGTAAAACAAACGAGGACAGCGTGGTACAGTGGGTTAAGCCGCAGCTTGTAATGCTGGCCTCCCATATCAAAGTGCCAGTTTGAGTCTCAGCTACTCCACTTCCAATCCAACTCCCTGACAATGCGCCTTGCAGGGCAGCAGACCATGGCTCAAGCGGGAAGGTCAGGATGGAGTTCCGGGTCCCGGATTTAGCCTGGCTCCGACCTAGCTGTTGCAGCCATCTGGGGAGGGAGCCAGTGGACAGGTGATGATCTCTCTCTTTGTCCCTCCCCTTTCTCTGTCACTGTCTTTCAAATAACATACACCTGCCCATCCTCCCCAGAACATGTGACCCTCAGGGAATGGAGCCTGAATGCTGAATTTCCCCCGCTGTGGCTGCCCACCACACACTTCCCTGCTAACGCAGCCGCAGCGGGGGATCTCACCTTGCAATCCTGCACACCAAGCCCATGCTGAGACAGCATCGCAGCGGCCCTGCGCTAGGCCCGTGTCCTCTGCACTGACCCTGTGACCTATTCATTCCCCCGCACCCGTGCCAATCAACGCCAACGGTCAGCCTGAGAGAGTCAAGCCAGGTCCCTGCTCGCCTCGCGGGGGGCGGTGAACACCTACCCGGGCCGTCCTGTCGTCATACTCCTCGTCCGACATCAGGAAGTTGCAGAGCCCTCTGGTGGGGATGCTGGTGTTCTCGGTGATCCAGGTGTGCAGGTACACCTCCCCCAGGACTCGCTTCATGTGCTCCCTGGTCAGGTGCATCTCCACAGCCTCGATCTTCCCTTGGATTTCCAGGAGCTTCTCCTCCATGGGCTCGCGGCCTCCGCCCTCCCCGGCCGGCACAAGCGCGTCCTCGGCGGCCTCCTCCGCGTCACCCTCCCGGCTCCTCTCCTGCAGGCCCTGCTTCCCCGCCTGCTTGGAGGAGCCGCCTTCCTCCTGCTGCTCGTCCTCGGCATTGCCCGCCCCGGGGGAGTCGGCCAGCAAGATTTTTGAGTCCTCGTGGGTGGGCTTCCACAAGGCTTCTGAGGGGGTTTTCTGCATCGACTGATACAAAATCCTCAGCAGGAAAAGCTTAAAGCGCCAGAAGTAGGTGACTCCACTGCTTTCGATCTTTTTCTCCAAAGCCTCTTGCAGAAACTGCGGGATGTGCTTATCCTTTAAAATCTTCCAGCGCACAAGGTCAATCAGATCTACCTGCTTGAAGAGATTCTGAACCGAAGATTCCAGGAGCTGAGCTGCCGCCTCTTCAAAGGTTTTCAGGGTGACAAACTGGACCTGGTAGTTTTTGTTCACGGGATGGAGGCCATTGACCATGCCCTCCGTCGTGATGATGGCCAGATACGCCCCGCAGGGGCTCACTGCTATCCCGTGAGTCCTCACGGAGCCAAACACATCTGAGAGCTTGATCAGCTGGTGTTCAAACTTGAGCGCAACATCTGTGAAGATGGGGATCAGCTGCCTCACCTTCCCGTCACTTGAACACGTGTACACTGTCCCGTTCTGTCTGTCGGCCGTCATGGAGACGATCGGCAGCGAGTGCAGGCCCGTGACGTGGGAATTGTGAACGTTGAGGCCTGCTTTGGAGATCAGAAGGAGACACCAAAACACATAGGAGCCCCTGGCCGCCACCACCAGGCTGCAGCTGCACTTCTGGTAGGGGTGGTAGAGGGGCACGCACTTGATGCTGTGCACTGGCAACTGGTCCATCTCCTTCCACAAGACGACAGGCTGCCTCAGCGTGAAATAGCCTTTCACTGCTTTGAGGTTGACAGGAAGAATTTTCACAGGTCCAAAAGCACTCCCTACAATAAGGCCGCTCATTTTCCGGTTATTGTGCTCATATTCCCACCAAAACAAGACGCTGGGAGAGTTGATTCCCGACTCGATGGTGTTGCAGGAGGAGATGGACTCCTTTCCCACAAACGGCAGCTGGAACTGCCACACAGCAATGTTGCCGTTCTCAAAGAGGACGGCCAGGAGCACGCTGCCCACGTCTCGGCACTCGTTATTGTGCTTGACCTGCTGGGTGGTGCAGATGCCCGACCACTCCATTCTCACTGGAGTCTGCATGCTGTGTCTCCTCTGGAACTCAGCAAAATCCCCCAGATTTCCCTGTGGAGCGTCATTCTTGGAGAGCCTGTAACTGGTCTCATAAAGACGTTCCCCATAAATCTCCGTCAGGTCGACCAGCTGGACCCACTGCAGTCTGTTGAGGTTAGCCTGGATGGTCAGGCGGTTGTCCATGGTCAGTGCTGCCAAGAGGCACCTGCCATTGGCATCGCAGCCCATGGGGGACCAGCTAGTGTATTTGAATCCTCTCAGCGGCGGCAAAGCCTTCCCCTCGGGGTTGAACACCCTATCCAACATGAAAGTCTGGCTGATTGTGGGGTCTTTCGAGGTGGCAAACCTCTCCTTGCATTCTGCAACTTCTGCTTTTGAGCCCACCTGGAAAGTAAGATATAAAACCGTTAGCTATTTATCTATATAACTGATCCACACTAATATAGATGAAAATTTTCTTATGGATTCTATTCACTTTGGCAGCACACACATAAAGATTAAATGAGCATTCACTCAAGAAAACGGCATTTCCTCAGAAGGGTCAGGATGAACAGTCATTGCTCAGAGACTGGCTCTCACACTCTTCTGGCTGACTTAAGCAATCGGGGTACAGATTTTTAAAGAGTCAACAGAGGGGCTGGTGCTGTGGCATAGTGGGTGAAGCCCACGCCTCATCTCTTTTGGGTGCCAGTTCCAGTCCTGGTTGTTCTTCTGATCCGGCTCCTTGATAACAGGTCTGGGAAGGCAGAAGATGACGCAAGTGCTAGGGCCCCAGCACTCACATGGGAGACCTGGAAGAAGCTCCAGGCTCCTGGCTTTAGATCGGCACAGCTCTGGCTGTTGTGGCCATCTTGGGGGAGAACCAGCAGATGGACGATCTCTCTCTCTCTCTCTGCCTCTCTATAACTCTTCCTTTCAAATAAATAAATAAATATTTTTAAAAAGTCAACACGGCCCTTAATTCACAAAATGATAAAAGTATTAAAAATATATGAAAATAGAGGCTGGTGTTATTGGTGCAGTGGGTTAAGCCCACCTGTGATGCCAACATCAGAACAATTTGAGTATCCAGTGCTCTGCTTCCAATCCAGCTCCCTGCCATTGTGCGTGGGAAGACAGTGGAAGATGGCCCAAGTGCTCGGGCTCCTGCCACACACATGGGAGACCTGGGGAATGAACTAGCGAATGGATGGTATCTCCCTCTCTGTATCTCCCTGACAGTCTACCTTTCAAATAAATAAATCATCTTTAAAAATGTATGGAAATACCTATATATATATCTTTCACACAGCTCTATTTTATAATACTCTTGATTACAATAGATTTAGCTTTTATAATCTGAATTTTGCATTTGCAAATTACACTGACAGCCACCTCCAGCTGCGCTGTCTGCAGCTCCGCTCTCCTGCCCTGCTGCCCAGCCCTCCCCTAGGTGAAGTCTCTCTCACCACAGGTCTCCTGTGACTATCCCAGCTTTCATTCATCGCGCCTTCTTCCAAGTTCATGGCATTTATCAACAGTGCCTAGTTTTATGATGGTGAGTTCTTAGAAAGATTTTAAAGGGACATTAAAGATGGAGGAAGAGATAAACGGCCAAAAGAAAGTAGTCTAGAATCATTAAAAAATAGCTGAGAAGGCTAAAGTCAAAAAAAGAGCAGAGGTCAAAACAACAGACGGTTTCTGTTATGATGGAAGCAGGAAGGACTTGATCTTCTGCCTTCAGAGAAACGGATCAAAGAGAGAGAAAACTGCAGCTTCCCATTCCTTTCTAGTGTCAATCGCCCTTTTCAAAGAGGCTGATCTTCAAAATGGAAAAGGCAGAATGTGATGAAAAGGGAATTCAAGCCCAAGACATTCATGGATGTAACGTTCCGTCACTTTAAATAAGTTTAACTTCCCAAGCATGGAGGAATCACACCCCAGCAGAGAACTCTGGAGATGCTAACTCAGAGCCACCATGTCCTAGACAAAGCCTAGACAACTGGGGATGTGTCAGAAAAAAACACAGCCCGTACTGACCAGATACTATTAAGCCTAATTGGGAATAAAATTCCTCAGTATATTAACAAACGAATGGCTTGTGAGACAGCAGCGATCGTTAGAAACCAACAAAAGATACTGTATAATCTAGTCGTAGTCTATTTTCCACCAAAACTGCCAGATGACATAATGAGCAAGCATACAAAATGAAAAGTGACAGAAAGATGTCTACCACGCCAATCAGTGGCTAACTTCCCTGAAGTGATCTACACAACACTAAGGACCGCGACCGCGACCGTCCCCGAGCAGGAGCCGTGTGGTGACGTTCTGGAAACATCAAGTGTTCTACACTATTTCCTGAAAAGTCACGGGAACACAGCAAAGACAGACTCAACCAGAATTATCCAAACTCTCTCTTCTACACTGCAATAGCGTCTTAAGAGTTGTTACTGGAGCTAAGTGCTGGCATCCTACATGGGTGCTGGTGGTTCAAGTCCCGGCTGCTCCACTTCCGATCCAGCTCCCTGCTAATGCCTTGTAAAACAGTGGAAGACGGCCCAAGTCCTTGGGACCCTGCAACAGTGTGGGAGACACGGAAGAAGCTCCTGGCTTCAGATCGGCTCGGCCCTGGCTGTTGCGGTGATTTGGGGAGTGAACCAGTGGATGGAAGATTTTCTCTGCCTCTCTGTAACTCTGCCTTTCAAATAAATAAATAAAATAAATCTTAGAAAAAGGAGGGGGGATTTAAGGGCAGGTGCTAGAGCTGCTGGAGAAAACTCCAGCTGAACGAGGTGAAGGCCGTTGGCCTGACAGCACAACGCCACAGCGAAGCAATCCACCAAGAGTGAAGAGCTGTGCTACGGTGCCAGACTACACACCAGCTCCACCACCACGCACAAGCTGGCCTGACAGCACAACGCCAGCCAAAGCCCCGAGCGTCACCTGGGCAACCCTGGAAACACGACACAGCGAAGCAATCCACCAAGAGTGAAGAGCTGTGCTACGGTGCCAGACGACACACCAGCTCCACCACCACGCACAAGCTGCTTAAATCTCCTGGCCTTAATTTCCTTATTTATAAAAGAGAATCATACACGTTTCAGAGTTAGGAAGGTTAATTAAAAATACATGAAGCAGGGGCCAGCAATGTGGCATGATGGGTAAAACTGCCACCTGCAGGGCCAGCATCCCATATGGGCACTGGTTCAAGTCCCGGATGCTCCACTTCCCACCCAGCTCTCTGCTCTGGCCTGGGAAAGCAGTAGAAAATGGCCCAAGTCCTTGGGCCCCTGCCCCCGCGTAGGAGTCCTGGAAGAAGCTCCTGGCTCCTGGCTTTGGAATGGCGCAGCTCTGGCCATTGCAGCCATCTGGGGAGTGAACCAACAGGCGGAAGGAAGACCCCTCTCTCCCTCTGCCTCTCTGTAACTCTTCCTTTCAAATAAATAAATCAATCTTTAAAAAAATGTAAAGTGTTAATAAATGTTCCAAAAAATGCTAGGTATGTTTTTACTTAAAAATTTATGTATTCAGTTGGAAGTCACAGCAAGAGAGCAAGAGCGACAGCGAGAGGCCTGGAGACCCCAGGCACTGGCTCTCTCCCTTAGAGCCAGGAGCCCTGAGTCTCCAAGCGAGTGGCAGGGCCCAAGGACTTGAGCTGTCGTTTGCTGCCTCTGAGGTGGAATGAGCAGAGGGCTGGATCCGAAGTGGAGGTGGGCCCTGAGCCCAGGCACTCTGGTATGGGATGCAAGCGTCCCCCAGATGGCAGCATCACTGATTCTCCGAGTAAGTAAATGCCAATGGGACTTAATAAAAGTATTTAAAGTACACTATGGATACAAAGTTGCCCACCAGATGAAGGGTAGACACAAATGAAAAGCTAAAGTAGTACAAAAAGTAAACAGATTTTGCTACCCACAGCAGCAGTGGGATGCAAGAGAGGAAGTTCAAACCAGCTTTGGTCCCACTCACTGGGAAGACCCTGCTGAGATGGCGTAGCATGGACGCTGACTGGCAGGGAACAGCCGTACGGAATGGTACACTGGTTTGTAACACAACAGGTCTGAGTTAGCCTACTGCACCCGTCCCCAACTCTCCCCATCACAGAACCAGTTAACAAAACAAGCACTCAGGTGCCCAAGGACACACCACTTACAGTCCAGCTCTCAGACGCCTGCAGTCACTGAATCAGACTCTGATAGTGCTAACTGCTAAGCACTCTGTGAAAATTCATTAGAAGCTGTGGGACAGTGAGCTTCTTGAGGTCCAAGAATATGATCGCAAAGACATACAAAAGTGTCTCACTGCAGTAGACGCAGTTACCACTTACTAGGGCATCTGACAGTTGACACACAATACAATTAGGGACCCAAATAGAATTCGGAACCGAACACAAGTATAAGATCCACTTCATCTACAGTCCAATGGTAAGAAAAAATTGCAATGTACTCCTTTTTTTCCCTTACAAATATGCCTGCAACAGCCAGAGCCTGGTCAGGCCAAATCAGGAGCCTGGAATTCAATCTGAGTGTCCCACGTGGGCTGCAAGGACCCCAGGAACTGAGCCGTCTCCTCTGCCTGCAGGTGGGATTAGAGGAAGTGGGGCTGGAGCTCGAACCCGGCCACGCTGAACGGGGATGCAGCTGTGCTGAGCAGCATCCCACCACTGTGTCAAACGCCCACCCCGGGGCTTCTCTGGGGCTTCTCGTCACTGCCTCCTGCTTTTCAGGTTAAATCACTCGTCTGTTTATCACGTATACATCAGTGCCCAGGAGAGTGACTTGCAACTGGCTGATAATTAACATTTAGACTGTTATATAACTATATATTTTCCTAAAAGAGACTCTTAATCTAAATGACAATCCCAGAGCAAAAGCCTCGAAGGGGGTCAGCACCTAGCTCTCCAGTGTGCTGCACACTAGGTCGCAGGCTGCCCCCATGTCGGGGGAGCAAAGGCACACTGGACAGTCCCGAGTGGCTACGTAGCCCTGGAGACCGTCGACGGGCAGAGCCGCCGCAGTGCCAACACGGGCTTCTTCACGCTCCCCTCACGCGATCTACCCCGCAGAGCCCTCACTGAGAACTCGGGGCGCCCTCACGCGTTCTACCCCGCAGAGCCCAGAAAACTCGGGGGCGCAGTCTCACGGGAGCGCTGAGAGGTGCACACCCAGCGACAGTGAGGGGCGGAGACGCCACTCATTTCACGCAAGCTACTTATCGACTATTAGAAGGCCACGTAAGAGTTCCTGTTACTGAATGAATGTGGCACCTGTGGCAAAACCAGAGTCCATATTTTATCGGAACACTAGGACTACCTGCACATCCACACTCAGGACGTCAACCCAGACTTCTTCAGACTGCCATGACTGGAGTACCTTTTTAGCTTGAGCATTTATCTGTTCCACAAACTACTAAATGATACTGTGTATTTAATCTTCCCAAAGGCTAAACAAGGTAGGCTTTAGGAGCCCCCTTTTATAGCTATGCCAATGCTGTTACCTGGTGCCGAAGCCCCATCCCTTAAGCCCTGTTTGTACTGATCATCTGCTTGCCTCTAGTCCACCAGCCATACTCCTGATCACTCCGTGCTCATGAACTCAGCGGTACCCTAGGGCTTCCTCCACTTAGCCAACTTCCTCAGGCTGATCTCCCAAGTTCCCACGCTGGCCTCACCCCACTTTCCTGACTCCGGGAAGAGCTACTTCAGCTCATCTGTTGATCCGCCATCACCCAAGCAGTGGCAAATTAGGACTTAAGCACGTGTGCACGAGATGGGTGCCTCCTTCCTCTCTTCCCCTCCTCTTACAAACCAGACAGGACCGCTGCAGACCCACCCAGACGACTCCCTGAAAGCAGCCTCCCTGGTCTTTCCCTGAAGTCCTCTCAGTCCCGACCCCACCATAACGACACACGGCCCCAGCTGGTGTGCCCGTGAACACACCCTGTGCACCCCGACACCTTCCTTCCACTGCACGGCACTGCTGCGTCTGCCTGGTTTGTTTACACCTGAACCGATCTGCTCACGTGATCCCCAGAAGATCCTGGAGGAGTCAGCCATGCAGGTTTAGCAGTGATCTGATGTAACGCCAAGTTATGCACGTGTGGGCGGTACAGTCTGGGAGGCCCGGATTCCAGCCCCAGCTTCCTGCCGGTGCGCACCCTGGACCCGTCACCCACAGGACAGATTCAAATGGAGTTTCCGGCTCCTGGATCCGGCCTGGCCCAACCCCAGCTGTTGCGGGCATTTGAGGAGTAAACCAGCAGATGGAAGCGCTCTCTCCATCTGCCTCTGCCCCTCCCTGCCTTTCAAATAAACAAACATAAACACTGTACGTTGCACATCCCAAACTGACATTAAATATGGGAAGAGTGAGGAGGGCTTTCACCACCCTACCCACAGCTGGCGGCTGACGCTTTCGAGTACCAAAGTACAGAAAACCCTCACTTGAGAAAGAGACAAGTCTCCGCACAGCGCTTCCAGCGACCTGACAGCACAGAGTGTTTGGTGCACTGCTTCACTCCAGAACGTGGGCCAGCACCGAGCACACGCGCTGTGCAAGTCTCTGTTCACCGACACCGGGCAGCCATCCGCACGCGTGCGCGGCGACAATGAAAACACGCAAAGTTCTTACACTTCCGAAATGAACAACACGGCTTCCTACATAGAAAACCAAAAAACAAAACACCTGAATGCGGGAACCGGCGCCGTAAGCACGGTCAACTTCAGGCACCCTGCGGTTCCCAAAGCGAACTCGGGTTACACGAAGCCGAGCGCACGAGACGCACGCGCTTGGAGACGCTCAAAGTTTGAGAACCGCAACCGCGGCCGGAGGTTTAATTTTCCCAGCCCGCATCCCTCGGTCTTGCTAGCCAAGAAAAGCCAGAGCGCGACCCCCGACACGCAGTCTACACCCACCCACCCACCCGCCCCAGGTGGGCCAGTCGCAACCAAGTCGCAGGACGCGGTCAGGCGATGCAAAGCACCCCAGAGGCGCGAGGGCAGGGCGCGACGCGGGCAACAAAGCCAGCCGAGGGCCCCGGGGAGCGGGCCCCAGACAATGGGCGCGGCGGCGGAGGCAGGGCCGGGGCCGCTCGGGCGGAGCCGCCGCAGCCATCCGCGCCGGCCACCGGGCCAGGGCCCCTCGGGGGCGCCGCGGGGCGTCGGGGGGCCCGGGAACCGGGGCGCACGCAGCTCCAGGGCGCGCGCGCACGCTCTCGCCCCGCACGCGCGGCGGCTGGGCAGCGAGGGGGAGACCCCGGTGCCGCGCGGGACTCACTTTGAGGAGGCAGCTGTTGAGCGGGGCGGGCACCGAGGTGCGGTGGATCACCAGGTCCTGGCCCGGGTTGTGCACGTCGCAGATGAGCTCCAACACCGCGACGCTGCGCGCCGTGGACACCGACACGCGGTGGTCCTCGGACCAGGCCAGCGGCTCCAGGCCGCTCACCGCATACTGCAGCTTCACGGCCGGTTCCCGCCGAGTCACCAGCAGGCGGAACGCGGCGCTGGGCCCGGGGGCCGCCGGCTCCTTCCCGCCCGCCTCGCCGGCCCCCTCGCCCTCCTCCTCCCCGGGCGGCGCAGGCCCGGCCACCGCGGGCCCCACCCGGGCCTTGTCGGCCGCGCTCATCCTCGCTCAGCAGCCGAGGTCCGAGGCCGCGGCGCGCCAGGCCCGCGTCGCCGTCGTCCCGCGCGCACGGCCGCCACCGCCCCCAGCGCCCTCCGCGGCGGTCCTCTCCCCGCAGGCCCCGAGCGCCGCCGAGCCTGGAAGGACCCCGCCGTTGCCAGGCGACGCAGCCCTGCCGGGTGGCCGCGCAGCTGCCTGACTGGAAAGCGCGCCTGCCCGCGCCCGGCCGCGGCGGACCCTCGGGGAGACCGAGCCTCAGGCGCGCTCCTCCGCGCTCGTTCCTACCGGGCGGCGGCCCGGGAGCGCGGCCTCCTCTGGCTCCTCAGGGCGGACAACCTCGTCGCCCACGAGCCAGGCCGCGGGGCTCGCGGAGCGCAGCGGCCCCCGCCGCCGCCGCCGCCGCCGGCCGGAGTCGCCGAGCGCTTCGCCGCGGCCGCGGGCCATCCCCGGGCCGGCGCGGAGGCTTGGCCGAGCCGTTCCGGAGGCGGGCCGTTCCGGAGGCGGAAGGGGCGGCGACACAGGACTCGGCGGGGCAGCCGTGCGGGGTCCTCGCGCGCCTTCCACGTGGGGTCCCGGTCCCGAGCGGCCCGTCCCCCGCCCCGGCCGGCCATGGTGGCCACCCACAGCTCGCGCGGTGAGGGGTCCCGGGCTGCCGCGCGCAGGACTTTGTCCGGAGCCGGCCGGGCGCAGGCGAGGCGGGTGAGTTCCGACGGCGCTGCGGCCTCCGCGCGGGTTCCGAGCCGTGGACGGGGTTGAGGGGGCGGGAGCGGGAACACGTGCGCGAGGCCGCCGCCCCACGCGCGGGGGTGGTCGCGGCTGGCGGGGAGGGGGCGGGGGGCCGCAGGCCGAGTTTCTGGGACTCCACGGACAGGCCGGTTTGTTTCGCGGGTGAGGCCGGAAATGCCAGGGGCTTCCCGGCAGGTGCCGTGGGCTGGGGCGTGTTGGCGACCACGGTGCCCCCACGCCTGCAAAGGAGCCCGGCCGGAGCCGAAGCCGGTCGCCGGGGTGGCGGGCTGCAGGGTGGGAAGTCGCTGCGGAGTCGTGGGTTAGCGCGCAGAACGCGCGCGGGGAGGGCTGGTGTTTCTTTTTCCGTAAGAAGTGACGCGTGGTTCCACTGAGAAGTCGCCGCCGCAGACAGCCGGGTTCCGCGAGTGGGAGATAAAATTCCCGAAGAGCGTGCAAAAGCTCGGACCGGCCTGGCCCGGTTCTCTTGGGGATTTTTTTTTTTTTTTTTTTGTGATAAGGAGGTTTAGGATTGGGGTGTTTGAGGGTAGCCAAGGGTGTGGGTGAAGCTGCGGGCGAGGAATGATACAAAGCGTGCAGCAGCCATTGGGAGCGTGGGAGGGGAGATGGGCTTCGGTGCTGACCTGGCAGTGCCCTCGCCGTGCGGTGCTGGAGGAGGCGTGTAACCTCCCTCATTCATGCCGTGTATAAAGGGGGGGGGAGTAATCTCTACTCCATGCTGGAGGAGGTGTGTAACCTCCCTCATTCATGCCGTGTATAAAGGGGGGGGGAGTAATCTCTACTCCATGCTGGAGGAGGCGTGTAACCTCCCTGGTCCTAATTCATGCTGTGGGTAAGGGGGGGGCAGTAATCTCTACTCCATGTAACGTTACCATGAGGATTCAGCGGGACTATACGCCTAAAGATGCTGCCCGTGGTCTGGCCATAGAGGCACTTACTAAGGCCAGTGGTGACCGCTTGGAGTGATGGATCGCTACCCCGCGACGTCTCCGATGCTTGAGTTGCACACCACACGCAGGAAGCACTTGCTGAAGCCTTGAGAGAGCCGCGGGTGTGCGAGGTGTGAATGCTGGGACCAGCCTCCCGAGGGTGTGCGAGGTGTGAATGCTGGGACCAGCCTCAGCAGGGGACTGATTGATTGAGAGAGAGCTGGCAAGTCTGCAGTGGCCTTTTCTGCATCCACATTTGTATGGCTTTTCTTTTTTAAAGTGATTTATTAATTTATTTGAAAGGCAGAGCTACAGGTTTTTTTTTTTTTAATGTCTAGCATGAGAATGATGGATGTGTCGATCAGATTTGCCAGTAGGATGAGTAGCTAATACCTTGGATTTGGAAAAACCTTGGCAACGTATATCTGTCTTACACTGTACAAGATATTTTCTTTGTAACATTGGTTTCGGATTATTAAACTGACACCAATTTATTGTAACAAACTTGGAAACATTTAAAAACCCAGCCATAATTAGATGGGCTCAGAGATAGCTACTACTCTTAGCATTTTGATATATATTGTTCTAGAAAATAACAGCTTAAAACAGGAGTCAGACAGCACAGGTCTCCTGAACAGCTTAGATACGGTTACTGCCTCGTCCTTGTCAGGATGGGGGTGTGGGATGGACATGCCCGGCCAGACCTCACAGCTGCGCTCAGCGTTCCTGGGTGGAAAGAGCCCCGTCTCAGTCCCCGTCCTGACGGGCGGGATGACGTGTGTGTGTGTGCCTACCATGCAGTCTGGCAGGGAGCAGCCGCTCCGTGCGTTTTCAATGTCAAAGTCATGGCATGGCATCTCAGAGTCTGGGGGCCAGATGGGCTCTGGGGATCTTGTGCCATAATCCCGCTCCCCTGGCGGGGGGGGGGAGCGGAGACTCGGAGGGGAGGGACTTGCTGAACGCCACGTGGCTGATTTTCAGTGGAGCCTGGTTGTGTCCTCGCGCCCTCTGCTCACCTGCCGCCTCGCCGTGCCTTGGCCTCTCTGTCTGCTGTTTAGTGCTCCCACAGCCCTTTGGACGTGCCTCTCTTGTGCCCGTACAGGTTGGGATTTATGTTTGCACCAGTCTGTCTTCCACCTGTCTGACTTCTTCAGGGGCCTGGCCAGTCTTTCAGCTTCGCCTCATCAGGACCAGGCCGCCACACGAATGTGCTGTGTGTGCGGGGAGAAGCGCTAACGAGTTGGGTGGCCTCCAGGCTGCAGAAAGGACTCCGCGCGCTCACACGTGTCCACTGAGCACTGACAGGCCTGTGCAGGGAGTTCAGTGCTGTGCCGGAGAGACGGAGTCTCCGGTCCAGCAACGAGTCGCATACAACGCTTGTTTGTGGCCAGTGCTGCAAGGGAGAGGGGGATACGGGTGCCAGGAGGGCCAACAGGAACAGGGAACCGTGACTTTGCTGGGTGGAGAAAGGAGGTGGGAAGGCTCCTGGCTGATAGGCAAGCCTCAGTCCCAAGGGTGCGTGTGGGTTAGCCGGCCAGCGGGAGGGTTGGAGTCCCTAGGGGTGGGGGTAGCACGTGCAAAGGCCCGCAGCAGGGGGACAAAGAGGCCAGATTCTGGAAGGCTTTGTGGATCTTGTTACACTTTTATTTTGGTCTGAGAGCAGTGGGAAACCTGTCTAAACTATTTCACTTTGCTTGCCTTTCAAGAGATGTTGACAGGGATTCAGGGTGGTAGGGAGGTGCGGGGTGTAAGGGTTTGGGGTCTGTCGTCCGAAGAAGAGGGGAAAGGGAGTTCTCTGTAGGAGGGCTCGTCCCGCACCAGAGGAAGGAGGCTGATTGTGTGTGGCTCTAGAGCGCACACCTCAGACCACAGGTGAACACTGAAGGAGGCAGCTCTCGGCCGAACGTCTGAAACAGCCCCGCGTCCCTGGGATTGGTCAGGAGCGCAGCAGGCTTCCCACTGGTAAAGAGGGGTGCAGGCTGGGCTGCAAGGCCCCCGTAACTGGTGCTGGTGGGGAAGCTGGAGGGACTGCGGGGTTCCTGCCATTTCGTGCTGTCTTGGAGAGGAGGCCACTGATGTGAAACTCGACTTTCTGTTTCTTTAATCTGGAAATTCGTAACCTTGGGACTCTTAAGGTTATGCTAAAAGATGAAATCCGTCAATACTGGCTTTATTAATACTAAATGTTTGAAGGTGTACATATTGATTTACTTTTGTAAGGAATCCTTATGGTTGGGGGGGGGCTGTCACTACTGGTCGCTTAGTCTGAAGTTGACAGTCACGGCCGAGACAAGCCAATGGGTGAAGACGCCACGATTCCAGGCAGACAGGAAAGTAGAGTAGCAAGTGCTGGCCACCGAGGGGTGCTGTCGTGTCCACGTGTAGGCTGGAAGAGACGGCCGGCCAAGGAATAGAGGAACTGGCCATTTCTTCTCCCAGGGGAAGTTTGGACGTCTTGCGTTGAACCACGTGGGTGTCGTGGAAATCAGAAGCAACAGGCAAGAAAGGCCCAGTGGCGCACGGCCTGTAGCCAGGCGGCAGTCAGGCAGGGAGGGCTGTGGGCAACTGTGTAGAGGTGACGGATGGAGCAGAACTCCCGTTTGGAAGGGGAGCAGCGAGCAGGACTGTCTCCAGGGCATCGAGTCTGCGGAGCAGCGGGAGGGGCGGCTGTGGAGCCAGGGCCTGGGCCGAGCCCTGACGAAGGCGTCCGCTTCTGGCAGGGGCTGGGACGCCGCCTCCTGCGCCTCGCTGCTTCCGTAGGAAGGGGCAGGCGAGCGAGCATCCTGCCCCTGCCCTCCTGTTCCTGTGCACATGGAGACCGGGGGGGTGGGGATTGACTTAGATCCACACTGCACACGGGTGGCTTCACCTTTCCTTTAAAACAGACCCCACTGGCCGCCACGGCAGCTCAAACAGTGTTTCCCCTCCTCCATCGTCACCCTCGTCCTGGTGGTTTAGCAGTTAAGATGGATGACGAGGTCTGGCAGATGAATGAGCTGAGGTGTTTCCTTTTTTTTTTTTTTTCTTCCTTTTGGAAGAGGCTGACTCAGAATCTGGTTGCGAGCCCTCAACTGTTGCTTGGCATGTGGGGCCTGATGATCCCGGTGGGAAGAGATGCAGTTCTGTGGGCAGTCAGGCTTCACGCGGAGGCCTGTCTGCATGGACTGATGCACCTCTCATTATCTTTCCTTGGGGACACGCAGCAAGCAAAGGCTACCAAGAGGAAGCAGCAAGCGTCCAGCGCGGCTCCCCCAGCAAAACGGAGGAACGAAACATCGCTGCTCCCAGCCGGGAAGACTGCTGTCAGAGACACTGAACGGGCTTTCAGGAGGCGTGCACAGAAGGTGTTTTCTCCCAGGAAGTGTTCAGTTAGCGCGGGTGATGGGAGCCGAGAGGAGAAACCGTGCATTAAGACTTCGTCGTTGTTTAAAAACAACCCTGAGATCCCAGAGCTGCCCAGGTATGTGCAGGGGCAGGCGGGCCTCGGGGCGCAGGGAGCCCTGTGTTCCGCCTTCCTCACTGCTGGCTTGGAGCTCACGCCTGGCTTGGTTCACTTTGCAGACCTCGGGTGGAGCAGGCGTGTGAGACGGTGTTCACTCCCGACGCGTTCCAGGAGCTGGGCCTCCACCCACACCTGGTGAGTGTCTTGCGGCATTCTGCGGGCCAGGTTTGTCGGGGTGTTTGTTCATTCAGAAAGTCTGAGACGACAGTCCTAGAAGAAGAAATTGCGGGGTGTTTCTCCTGCCTCTGGTCAGCGTACGGGGAGCTCTGCCAGTGCACAGTCACTCATCACTGTCTCCTGCGCCCAGGGCCTCCCGTACCTAACGCAGTGCAGCGCGAGACTTTGCTGCCTGAACTTACTACAGTTTCTGGATGGGTGTCTGGTTGGAGCCAGGGGTGCTGGCAGATGGCACAGTGACCACAGGAGAGAGAAGTGAGCTGGCGTCTTGCTAGTGAGGGACGTGTGCAACGTTTAAAAAAAGGAAGAAGCAGCTATTTAAATGCATTTTCTACAGACAGACACTTTTAAAAAAAGAAGCATGAGTGAGTTTTCCAGACTTACGAGCAAGGAGAGAAAAGAGCCTGTTAGTGTTGAGAAAAATCTGCTTGCTTCGGCTCACAGGGTCCCAGCTGCCCTGCCCTTTCTCTAAGGGTGGGTTCGAGGGCTGGTGTTCTCACTAGAGGTTCAAGCGGGTTTCTCAGCCTGGGGCAGCAGCCGCGGGGGCTGCACAGCTCCTCGCTGTGGCCCTGCTCTGTGTGTTACAGGAGGTTTCACAGCGCCCCGGGCCTGTTCCCCACTCAGTGCCAGTTCACCCCTCCCCTGGTTGCAACAACCAAAGATCTCTCCAGATATTGCCACCAGTGCTCTGGGGCAGGGACCAGAACCACCCCCAGTTGCGAATCCCTCAATTGGAAGAACTTAATTTGATCCTGATAATCACTGTCATCCCAATACTTTCTTCTTTTTTGCATCATTTCCATTAAGTATGTTTATATAAAAAAATTGGTCATCAAAGAAAAATGCTTTTTGTTTTCTCTTTCAGATTTCCACAATAAATACGGTTTTTAAAATGTCTAGTATGACCAGGTAAGTGTTCAAGGCTACTCTTGGTTTTCCTGGGGCTGAAGTGGGTGTAACCAGATGACAGGCGGTTATCTGTGGCGGGCGCGGTGGATCTGGGTCTTGGTGTTAGAAAACAGTGCCAGGTTATCGTATCGGCAGTTGTGAGCTGCACGCAGCTCTTAGCCTCTCGGCTTCCTGCCTGTGGAGAGGAGAGAGGGGTTCCTCCAGTCTGTTCCCTGCTCTACCCTGTGTGGGTGTTTGGCTCGGAGGATCAGCTGTTGTCTGCTTCCCTGAAAAGAACTGGCCAGAAGACAGAATTTGGTCACGTTATTTCTTAGTTTGGGAATTGGGGTCAGCCAAAAGGCAGGAGGGAATATTTGGCTGGAGGTAGTGGAATACCAAAGATCGTTTGAGATGTTTGTTAGTGATGAGTCCTGGAAAGCAGAGAGAAGGTGTGGGGGAGACGAGGGTCCCCACTTGGTGCACGAAGGCTTTGTTAATGCTCACTCTTCAGAAGTTAGGTCAGGAAGAACACTGAAGACTGTGGAGCCCCCAGCAGTTGCTTTTGTTTGTTGTATCAACCAAGTTTAAGAGATTTCTGTGGAAACAAATCGCAGTGTGTCCTTAACATGTCTTGGAGTAAGCTGATGGCTGCCTGGGTCTGCCTGCTTCCCTTTGCTGTTCACAGGGAGATCCCTGTATTGCACTGGGCTGTGCTCCCTGCTCCTGGTAGAAGGCAAGAGAGCATCTGGTACATTTTTACGATAATTCTGGTTTTTCTCTCTTGTCTGATTTTTAATTTTTTAGAAATTTATTTGAGGGACTGAGAGAGCTCCCATCCTCTGGTTTACTCTCCAAATGCCCAGAACAGCCAGGGCTGGGCCAGAGCCTCAGCCTCCTGGCAGGAATGCAGTGCCCGTCTCCCACCTGGGTGACAGGAAGCCAATTACTTGGGCCGTCACTGCCGCCTCCCAGGGTCTGCTTGGAGAGCTGGAGTCAGACACCAGAGCCGGGCACTCTGGATAGGACGCGGGTGTTGTAACGCCCAGACCAAGTGCTTGGTCCTTGTCCAGTTTTCTCAAAAATGAGCTTAATGAAATGGCCAGTCTCTGTCTTGCGTCACTATTTTCAGCTACGTTCCAGAAACTTAGCTAGCATTTTATCAAACGTCTCTTAGCACCGTTGCTTGAATGTTTGAGTAACTCGTAGGGTGGGAGTTGCTGGGGAGTCAGCATGGGGCTGTTGCGTTGTGCGTACCCTGTGTGTCTGTCTGTACCCTGTATGTCTGTCTGTGAACACAACCAGGTAACCTGTTTTATGTAAGATGTGCTTTTTCTTTTGGGCGGCCCAAGTGTTCAGAAGCGCAGTATCCCTGTGTTGCTAGAAGGCAGAGATGCTCTGGTGAGATCCCAGACGGGCTCAGGTGAGTCATCGTTTGGTGTGCCCTTCGTCCTGTGGTTCCCAGGACCCCGGTCTTGCCGTAGAATCCACAGTGTGGTGGTGCTGGTGCTGGGTGTTGTGTTTTGTCTGGGCGAGGAAGGCCATGCTTACTCTCGATGAGTGCCCTGAATTTGTTCCCACAGAAAAATGAAGGGACCCCAGCGGTGCCATGATCAGGACTGGTTAGGAAGTGGTCACTTGTGCTGTTGGCTCCCGGGCCTCGCTCCAGCGGGCAATGGCTGTTCCTTCTGGTGCGAAGCAGAGCTCTGGCATGAGTGTGTGCTGGCTGGGGGCTAGGGTGAGCTCGAGGATGGAGCGCTAGGTTCCAGACCCCTGTGGGCTTGCCCTCTGCCTGACCGGCACGCTCAGCGGCAGCCCACCTGTTTTCCACTCCCGCCAGGGTGCACACCCAACGGTTTTTGCCTTCTGCTGGCCGTTAGAGGCCGGCTCCAGGATCCAACTTGAGTGTGATCCCATCAGTGCCACAGAGGACATTTAACTGACCACTGAAGCTTGACTTGGTCATTAAGGAAGATTGTAGAGGAGGAATTGCCTTTTTGTTTTTGTTTTTGTTTAAATATTTATTTATTTATTTGAAAGGCAGAGTTACAGAGAAGCAGAAGCAGAGAAAGAGAGAGGTCTTCCATCCGCTGGTTCACTCCCCAGATGGTCACAACAGCTGGAGTTGTACCAATCCAAAGCCAGGAGCCAGGAATTTCTCCTGGGTCTCCCACATGAGTACAGGGGCCCAAGGACCTGGGCCATCTTCGACAGCTTTCCAAGGCCACAGAATAGAGCTGGATCAGAAGTGGAGCAGCCGGGACTCGAACCCGTGCCCATATGGGATGCCAGCACTGTAGACGGTGGCTTTACCCACTTCACTCACTATAGCACCGGCCCCCAATTTTTTTTTTTTTTAAAGATCTGTTTACTTGAAGGACAAAGTGGCAGAGAGAGAGAGAGATCTTCTGTCAGCTGGTTTACTCCCTCAGTGGCCATGACAGCCAAGTCTGGGCCAGGTCAAAACCAGGAGCAAGGAACTCCATCCAGGTCTCATACATGGGTGGCAGGAACTCCTTCCCAGGGGCATTAACAGGGAGCTGGATCAGAAGCCGAGTAGCCAGGACTAAAGCTGTCTTCTGCAGACAAACACCAAGTTGACCTGTTGTGTGTTGTTGATCTCCTCTGTTAGATGGATAAAGGGGCTGAAAGCTAGATTTTTGAGGAGCCTGACTTCACGAGTTAAGTTGGGCGCCAGGAGCAGCAGGTGAAGGCCCTGTTCCCTCTGCTGCACGTGTGATGTGCAGGTTTTCCCTGTCCCCAGAACCTGGTGCCGTCCCGAGCTAGAAGAGCCCGCTTCCTTTATGACCTTGACTCTTCCTAGATCTGCAGGGTGTGCGATTTTACTGATTTTGCTCTTTTTTAAAAGGGAAAACTCTTGCTTATTGCATCCCTGTGGTCCAGTCTCTTCAAGCAATGCCGTCAAAAATACAGGTGAATGTAAACATGTTTTTCTGTTTCTGTTTATAGTGCATTAGCAACCATCACACTGAGCTGTGGAGTGGCGTCAGAAATGAGAGAATGTGTTTTCATTTACCATTGTTTTCTTTCCTTTTTGTGTTTCTTTTAAACATTTATTTATTTATTTGAGAGGCAGAGATACAGAGAGAAGGAGGGGGAGAGACAGAGATCTTCCATCTGCTGATTTACTCCCTATGTGACCACAGCAGCTGGGTCTGGGCCAGGTCGGAGCCAGGAGCCAGGAGCCGTGAGCTTCTTCCTGGTCTTCCACGTGGGTGCAGGGGCCCAAGCACTTGGGCCATCTTCCACTGCACATCAGCAGGGAGCTGGATCAGAAGTGGAGCAGCCGGGACTCAAGCTGGCATCCATAGGGGATGCTGGCAACATGAGCAGAGGCTTAACCTTCTGTGTCACAGTTCCAGTCCCCTAATGTTGTTTTCTTAATATATTTATTCATTGACTGCATCTAAAGACTGGGTTGCAGAATTAGAAGTCTATTAAGGGGCTGGCACTGTGGTGTAGCAGGTGAAGCCACCATCTGCAGAGCCAGCATCCCATGTGGGCATCATTTTGAATCCCAGCTGCTCCACTTCCCATCCAGCTCTCTGCTATGGCCTGGGAAAGCAGTAGAAGATGGCCCAAGTCCTTGGGCCTCTGCATCCATGTGGGAGACTCAGAAGAGGCTCCTGGCTTTGGATTGGCCCAGCTTCAGCTGTTGCAGCCATTTGGAGAGTGAATCAGCGATGGAAGAATTTTTTTCTCTCTCTCTTTCTCTCTTCTCTCTCTCTGCCTCTCTGTAACTCTGCCTTTCAAGTAAATAAATGAATCTCTTAAGAAAAAGAAGTATATTAAGTCTACCTGAGATGTGAATGACAAATATCATCCATGAACTAAAATATCCATGAGTCCAGCTTGCCATAAATAAACAATCAAATAAACAAATGGGGATGAATTTCAGCAAGTAAGTGTGGAAGTGATGTCAAGAGAAAATCACCGTTTGGCAGATGCCACAATGAAACTGTTTCAGGCATGAATCATCATAGATACTGAAATAAAATGGATGGAATCACAGCGAAAGGTGGAATGATCTTATAGTCTCAAGGGGTTTCCATGTAGGACGCTTCTTGGTTACAAAGGGAAGCCAGCGGCTTGCAGCTGGGAGGCCAGCCTGCTCCCGCGGCCTTCACCGAGTGCTCACAGTGGGCTTCCCCGGTGCTGAGCCTCCTGGTAGGCAGTGCTGAGGAGGACACTGCCTCTCTGTTTCCTTGCAAAAAATGCAGACCAGAATGCACCTGCAGGGGAGCACCTGACAAACCTCCATCAAGGAGCACTCTGCAGAATAGCCGGGCAGGGGTCTTCAAGGTGTTGAGTCCTAAATTCAGACAAGAAATACTGACGAACTGCTCCAGACTGAGATGAGAGACAACAGCGAGATGCAGTGCGCTGGACCTAGAGTGCACTGATCTGGAAATAGGGCATGCGTAGGTCAGTGGATATTTGATTAAGATCTATAGATTAGGGCCGGCGCCGCGGCTCACTAGGCTAATCCTCCGCCTAGCGGCGCCGGCACACCGGGTTCTAGTCCCGGTTGGGGCGCCGGATTCTGTCCTGGTTGCCCCTTTTCCAGGCCAGCTCTCTGCTGTGGCCAGGGAGTGCAGTGGAGGATGGCCCAGGTGCTTGGGCCCTGCACCCCATGGGAGACCAGGAAAAGCATCTGGCTCCTGGCTCCTGCCATTAGATCAGCGCAGTGCGCTGGCGGCAGCGCGCCGGCCGCGGCGGCCATTGGAGGGTGAACCAACGGCAAAAGGAAGACCTTTCTCTCTGTCTCTCTCTCTCACTGTCCACTCTGCCTGTCAAAAAATAAAAAATAAATAAATAAATAAATAAAAAAGATCTATAGATTAGGCCGGCGCCGCGGCTCACTAGGCTAATCCTCTGCCTGCCACGCTGGCACTCCGGGTTCTAGTCCTGGTTGGGGCACCGGTTCCATCCTGGTTGCTCCTCTTCCAGTCCAGCTCTATGCTGTGGCCCGGGAAGAATGGCCACAAGTGCTTGGGCCCTGCACCCATGTGGAAGACCAGGAGGAAGAACCTGGCTCCTGGCTTCGGATTGGCGCAGCGCCGTCCATAGCAGCCATTTCGGGGGTGAACCAACGGAAGGAAGACCTTTCTCTCTCTCTCTCTCTCACCCTCTCTGTCTAACTCTGCCTGTCAAAAAAAAAAAAAAAAAAAAAAAACACACCAAAAAACAACAAGATCTATAGATCAGTAATATGGATCAATGTTAATGTCCTGGTTTTGATAATTACAATATAGTTTTCATAATTTCTGACATGTGTGGAGACTAGAGTGAGAGTATTTAAGAATTCCTTGTACTATTTTTGGCAATTTCTTACAAGTCTGAAATTATTTCAAAGTGAGTAGGTTGAGGCATTTTAAAAATCAATCTTTTTTTTTTTTTTTTTAAGATGTGTTTGTTTATTTGAAAGGTAGAAATGCAGAGAGATGAGAGAGAGATCTTCCATCTGCTGGTTCATTCCCCCAGATGGCTGCAACAGCCAGGGCTGGGCCAGGTTGAAGCCAGGAGCAGGAGCTTCTTCCAAGTCTCCCAGCTGGGTGCAGGGGCCCAGCACTTGGGCAATCTTCCACTGCTTCCCCAGGCACACTAAAAGGGAGCAGGATCAGAAGTGGAGCAGCGGGACTCGACTCGGAGCTGTGTGGGATGCCAGCACTGCAGGCGGATGCTTAACCTTCTGTGCCGCAGTGCCAGCCCCCTAAAAATCAGCTTTCAAAAGCCCTACACAGTCATCCAGATGATGGAGATCCACACAGCCGTTAAAAGTGGCATTTTGAACTGGGTTTGGCACAGCAGTGACGTCACTGTTTGGGATACCTGTATCCCTGATCAGGACCGGATTGAATCTCAGCTGCTCCGCTTCTATCCAGCTTCCTGCTAGTGTGCATTCCGAGGCAGCAGTGACGGCTGAAGTGCCTGGTCCTGCCACCCACAGAGGAGCTCAGACTGCGGTCCCGGCTCCTGGCTTTGGTCTGGTCCAGCTGTGCTGTTGCCAGCTTCAGGGAGTGAGCTAGCAGGTGGAAGATCTGTCTCTCTGTCTCTGCCTTTCAGGTAAAAACAGTGAAAGTAAATAAAATTTAAACGTGAAGTTTTTTTTCAGTTATTACTTGCAAACTTGAGCTTCTGTTCTTGCCACGTTAATTAAAGAAAGGCAGATTACAAAACAGTGTGATCCTATTAACTCCGGTTTCATAAATAATAGTTTATGTCTATATAGACATAAAGAAGTAGAATACTTGGCAAATTGTTAATATTGGTTTTCCCTGAGGTGGATAAATGAGGAATTTTATTTCCTGGAGGAAACTGATTTACTTTCTCATTACACACTTTACAGTGAGATAATTCATGTAAAGTGTTTAGCATTGTCCCTGGCACATAGTTAGAGAAGAATAAATGTGAGTTATTGTCATCACGCAGTGAAGTCTCATCCACGCACACACTCCAGAAGAACTTGTTGCCAGTGGAGGTTTTTCTTCACTCCAGGCTGGAGAGTCTGAGCTGGAATGGGAGTATCTGAGCTAGAATGGGAGTATCTGAGCTAGAATGGGTCCTACAGTTGTAGCCTGACTCTGCCTGGCTCATCACCATTACCATCATCACCACCAGTACCATCATCACCACCACCACCAGCACCACCAGTACCATCACCACCACCACCACCGCCATCACCATCACCACCAGCACCACCACCACCAGCACCCAGCAGCAGCAGCAGCAGCAGGGTCTTGTGGCTGCTCTGAACAACAGTAATTTGATTTATTTTGCTGAAAACCATTGACCATGTCGTGTTTTATTTGTGGAATTAGGAGGGTATTTCATTCAGAGAGTTAATGGAAAATAGAATTAAAAGATAACGCACATCTCCCATGAACTTTGTGAAGACGCCTTGTGTCTTTGGACATCAGTAACGGGCCGTCTGTCAAAGACCGCGTGTTCTGCGGAGCCCTGGTCCCAGCCCCAGGTGGCTCCCTTACTTCCAGCTGTGCTCAGTGCAGTCCTCGGAGTCCCAGGAGGAGCGTCCCTGGGGGAGCAGCACGTCCAGGCGCTCGAGGGCAGTCGAGTCCCGCGTCTGCGTCCGCAGGCCTGCAGCTGCGTGGGCCCTGGTTCCTTCAGCAGCGCGTCCTCCCTTCCCTCTCTCGGGCCCTGTGAGGCACCGACTTTCCTTCCTCCTCCTCCGTGTCGTGACAGCTCTTGAAATGTCAGAGTCCCCTCGCGTCACACAGCGGCATGTTGGTAGCGCTGTGCTAACATGTTTACCGTTCCTGGCTGGGGCTCCTGTGTAGTCTCACAGGTTGGTGTTGGGTACAGACTGAATTTCAAATCTCTCTCTCCTTTTGGGTAAATATTTCCCATGCAAAACATGAACACCACGCGAGTAATTGGATTTGCTGCTGAGTCTGCCCCCGCCTTCACACGCTCATCTGTGCACCGGCGATGTGCAAGGCACTGTTGACCCAGGGGCCTGCGTCAGAGTGCTTGGGTTTCTCTTTCTTTAATTATTATTTGTTACATACAGTTGTATGTGGTTTAAAAATTGAGAGTACCAAACATACGCGTGGTGAAAGTGAGTCGTTCTGCTCTCCCTTACCCCGTGGCCTCGGGTGCCCGTGTGGACCTGCGTGCGCGCAGTTCCTCTCCCCGCTTTGCCGTGACGCTTGCTTTCTGAGACTCTCACAGTACGCGCGGTGTCCTCTGCCTCGCCCTCCGCCATCTAGCGCTGCCTGGTGGTTTTGAGTGGCTGCTTAGTGGGAGTCCATTGTGTGTTTGTGCCGTGACTCACTGAGTCATTCCCTCCTGAGTAGGTGGGATTTTCATCGTGTCCATTATTTTGCCACAAACAAGACTGCTACAAATACAATCTGTAGATATTCTACAGCTTGCTTTGTTCACACATACGTATCTGCAGTATAGTTTACATTTTCATTTTAGTAGGTAATGCCAGGTTTGACTTTTAAATCATTGTACAGGCCTGCACTCCCACCAACCGTGTATAGGAGTTCCTGGTTGCTCATGCCCTCATCAACACTCTCAGCCATTTTATTTTTGCTCATTTAATGGCAAAAGGGAAAAATACTTTATCATAGTTTCAGTTTGAATATCTCTTAGGAGCAAAATTGAACTTCTTTTCTTGTGTGAAAGTGTGTGTAGTAACCAGTGTTTTGAATTCTTATTTCCGTAGATCTGCTGTTAATGGGTTTTATCCTTCTTTCTCGAATTTTCGCTTGGGTTGTAGACTTTGTAAGTTGGAAGATTAGCCCTTCTGTCTAAGACTGCTTTGTTTGCCCCCAGTGTCATTTGACTCATGCTTTGGTTTTAGTTATTATTTTTCCATAGTAAAATTTTCAATTTTTATGGGACAAAACGTGTTGGTGTTTCTTTTACGGTTTCTGAGTGTTGTGTGCTCTATAAAAAAGGTCATTTTAGTTCCAGCTTTATTTTTCTAGCTTTTTCCTCAAAGCTCTTTTGAATAATCCATCTCTCTCCTACTAATACAAAATGGCCCTTACATTATTCCATAAATTTGCCTGTCTTTGATTCTGTTCTCGATTCTGTTTGCTGTTGAGATCTCTATTTATGTGCCAGTATCATTTTTTAAACTACCAAAGCTTTAAATTATTTTGATATCTAATATGCTTTTCATAAATGTCTTGGTTATGTTTGCAAATTTTTTAAAGAAATTAAAGCCTTTTTTTAAAGATTTTATTTATTTATTTAAAAGGCAGAGTTACAGAGAGGCAGAGAGAGAGAGAGAGAGAGAGGTCTTCCATCCACTGGTTCACTCCCCAGATGGCCATAATGGCTGCAACTGCTCCAATCCGAAGCCAGGAACTGCTTCTGGGTCTCCTACATGGGTACAGGGGCCCAAGCACTTGGGCCATCTTCTGCTTTCCCAGGCCATAGTAGAGAGCTAGATTAAAAGTGGAGCAGCTGGGACTCAAACCAGTGCCCATATGGGATGCTGGCTTTACTGACATCAAGTGGCGGCTTTACCCGCTATGCCACAGCGCTGACCCCAATGTTTTTGCAAATTTATTTTTTTCTTAGGAACTTTGAAATCAGCTTGTCTAGTTACATATTTTATATGTGCTGTGTACATGTGTACATACTTACGGTGTCTCGTTAGAATTGTACAATATTCATGGATTGGTTTAAAATAATTAGTTCATTTTTAATATTGATGTAGGCCACATCATTCCATTTACTCAGATTTTATTTTATGCTCCTCAGAGGTGTTTTAAAAGTTTCCTCGTATAGAATTTGTACACTTTGGCTAAGCTTTTTTTTTATCTTTTTTGTTGCTGTTAGAACTGTGGGTTCTTCTCTCGCTGCATTTTCTGGCATTCTGTGTTAGAAGACTGTTGATGTCTTAGGTTAATGTTGCGTTCAGCCACCTGACTGCAGTCTCTTACCTGTGGTAGATTTTCAGCTGAGGTCGTATCGTGCTGTCTGCTAACGTGAGTTTGTGTGTCTCCACTGTTGCACGGCTTGTTTCTTTGTCTTGCCTGATTGCATGGTCCAGGACCTCCACAACAGTGTTCTGTGGTGCTGAGGGTGCCGGGCGTTCTTGTCTCCTGATGTCTACAGCCAGCTGCCTGCAGCTCCGTCGTCTGGAGTCTGTGGCCTTCATTCACCCACTCACCGTGTGTCTGTTTTTGTCAGCAGCGCAGCGATGGCCCCTATGCTCTGGTGATAGTGCCGACGCGAGAGGTAAGCAGGCCCGCCTTCCTGGGCCTCGTGTGCGCCAGTGACGTCCTGTGGACTTTAGGTGTTACCTGCGTGCTCTTCTCCTTTCCCTTGCTGGTTCCTCGTAGGATGAAACTTTAGGTGTTACCTGGCATGCTCTTCTCCTTTGCTTTGCTGGTTCCTCGTAGGATGAAAACTCAAGTACTCGTGGAAAATAATAAGTGCAGAAAAGCATTTCCTTGTCAAAGAAACCACTGATGGCACTATTAAATTTCTGTCCCTTGAAAAGGGATTAAAGGGGCCAGTGCTGTGGCGCAGCTGGGTTAGGCCGCTGCCTGTGACACCCTCGCTGCTCCACTTCTGAGCCAGCTCCCTGCTGTGCTCTGGGGAAAGCAGAGGAAGATGACCTGGGTGCTTGGGCCCCCGCACCCACGTGAGAGACTCAGATGGAGCTGCTGACTCCTGGCTTTGACCTGGCCCAGCCTGGTCGTTGTGGCCATTTGGGGAGCAGCAGTTGGAAGACCTGTCCATCTGCCTCTCTCTCTGCAACTCTCCCTTTGAAAGAAATAAATCTTTAAAAATAAATAAAATTTATGTTTTTTACTTATTTTCATTTTATTCGAAAGGAAGGGAGAGAAATCTTTCATCTGCTGATTCATTCCCCAGAAGGTTGTGGTAGCCAGGGCTGGCCAGGCTGAAGCAGGAGCCCAGAACTCAATCCACGTGTCCCATGGAGGTGGCCGGAAACTGGCTGCAGACGCAGAGCTGGGACGTGAGCCCCGGTACTGCGATGCGGGATGCAGGCATCCCAGGTGGTGGCCTAACTGCTGCACCAAACACCGCCCTCAGAGTGTTTTTGTCTTTTTTAACAAGTTAATTCAAACTCAAGAGCATTGGCTCTGAAACTGAACTTTGATTTTTTAAAGAAACTATTACTACAAAAACTTCCCTTTTTCCTGAACGTTAAATTTCTCCACGTTTTTCTTTCTTGGTGGAAATCTCTGCTGTCTGACCTGTTTTATTTGCCTACAGAGGCAGTTTCAGACTGGGTGTCTGTTTTCTGCATCAGATGCTAATCAGTCTGTTGCAGAAAATTGATTATGAGGTGGAGGTTTTGAGCAGCCGTTTTAGAGCCTGCAGCGCCCGAGCTCAGCTCTGCCCCCGAGAACAGGCAGCGGCTCTGAATTTCTACAGCAGCAAACTTGCTCCTTGCTGGGGATGTCTCATGAACACTAATTAATAAGTGCTGTGTGTGTGTATATATTCTATATATGCATGTATATATGTGTGTGTGTGCTTGGATAACAGGGTACTGTAGAGAATTTTTGACGGTGGTTAATGTTACACCATTAACTTTCATTCGTCTGGTTTCCGCTGGGCATGTGGGTTTTGCCTTGTTTTTGTTTTTGTAGACTTGGGAACGAGCATCTGCCAGTCTGAGACGCCCTGGGCTGGTCTCCTTCAAAGGCTAGGCTGTGCGTCACCATTCTGCTCTGCCCCTCATCCGCCAGCGATTTTCTCTCTCTCTCAGGAGCGCTAGATTAGGGGGTGACTTTCCCCTTTTTTCCAACTTTGTGCACCAAAGACTTGAACTTCTGTGTGACGCTCTGGGAATTTGAGCCAGCAGAGGGAGCACAAAACACTATTTTTGTGTATGTCAAAGAACTAGATGTGTTACCTTTACGCTCGGTTGCGGAACCAGCCCAAGAGCGAGGCGCGTTTCTGGGGCAGATTCTGTGCACATAGGGTCTTTCTTCCCTTGAGCTTTGCCTCGAGGTGGAAGTCTCGGTCCCAATCAGTCACAGTGCCTGGGGAGGAAGGGCACGCTGCTCACGATTCTCTGTCACCCTTCACAGCTGGCTCTGCAGAGCTTTGACACCGTCCAGAAACTGCTTAAGGTAAGGCAGGCGTGCGTTCAGCCTTGTCCTCTTGGGCTGGCTTGTGAGGGAAGATTACCCCCAGTCTCCTTGTTTTCGCTGGGGTAGGAATTCCTCTTTGCCCCTTCCTTGATGTCCCCGCTTTCGCTGGCACAGTGTCTGAGGCTGTGCTGATCTCGGCCTTGCTCCCCGTCAGTTTGCAGCCCAGCCGAGTCACCGTGCTTCCTGGCGCTGGAGGTTGTGTGCTCTGTCCATCCCGTCACTAGCAGCCGTGGGCTGAGACCCCTGGCACAACCTCAGGGAAGCAGCTTCAGAGCCGGAGTGGGGTGGTAAAGACAGTGGGAAGGCTTCAGACCCAGAGCCTGCCGGCCCCGCGAGTTAGCGCGTGATTGCTCTGTCCTGCCCCTGCCCAGGCAGGGAGAGGGCACTCAGCTTGCTGGAATGCGTTTTCAGTGCAGGCTCAGCGGGGAAGGCGGGGCGGCTGCTGGGACCAGCGCAAGCGCTCCCGCGTCTCCCGCGTCCCGCCCACGGCGCCGGGAGCTGGCTGTCGCTGTCGTTCTGGTCACTGCCGCTCGTGACCGTGTGTGCAGCCCCTCCCACGGTGAAAAGCCCGAGTCCTCCCGCTCTGCCTGCTCGTTTAAGGGGTCGGAATCTAGAATCAGTCCTGTTTTCAGCGAAGGAGCGTTGCGCTGATTTTGGTCTGTGTCTTTCTCTAGCCTTTTACCTGGATTGTGCCCGGAGTGTTAATGGGAGGAGAGAAGAGAAAGTCAGAAAAAGCCAGGTAGGAGGAGGTCCACTCACTGCTGACTCCTTTTTGAATCTGGCTTTCCTTCTGTTCGATAAAACTTGGTCCTTCCAAACCTGGGGAGACCCTGTCTCCAACCAAGCTTCCTAACCCCGTATGTGGACGGCCCGAGACGGCCGAGAACCGTCACCTGCAGACAGCGCTGCAGTTTGAAATATTGATGAACCTCCCAGCAGGTTCCCGTCTGATGTGGTTGGCAGCAGCGCTCACGTCTTCCTGGCCGCAGCCCCACGAAGGCCCACAGACGCGCCCCGCCCCCACCTCCAGGGTGGGCGCCTTCTGTGCGGCTTTGCTGCTCGGTGTTATAAAAGTAAGATCACAAACATAGCGCCTCGCGGTTCACTTTTTATATCCAGATACATTGGTCCCTCACTTAAAATTGGTGTCAGTGAAAATTGTTCAACAAGTATATGCCAAATTGCCTGCATTCTTTCTAAAATTCTTTTAAAGCATTCATTCATTTATTTATTTACTTATTGGAAAGGCAGCGTTACAAGAGAGGGGAGGAAAGAGACAAAGAGAAAGGTCTGCCTTCCACTGATTCACCCCCCAAAGGGCTGCACTAAGCTGGGCCAGCCTGAAGCCAGGGGTGCGGGGCCGTCCACTGCTGCTTTCCCGGGCACATTAACAGGAAGCTGGATGGGAAGTGGAGCGGCAGGACTCGAACCCGGGGCCTATACGTTATGCTGGCGTTACAGGCAGGTGGCAGCTTTAGCTGCTGTGCCACAACACTGACCTAAAATACTTTTATTGTATGACAGCTTATTAATTAGTAGTTACCGCCAGCCAGCAAAACGAGCCTGAAAGCTGTAGGCATCGCTCAGGGTTGAATTCTGCTGTGAAAACACAAACAACGTGGTGGTTTTCCTCTCACCACAGTCTGATGCATCCAGTCCAGGACTGGTAGTGTGCTCTGTGTCTTTCTCTGCCGTTGTAGGAGGCGCCCATGCATGATTACCTCATGGTTTCAGTTAGGAGCTGGAGCTCCAGCCATTACATGTTCCTGCCAGCAGGAACAAAGATGGCCATCCCTCTTCCCTCTAAAGGTCCTTGAATGATCTGTGCACTCCCCTCATCTGTCTCTCTCATTGCTAGCACATAAGCAGATAGCCATACTTAACTGCAAGGAAAGCTGGAAAATACAACCAACTAAAAATGTTATTCTGGGGGCCGGTGCTGTGGCGTAGTAGGTTAAGCCTCCTCCTGAGGCACCAGCACCCCATAGGGTATCAGTTCGAGTCCCGGCTGCTCCACTTCCAGTCCAGCTGCCTGCTAACGGCCAGGGGAAGCAGTGGAGGAGGGCCCAAGTGCTTGAGCCCCTGCACCCATGTGGGAGACTAAGAAGAAGCTCCTGGCTCCTGGCTCAGATCAACCTAGCTCCTGCCATTGTGGCCACGTGGGGAGTAAACCAGCGGATGGAAGATCTCTCAGTCTCTGTCTCTCCCTGTCTCTCTGTAACTCTGACTTTTGAATAAAATAAAGAATCTTTTTTTTAAAAAAATGCTGTTCTGTTACTGTGAAATGATGGGGTAGTGGTTGCCTGGGAGGAAGTTGTCCCTGCTCTTCGAAGGCCCTAGGGCACAGTGCAGGCAGTTGTCAGGCGTCTGGAGCACCTGACCTGCTCCGGGAACAGGGTCCATGGCATAGAGCCTCTGAGAGCAGGTTGGAGAACCGTCCACTTGGAATGTCCTCTAAAGAGTCTGCATTGGCTAAAGAACATTGACTTTACAGTTAAGATTCCTCTCAGTTAGGGTTTCATGATGCTGAGCAGGTAGGTGCTGTGGGAGTGGGGGGCACGCGGTGTCTGTTTACCTGCTTGCCCCTGTGTGCTCCGTGACGTCAGGCCTGGCAGGCGAAGGGAAGCTGTCCTCCTTTTCCTCGTGTTTCTGTTGAGGTAGCCCTGTTTGATTGGCTTTTATGGTGTATAATTTTTCTGCAGACTTCGCAAAGGAATAAATATCCTTATCTCAACCCCCGGCCGCCTGGTGGATCACATCAGATCCACAAAAAACATTCATTTTAGTCGGATCTGCTGGCTGGTTTTGGATGAAGCAGACAGGTGAGCCTCGGCCGGGAAACACGAAAGGTGGAAGGGGAGGGCCGTGCCTGCCGCCTTCACTGTGACTTCCGCAGCCCCGTGTCACCACGTCTGTTCTGCATGCGGATCAAACTTCTTCTCTGACCGCAGAATCTTGGATCTGGGTTTTGAGAAGGATATCACAGTGATACTCAACGCTGTAAATGCCGAGTGCCGGAAGCGACAGAACGTCTTGCTGTCGGCAACACTCACAGAAGGTGGGTTGGGAAGTAGAAGGAGAACCCGGATGTCCCTGAGTCTTTGCCAGACAGGTCGCTCTGCTAGAAAGAAAGTGCCCCAAGAGGCCAGTGTGCAGACTCCAGTCCCACACACCCGAGACTGATCCCCATGGCACAGGGCAGGGGAGAGGTCGTCTCGGCGCTCGGGCAGGGGCACCTGTGCCCAGATGTTGCGGGAAGATTTCACTGCAGGTGCCACCCACCGTGGGGCCCGGGCTCAGAGGACGCTGCCCTCTCTCCACCGTGCACTGCTGAGTGTAGTCCTCACACCTTTTCCCAAGGGGCACCGCTCTTAGAAGAGGTTGCTGAAGCTCCTTCTGTCTTCTGCCCTCTCGAGGTGGGGATTCTTAGTTCTCTTCACAGATGGGACACCGAGGCCCGGAAGGCTCCAGAATCGCCCCACACGATGAGTCAGGCTGAATGGTGGCTCAGCGTTCGGGCGCTTGTGCCTGACTTACTTGATTTCCTGGGCCTTGTGATCCGACACACACGCAGGGCCATTCATGCGACCCACAGCAGTTCCAAGAGTGTATCCTAGGGAGCATGAATTTAGACAGGATCCACGGAAAAGAGATTCTGTGGTCAGAAAACTGGGAACTGTCCCGTCCCCTCCCTCCTCCTTGTAGCTTGATGGTGCATGTCAACGGCAAAGCCGCCTGGGAAGCCTGTTTAACCCTGGACCCCTTTGGAGGGTGGGGGCGGGGACACCTCTGATGGTCTTCCGTAGATGACAGAGTTGAGAAAATGAACGTGATGGCTTGGTGGGGCTGTGGGGAGTCCAGGGAGTCTGCCTCCACCAGGCTGATGGTAGGACACATTCATGCCAGGACCCTGTTAATGAGCTGATGGTGTGTGTGGGTGTGCGTATGTATCTGTTTTGCTCTTTGCACTCTCTCCAAGGTGTGACACGGCTGGCTGACATCAGTTTGCACAATCCAGTCAGTGTTTCTGTCCTGGATGAAAGCCGTGACCAGTGTAACCCAGAGGGCAAAGCAGTGCAGGAAGTCAGTCCTCCACAGCCTGGTTCCCGGCCGGATGGCTTTGCGATCCCAGAGAGTCTGGATCAGCACGTGACACTGGTTCCCAGCAAACTGAGGCTTGTCTGCCTGGCAGCCTTCATCCTACAGAAGTGCAAGGTGGGACTGCGGCTCAGGCCTCGCCTGTCTGGGGAGGAGGAGCCGCTGTTCTGCCTGTGTCCAGCATTGGCAGCAGTGGGCTGATGGCGAACCGGAAGTTCTCTAATCTGTCTCTGACTCTGAGTCCATAGCTGTCTGTCTGTACGTGGAGCTAGATGTGTATATTGTGTGTGTCCTTTCTGCCGGAGGATGGAGAGCGGGTAAGGGACCCCAGGTCGGGGAGAGTCGTGACGTTCACCCCGAGATCTGTGTGGAGTATCTGAGGAGGAACGCACAGGGGCGCTCCCACTCGTGGGTTTTTTTATTTCATTTTTAAATTTAAAAATTTTTTATATGTATGTGTTTATTTACTGGCTAGCATGCATGTGACTATAAGCTCCACAGAGGAGGAACCTTGCCGTTTTCTTTTTAAAGAAGTACTTATCCATTCTCTTCAAAGAGAGAAAGAAAGATCTTCCATCTGCTGGTTCACTCCCTGGGCCAAGCCAAAGCCGGCTTGCTTTGGAACCCCATCGGGTCTCCCGTTTAGGTAACAGGGGCCCAAGCACTTGGGCTACCTGCTGCTGCTTTCCCAGGTGCACTGGCAGGGAGCTGAATCAGAAGTGGAGCAGCTGGGGCTGGCACCGTGGTGCAGTAGGTTAATCCTCCCCCTGCGGCGCCGGCATCCCCTATGGGGGCCGGTTCTAGTCCCAGCTGCTCCACTTGCAATCCAGCTCTCTGCTATGGCCTGGGAAAGCAGTAGAAGATGGCCCAAGTCCTTGGGGCCCTGTACCCACGTGGGAGACCAGGAAAAAGCTCCTGGGTCCTGGCTTCGTATTGGTGCAGCTCCGACCATTGCAGCCATCTGGGGAGTGAACCAGCAGAAGGAAGACCTCTCTCTCGCTCACTGGCTGTAACTAACTCTCAAATAAAATAAATAAAATCTTTAAAAAAAATAGAAATAGAGCAGCCAGGACTCAAACCAGCGCTCCCACGGGATGCTGGCATCACAAACCAAGGGTTGACCTGCGGCCCCACACCAGCCCCACACGTGTGTGTTGAGGCCTCCTCGTATCTGTGCTTGCTCAGTAGACTCAGATGTTGGGGGAGCAGCAGGTGGGAGGGCTTGAGAGCTGGAGGGTCTGCCAGGCCCGCACGGTGAGCCCTGAGGGGGAGGGGGAGAGGGAGAGCGCGCGGACACCCTCCTCTGCGGGGTGCTCTCCCTCTCCAGTACCGAGACGCGAGCACGTCCATGTCTACCTTCTTTGTGGAGGGGAATAGCAGTTTTTAGAAGAAAAAAATAATCAGAATCATCTGTTTGAACTCAGAGCCAGTGTGAATATGTACATTGGAGAAACACTCATTTTTAGCGTCACCTAACCTTAGAAACTTACGGTGTCTCCCCCGCCCCGTGTCGCTGTAGTTTGAGAAAGACCAGAAGATGATCGTCTTTTTCTCCAGTTGCGAGCTGGTGGAGTTCCACTACCACCTCTTCCTCCAGACGCTGGCGAGCGGCTCGGGGGCCCGGGCCTCGGGGCCGTCACCATCTGCCTGCACGCGATTAAGATTCCTGCGGCTTCACGGCAACATGGAACAGGAGGTGAGCACAACCCCTTGGCCAGGTGGCCCAGGCCCTGCATGAGTGGCCCTGCGTGTGGCCCTCGTGAGCCGCGCCGGGCTAGGGCAGGCACGGCTGGGTTGAGCTGGGCAGGGGCAGCCTGTCGTCCCGGCTGGGTTGGGCTGGTCAGGGGCAGCCTGTCGTCCCGGCTGGGTTGGGCTGGTCAGGGGCAGCCTGTCGTCCTGGTGCTCTCGCTCGCGCGCAGGGCTTTTCCACCCGAGAGAGCTCGCGAGCCCCGCTTGGCCCGAGTCTGCCTCAAGCAGCTGTTGAGGCAACAGAGCACCACTAAGGAGCTGGCACCAGGGAAGGCTTTTGCCTTTTTAGTACCCAGTGTGTAATTAGGGCTTGATGTCTTCAAATTAAGAGCATTAATGGAGCTAAATTGTGGATCCCATATGGTACTGCTGAGCGCGGCTGCTGTCATTGTCAACAAGACACAGCGCTGCACTCGGAGCACTTTTGGTGGGGAGCGGGCACCGGGCACAGAAGGGGCTGCAGGCTCCAGCTCTATCTCAGCGGAGCGACGTGTGTGTCAGGGAGGAGTGTCACGTTTCCCTCTTTCTGCAGCACTCAGCCCTCGCTCCTAACCAGGCTGCCCGGCAGGGCGTGAGGCTCACACCATGGAATTGGGAGAGGAAGGGCGGACGGGCATGGGAGGAGGAGCCATCTTGTCCTAGAGGAGAGGTGAAAGCAAGGCAGAAACCGGTGAGAGTGGAGCAGAACCTGCTGCCACAGCGGACGTTTTAGAGCTAACAGAGACATTGGAGGTGCGACATGATCCTAGACGGGGCCGGCCCCTGTCGGCTTTGCTTGTTTGTTTTAGTAATTAAGGAGATGGAGGCCCAGAAAAGAGACTTTACTCAAGGTCATTCAAGGACACAGCTTATTACCACAAGATTGCATGGAGTCTCCGAATGTTCCAGCCTGTCCGAATTTCATAAGCCTGATTCGATCGAGGTGGTTGATTTCATTCCTCAAAGCCGTCTGGGGCCTGGGGTTCTGTTTTAAGCTTGGTTCATCAGTCCGCAGGCCTGTTTCACAAGGCACTGGCAGGACAGCCCTGCGGACTCTGGAGAGGGAGGGGCTTGGTCAAGTCCAGGAAGTGTAACAGTGAGGCACAAAATTGTGCAGTTGGATTGTTCCCACTGAGAGCCCAGCGTGGTGGTTATGGCCGTGCCCTCTGGGGGGCAGACTCCCTGTGTCCCAGTCCTGGCCCGTCGGTTACTGGCTGTGTGGACTCCGCCTCGGGCTCAGGGTCCCTGTCTACGACGAGGATGAGGATGGTGACAGCGCTTACTTCCCAGGGCTTCCTGCAGGTGAAGCTCTGAGTGCCTAGGGAACGGGCCGCGCCACGGTTGCCCTGTCTTTCAGGGTGATCCAGCTTTGATTAAGAATCTAGTTGTTGTTTTTTTTAAGATTTATTTTATTTATTTGCGAATGTTGAGTTCTAACATCTTCTGCAGGAGACAGGCAGAGGCAGGAGGCAGCACCCCGCCTTTCATTTTGCCAGTATCGGGGTGCAGTGTCTCACTCCAGGCCAAGCTGAGACGGCCCCAGGTCCGTCGTCCCTGCTGCTTGCCCTGTGCGCTGCCGGCAGAACCTCAGAACGTTCTCCCGAGCTGACCGCGTGGCAGGCGAGTTCTCAGCGCTGGTTGTGACGAGCTGCATGCTCTGTGGAGGGAGACGTTTGGCCCTCGCCTGGCCTCCCTGCGTCGGTCTCCCCAGCGCCGTGCCCTCTGTACCGGGTCACCTTAGAAGACAGAGTCCACTGCTTTCCCGGCGAGCCGCTCTGTGCCTGGGAACGGCCGTCGCGGTAGGAAATCGGGAGAATGAGGGAACTCTTAGCTTCCCTGGCTGGAGCTTTAACTGAGTTACAAGGCCCGCCCCCTTCTCTTTGCAGGAACGGACAGCGGTGTTCCAGGAATTCGCCCGATCCAGGACAGGCGTCCTCCTCTGCACGGTGCGTAGCAGTGTTTCCTCTCGACAGTCTGTGGCCAACCCTGCGGGGAGCGGAAGCACCCCTACAAGGGGCCCTTGCTGTGGCTGGTCTCTGCCGCTGGCTTGTCACCTGACTGCCACACATAGCTGGCTACCACCGGGCAGAAGACTTGGCAATTTGCTCACTAATAGTGGCAGCTGTTGGCCTGAAAATGTGTGAATCTTGGCGATTTCCATCCACCAAAAACTTGTAAATTACAGCTATCGGGAGTGATTAGAGCTGAGAAAGTCTGCCCACAACAACATACTCCGCTCGCCTCTGCGCCCCTTTCCTTAAAGGGGAAGCACACGCCTGGACAGAACTTGTCCGCTGCTGCCACTGGCCCTCGACTCCCGGGGCCTCCGTCTTTGCTGTCTTGCGCAGCTGCAAGCGCAGCACTGACCTTTCTAGTGCGCGTCTCCCGTGCTCCTTGGAGACTGGCACCTCGCCCTTTACGGTTTCCTCTGAGAAGTCTCTGCGCCGTAGTTGTTGCCCCCTCTCTGCCATCTTGGACGATATAATTTCATCTCCAGTGGGCTGGTGGGAAAGCTGTGTGTACAGTGAGGAAGTCCACTGTACATCCAGTAGGTCCAGGGAGCATGTGCCAGGCAGCCGTGTGAATGCCCCGCAGAGCCTTACGTAACGTGGGTACTTCCTAAGGCGCGCCGTGGCTCTTAGCATGTTCGGGGAGCGCCGTGGCTCCCAGCATGCTCAAGGCAGTTGAGACAGTTTCTCTGTAGATTTAGAGGTCGTGGGTGAGTGCAGCCTTGTTTCTGGGGAGGGAATGGGGGTGTGCGGGTGCGAGTGTGGGCACTCATCTACGAGGCCTGTCTGGCCTCCTTATCAGGGGCCGAGTCTCCCATGGTGTGAGACACTGTGGCCGTGACAGTGTCTTGGAATGCTTGGCTCTAGGGAGTTCCGTGTCTGACCAGGCAGCCCTTCCCTTTAGACACCAGTCCATAAGTCAGGCGCTTCTGTCTGCTCTAGACCCCATCTCTAAGTGCCTGGTCTAGAGTGAAGATTGATGAATTGTGCCACAAACCTTCATCTTGTCCAGTAATGCTTTGTGGGACCAGACCTCAGCGCACTGCTCCCCGCCCTGTAGCCAACAGGCCCCTGTTTCGGTTCCTTGAATGTGTCATTCCTCTTGTTCTGGCCTTGAGGCCATGTCCATGCTCTTCTGTCTGCGTGGAACACTCACTGTGGCCTCTGCTCGGCTCCCAGCTTCAGTTTCACTTCAGGAAGTGAACCCCAGGAGCCCCGGTTCTTCCCGCTGCTCACTCCCACTGTGCCCCCTGTTCTCCATCATGCTGTCATACCTGGCGAGGTGTCGTGCTGCCAGGTCGTAAGCTCTGTGAAGACAGGGAGTGCCCTGCTCGGCTGCCTCAGGCACTTGGTATGTGTGAGTTGAATTGGCTGGACGTTCAGAGAACCGCCAGTGTGGGTGCCTTTTCCTGGAGCCCGAGGGAGGCGGAGGTGATGCGCTTTTCCACATGTGGGTGTTACCTGAGGCCTGAGTGTCACAGACCGTCTGTAAGTGGAACAGAAAGCAGTGGTGAGCTTTGTTAGGACTTGAGTTAGGTAAGAGCAGAACCTTTCCCTTCCACCCGAAGATGCTGGGTTTCCTAGCGTGCTGGGGCCGCCATACATACAGACACGGGGCAGCTGTCAGTCTCCGAGCCAACTCCGTGTATCTAAGGTGAGATTTTGGTTTGGTTAGCAGCTCTGCCTGGGAGGGGAGATGGTTCTTCTGAAACACGCATAATTGTCAGTGGGTCAAAGCAGTGATCACATCCCTGTTCTTTGTGGCCGCTGCTTGTAAGTGGTCCTGTCGGCCAGACAGAGCCCTGAGGTGGGCCGTCCACTGTCCTGCTGAAGCACAGCACCTGCTCGCCCCCGCGTGCCCTGCCAGGCCGGGTGCCGCGTGCGGGGAAATCTCTCCAGTTCCTCTGAAGCCTTCTGGGTTGTGGTCGTTGGCTCGTCCAGGTCACGTCCCGTGTGCTAGCCTTCTGCCACGGCCTCCGCTTGTCTTCAGCACGCCCTGAAGAGGACTGGAGAGCGGCTAGCTGGAGGGGCTGGCTCGGTCTCCGCTCCAAGCTGGCTGTGAGCACGGGTTTAACGTCGTCGACACGTTCTTTGGTTTGCTCGGTGTTCTGCTCCTTCTACCCTGCTTGTTCAGTTCGTCCTGACACTTCTGGTGTCAGAGAGCTGTGGGCACAGGAGATGTGCTCACGCCGGGCCCAGGGAGATCCTGTCACTCGGCGTCCTTGGAAGCCGCCTGTTGCTTGCCAGGCTATCTGAACGCTCTCCAGGAGGCGCCTTGGTGTTAATGAGGACTGAGGGCCACGTCAGGACGAGGCAGATGGAGACCTGGCTTCCTTCGATAAGGAGGAATCATGTTGCACACTGAGGGGAGGTTCCTCCCCATTTACTCTTAACTTTCGCCATTTTAGTTTATAACCCCAAGGTTTCTTTCGTGGAGGCCTGCAACAACTGAATGAATGCCTTCAGGAGACTGTGTGCACAGTTACGCTGTTTCCTTTACTGTTAGAAAAAATGCCTCCCCCCCCCCCCCATGCCCCGTGTCTTTCTTCCTGCTAGGAACAGCTACGGATATGTATGTGTGGGTATTTTTCATCTTGATTGTAAACATCGTAAAAACAAGGGTCTTGGCCAGTGCCGCGGCTCACTAGGCTAATCCTCCGCCTGCGGCGTCGGCACCCTGGGTTCTAGTCCCGGTCGGGGTGCCGGATTCTGTCCCGGTTGCCCCTCTTCCAGGCCAGCTCTCTGCTGTGGCCCGGGAGGGCAGTGGAGGATGGCCCAAGTGCTTGGACCCTGCACCCCATGGGAAACCAGGAGGAGGCACCTGGCTCCTGGCTTCAAATCAGCGTAGCGCACCGGCCGTGGCGGCCATTGGAGGGTGAACCAACGGAAAAGGAAGACCTTTCTCTCTGTCTCTCTCTCTCTCTCACTGTCTAACTCTGCCTGTCAAAACAAAACAGGGGTCTCTCTGGACCAGCTTTGAGTGCTGTTGCCATTGCAGACGTGTTTGCCCGGGGGGAGGTGAAGTCTGGGCAGAAGTGATGGGTGTGGGGGCTGCAGAGACCAGTCTGTAGAAGAAGAGACGTATTCACAGCCAGGTTAACAAGGACGTAGGGATTTGTAGGAGGGAGTCATTGCAAAGCCTGAAGCCCACTTTCTCAACGGAATTGAGAAACCAGAGGAATCGGATGGAAGACAAAATACAAAATATCATCCCCTCCTGCTTATGGTGAGGAGTCGTGCTAAGCCATAGGAGAGGAGTGTGGTTTGTACCTCGGAGTCCTGTCGGTGAGGGGACCCTGAGATTTCCTGGGGCCGCTGGTTCTCCGGCCGGCCAGAGGCTTTCTGCTGGGGTCCCTGCTCTCCGTGCTGGTCCCTGGCAGGTGGAAACTGTCCCACAGAGCAGGGTCACCTCCAGCTCTGCGCAGCCCTGCTGCCCGCTGCTCCCCCAGCAGAGCTGGGGTCCTGCCTGGGCCTTCTCCAGAAGGTGCCCATGAGTCCCCCGCGCCGCCTGCCCCAGCTCCGGCTCTTCTCGAAGTACTGCCGTCCGCGCGGCCCTTCGTTTCCTCTCTCCTGGGGAGCGGCCGGCCCAGGGGACAAAGGCGGCGAGGTCGCCAGACGCACGTGTCGGTCCGGCACCTCACTTTTCACCGGGTCCCGTCTTCTAAGTAAAGTTTCTCTCCTCCATGGTGTTCCGTGTGTGTCCGTGGGGAGGTGGTTTGGAGATTGTTTGCTGTTTACTCTGTTACGCTAACTCATGTTGCCAGTTTTTTGGCGGCTCCAGCCAAGATCTCTCGCCTCTGACAGCTTCTGCACTCTCTCCTTCCTCCTCTGATTACGCAGCCCAATCTGTCACCCGGACAACGGGGGCCTGTACCCTGCTGATGGCTTTCCACACACGGCAGTAATGACTTTTGGCAGGCCGGGAAGGCGTCAGAGGCGAGTTCGCTGCGTCCCTTCTCAGAGAGACGGCAGGCCCCTCTCCCTGTTCGTAAAAGCACTTTGTGAGGTGCTTGGGTAAATAAATGAGTCATTTTAATCCAACTGACAGGCTGGCACCTGAGCAAGCTGCCTTCCATCTGTACTCCCAGGTCTCATGGAGGCAGCCAATTGTCAAGCCCGGGGCCTGCAAGGCCTCGCCGTGGAGTGTCTTTCAGAACTGACTTCAGCGAGTCTTTTGCCCTAATTAGGTTAGAGGAATGGAGCTGGGCTGTGTCTGTTCAGGAGCGGCGGAGACGCGAAGTCTTGTGGGTCTGCAGCAGGTCAGTTTCCGGCCGGCCCGGTGCTGCCGCTGACAGCGCTCCACAGAGATGGAGCCGCTTCTGGCTTCTCGGTGGTGCCCTGCCCAGGGAGGTGCGAGGGGTGCAGCGGGGAGAGGAGGGGATTCGGGGCGCCCTGTCTGCCGCAGTCCCACTGTGACATCATCAGGCTGTGGGGTGTGAACTAAGTGGGACGGTCCCCCAGCCGTCGTCTTGGGGGTCAGCTGAGGCAGAGCGCCGCCCTAACCTGCCCGCACTCTAGAGCTACCGTGAGGTAGTCCGTCCAGGCCTGCCCTGCCTTTGCTCATTCCCTGGAAGCCTGGACTGGGACTAGAAGGAAGAACCTAAAGCAATGGCTGGATCAGGTCTGCGTGAACGAAACCAAGAGGAGGAGGAGATGGCGGTGGCTGTGGGAGAGAGTCCCCAGTGCAGGAAGTAGCTAGAGACAGGGAGGTTGTGTCCCGTGCGTGTGCCCAGAGCTGGGTCACCCACGCAGCAGGTAGTTTCATCTGGTTGAATTTATTAAACCACTGTGCATTAAATTTTTTACAAAGCTTGTCCGCAGTGCTCAGGCAGCCCACTGTCGCCGTTAGTCACTTCTCACCGAGAGCTTAGCAGACTGAAAAACCATCAGTTTTCTGAAGATGTCGGGTGTGGTTAGTATAGCGGGCGGTTGTGGAACGGCAGCAGCAGGTGGAAACCCTTGGTCGGTGGTACCTCCCCTTCTGCTTGCACACTTTCGGATGCAGCCAGCCACCATTCGGAGGAAACCAGCAGATCCCAGGGCTGAGTGAGGGCAGACAGGTCCTGAGCTGTCTTGGTGGTCTGGACAAAAGACGGTGGGACGGCGCCTGGGAGCTGGGAGCATGCTTCTTACGGAAGCTGTGCTAGAATTGTTGTTCCAGGATAGTGTGCATCTGGCAGGCATGTCAACGTCCAGGCCTGAGTTCTGCTCCACTTCTGACTCCAGCTTCCGCCTGTGCTCACGCTGAGACGGCTCCAGCACGTGGGTCCCTGACCCTGCGCGGAAGACCCTGACCCTGATTGGGTCGGGCTCCTGCTTCAGCCTGGTCCAGCCCCAGCTGTTCCAGGCATTTGGGGAGTAAACCAGACAATAGGAGATCTTTGTCTCTCTTTTCCTTTTCCTTTCAAACAAAAATGAAAATTAGAATGTATATCCGAACCCTTAGTGATGCTTGGGGCGCGGGGGGCGGCTGTTCTTTACCCCAGAATTCACAGCTGCGAGTGAAGGATGCAGCGATGGACCAGGACGGTCACCGTTTGCAGCTGCGGGGTAAACATACGAGGAGCATCAGCAGATGCAGAACCCTTTGGGAACAGGGCATTCGCGTGGTCTGAGTTCCACTCTCCACTCACTTACCGTGAAGGAGAGAGACATCTTCACAGTGGAGAGAGCTGCTGGCTCCCACTTTACCCCGGGGACTGAACCCAGGACACGCTGCCTAGGGGCCTCCCGGTGTGGAACCGTGGGCAGCACACCTCCCTGAACCCGCGTGCAGGAGGGCACCTCAGAGGGTCCATAGGAAATTGAATTAAACCGTAAGCTATTGTGGCACGGAAACCTGTTGAAGCCATGCGTAGTTTTCTCATGGGCTTCTTGAAGCACTCTCAACCCCAGAATGCCTACCTTGAACCCCACCCCCACCCTCAGGAAGCCGGTAGAGCAAACCCAGACTGGGGGAGCCTGTCAAGTCGTCTGGACTCTGCGGAAGTGACGGTCGTCAGAAAACGGCTGATGAAAGGCAGAGGTGCCGTCGTGGCGTGAGTCTCGAGTCCCGGCAGTAGGATGCATGAGAGAGAAACGACTATAAAAAGCATGCTAGGTGCAGTTGGAGAAATTTAAACATAGGTGTTCAGTAGAAAATAATGGTTTTTAATATTAAATTTCTTAGTGTGATAGTGGTGTGCTTATATAGAATGCCTTTTTACTTAGGAGATACTTGCCAAAGTATGTAAGACTGACGTATCATGATGTTCGCAACTTAGCTTCAGATGGTTCCAAAGTGTGTGTGTGTGTGTGTACATGTGCACACACCCACACCAAGAAAGAAAAAGAGGAAGCAGGGGCCGGCATCGTGGTGCAGTGGGTTAAGTTGCTGCTTGTGAGGCCAACATCCCATATCAGAATGCCATTTTGAGTCCTGGCTCCTCTGTTTCCTGTTCAGGTCCCTGCCAGTTTGGGAAGGCAGTGGAGGATGGCTCATGTGCGTGGGCCCCCGCACCCATGTGGGAGACCAGGATGGAGTTCCTGGCTCCTGGCTTCAGCCTGGCCCAGCCCTGGATGTTGTGGACATTTGGGGAGTGAACCAGCAGATGGAAGATTTCTCCTCTGTTTGTCCCTCTCTCTCTGATGTTCTGCCTTTCAAATAAATAAATCAATTTTTAAAAAGAAAAAGTAAACAGCACAGGAAAATACAAAAAAAAGTAAAAATCGGCCAAGTCTCCCTGTCTAGAGATAAACCATAATGGACAGATTTTTTAAAAATTATTTATATATTTGAAAGGCAGAGATACAGAGAGAGAATGGGAGAGAGCGCTTCCATCTGCTGGTTCACTCCCCAAATGGCCACAATGGCTGGGGCTGGGCCAAGCCGGAGCCAGGAACTTCTTCTGGGTCTTCCACGTGGGTACAGGGGCCCAAGGACTTGCCATCCTCCACTATTTTCCCAGACACATTAGTGGGGAGCTGGATCAGAAGTGGAGCAACCAGAACTCAAACTGGTGTCCATATGGGATGCAGGCGCTGCAGGCGGGGGCTTAACCTTCCACAGCACAGGGCCAGCCCCGTGGTTTACAGTTTTGTGAGCCTCCTTCAGGGTGTCGCTTACTGATTTATCCATCAGTTGGTCCATCAATCTGTCCAGCTGCCTGGTTGATGTTTCTGGGTTTTGTTACTCTTTCTTCATGCCCCTGAATTTTCTGAAGAAACCAGATGTTTGGTTGTTTCGAATTCTACATTTGGATTTGGCTGATTATGTCTTCCTGGTGTGGTTTGACATTTTCCTTTTTTCTCTCATATTTCCTGTAAACTGGTAGTTGGATCCAGACACCTGATTCAACTTGGGTTCAAAATGCAACAAGAAGACATCATAGATGACCCTCTGTTTCCTATTGTAGGACTTTTTAATTACGTCAAAGCACTGCGTGATCTCAGTCAAAAGTGTAAAGGTTGGGTAAAGGAAGTCTAGCTCTTTCTGTCCAGAACTCCAACACTGACTGGGCAGGACTTGGCCACATCTGCTGCTGGCGGACGGTGGGTTCTCTCCAGGTTGCAGGCACACACAGAGCGGAAGTGTGTCATCTCCTGCGTCCGTTACTCTCTGCCGTGCTGGTGCGTCTTTGGGTGGATTTCTAGGTGGGAGCTTGTTCTGGGTTGAAGGGCAAGTGCAAATGTGATTTCGCTGGACATTACCAGGCTCACCGCCACAGGGCCCTGTACCGCTTTCCATGCTGGCCAGCAGCGTGTGAGGCACATGGCGCCTTTTTTTGATGGTGGGGTGCAGTACTGTGGGTTTGAGGGCTGCCTCCACTTCTTAGCTGTCTGCGGGTGAGTAGCTTCGTCTCACTGAGCTTGCTCCCCTCCTCTGTCCGATGGGAGCAGGCGTTGTTGGGAGGAGTTGTTTTGAGGATTCGTCCAGATCATGCAGGTGGAGTGTTCATGCAGGGTCTGGTCTGAGTGCGCAGTGCCAGCTGGGGACAGTCTCCTTCTGACAGTGGCTCCTGAGTCAATGCTGAGTGCGTATCTCTGCGAAACATCCAGAGATTGCCACTTGCCCAGTCTTCTCAGAAGGAGAGACGCTAGAGCGCGGAGAATTTTTGCTCTTCAGGTATTGACTAGTTGAAAAGGAACACATGACTCGCCATTGCTTTATAGTTTCCAGCTGTCTGGGTGAGTCTTTGAGGTGATCAGCAGCCCTGGCCTGCTTTCTGACATGGCTGGCTCTCAGAGGGGCAGGACTTGGTCTCCTGCTCTCTGGGGCTAACAGGCGGAGTCCCGAGTCGCTGTTTGGCAGCTCCTGTCTGCCACCGAGACCTTGAGGGGTGGAAGAGCAGGCGCAGACCTGGATGCCATGCGGTGTGAGGTGTGCTGACAGAGATAACCCATGAGTGGGTTCATCGTGAAGTGGCTTTCTGGATTAGATGTAGGCCAGCAAAGCATGCTGCAGGTTTCCAAGGCCTCCCTCACTCACAGAGGTCACATTGAAGTTCTTGGACTGCCCTGTGGAATCCATTCCCTTGCCCCTACCCAGAGTTTGCAAACACAGGTGAACCCGGATGTGTTACGGGCCCCTGCAGTTGTTTGCAGAGTTGGGGTGTGTGTGTGTATGTGTGTGTGAGTGTGCGTGTGTGTGTGTGAGCGTGCGTGTGTGTACGTGTCCTGGGGAGGGGGCCGATGAGCACTAGATTATCAGATGTTTCCATGACCCAAAAGAGGTTCAGAAACCCGGTTCTAAAGCCATCTTCTCTTCTGTTTTGAAGGACGTTGCAGCCCGAGGCTTAGATCTCCCTCAGGTCACGTGGATTGTTCAGGTAATTTTTTAGTTGTTAAGGTGTGAGCTTGAGGCAGGCCTATATGATCGTGAGCGGATGCATTGGCTTTAACCAGAATAATTATTATTACCCTCTTGGGTGTTGCCCTGGTAACCAGGCGGCAACGAGTCTTATCTGCACAATTCTGACATCCGGCCCACCGGCCCGCCGCAGAAAGCAGCCGGAATGCGGTGTCGGGAGGAGGCGGCAGGCGCTCCTGCTCCCACACTGATTGATGTCACCAACTGAAGTTCCCACAATCTGAAAATAACGGGAATTATGCGGGCCCCTGGGAGGCCTCATTGTGACCAGAAGGAGACGGCTCAGCTGTCCTGAGAACTGTGTCCTGCCCATTGACCTGGGGAGCCCTTAAGTTCCTGACAGTCTCTCACACACCTCTAGCCTTAGCACGTAGCCAGAGGGTCCTGGTGTTAGCATTACAGTTTAGTGGGTCTGGTTTTGTTTTTTCTTTTCCTTCGTCTCCACGATGGTATTTTTAAGCCCTTCCGTGTGGACCAGGGAACAGCTGCCTGCTTATTCAGTTTAAGTGGAGCTGCGTGCCTCCCTCTGTCTAGGAAGTCTGATCTGCTCGCCAGAGATGATCACACTGGAACTGGTCTCCCTGCAGGCCGCAGAGCCACCTGGAGATCAGAGCTAGGGACAGTGCTAACTGCAGGAGACCAGAGACCATGCTGACCACTTAGGGCCTTCTCACATGCGAATGTTGATTAGTTTCCTGCACTGGAGTGACCTCGGTCATGTTTGGCCTCTGGAAGACAGAGTGATTGCCAGAGGTCACAGGAAATGCTTCGGGAGTGCCCTTGGCCCGCGTCAGAAGTTCCCTCAGCGGGAGCAGAGGCACCTCCTGCCCGTGCATGCCCTGCACCTCTGCCGCAGGGGTGCGGATGCAGCTGCTCCCGGGGCCCAGCAGTGGAGGTGGACTCCGCCAGCAGAGCAGTCGACCCCTTCCCCGTCCAGGGTCCTGTGTTCCTCATCCCTGCTGCTCGGTCTGCGGGAGAAGTGGCCAAGGTCATGTGGGCAGTCCTGGAGACATTCACCCCCACCTGCCTACATTTTCCCCTTGAAGTCACCTCAGTGAAAAGATGCAGATAGGAAAATGAAGAGACCTGTGGAGAAGTAAAATTAAAACGGAGATACTGGGACGGGAAGACATGGCGTTGTTCTGAAACTTGGCTACTGCTCTCGTTTGCGTGTCAGAGCCTTGTTACTTCCAATGAAGCCGGGAGTTTCAGGGTTGAGTGACTTCTCCTTGTGATTGTGTTAGGGTAACCATAGCACCAGAATTTAATTCTTGGGCTACCTGGAGGCAGGTGAGGGGTATTGCACTTCCAATTAATGGCAGTCCCTTGATGTATGAATGCCTTCATTTTTGTTACCCTTTTTAGTACAACGCTCCGTCTTCACCTGCAGAATACATCCACCGCGTTGGAAGAACCGCCCGGATTGGCTGCCACGGGAGCAGCCTGCTCATTTTGGCTCCTTCGGAGGCAGAATATGTCAACTCCTTGGCTTCTCACAAAATCAAGTGAGTCAGAAACCTGAACAGTTTCGGCTGATCTCACCTAATTAACTTTCTGTCGCTTTTTGCAGTGGATGGGCTTTGTATGCTGACAAAGAGCCATTAACCCTTGTGATCCCTAAGTGAGTCCCAGAATAGCCAGTGGCAAGAATTAAAACCCTTCCTACCGTCGGCACATGGCAGGCTTCCCCGTGTCGCAGGGCTCCGCTGCGGGGCGATCCGCTGCACGCCACTGTCTCTAAGGTGGAGGTCTGAGTTCTCTCCCCTGCACAGCGAGGGCCCAGCACACCCACACAGCAGCTCACGGAGCTTTTTCACAAGCAGGTTCCATTTCTTGGAATTAACAAATTGATTTGTCTCCTAGTAAATAAGTATGCCTGTGTGCCTTGTGCTCCTCACACGGTTCCTCTCCTCCCTCCCCGCAGACAAACCAGGGAGGAAATGGTTTCAGGGTGGATGGACCGCAGAGGGCCCATCTGCAGCCAGGACGTTGCTGGTGCCGTCTTGTGTGTAACACAGTCAGATGGCAGCTCCTCACGTCCCCCAGGTGACAGATTCTAACCCTAGGCCCACAGACCCCGCGGGTGCAGCAGGGGAGCTGACGCGGAAATAATTCACTTGGGCCACGGAAGTGGATTTGTTTTGTTTTCTGTAAAGTCTGTAACCCCAGAAATAGCAGACCCTGATAGTGAGCAGGCACCTAAAGCCATGAGCAGTTTTTGACACCGACCTGCTTTAAAGAATTTCTTCTGCTTGGCCGTAGCACGATGATGGGAAACGCAGGCACAGCCCTGTGTCTGTCTAGGGTGGTGGGCACGGTACACACCGCGCCCAGAAGCGGCCACGGCTGCCCAGGTGCCACTGAGCACCAGGCTGTGCTGTGGGCATAGGTCTCAGCCGTGCTGCAGGGTGGGGCCGGCCGATTTCTTGTGTTTTCTTTGCCCACCCCTGTATTTTGTGTAAAACATCAAATAAAATAGACCTTTTCCCCTTAAAGTACAAAACTGGAAAAATCCTTGCATTATACATCCAGGCAGACAGGGCCCTGCTACGGGGAGCCCACAGGAGCAGGGGCAGACTTAGACCCACCAGCGAGAGGCGGGCGCACCTGTCCCCAGCTGTGCCTGCCAGGCTTCCCGCCCGCAGAGCCCTCCCTCACGCTGATTCTGACTTTTCAGAACTCCTTCCGGGTTGTTAGCACGGGCGTCTGTGCGCCAAGGCTTCTCCGAGATGTGCCCCCATCCTTCAGCACCGGGGCAGGCAGGAGGCCAGTCCGCAGCAGCAGTCTCAGACTGGAAGAGACTGATGGATGAACACTTTACTCAGGGCTGCTTCTCCAGCTGAGGGCCAAGGCCCCAGAGGCTGGAGGCCGACTGGCACCTCTCTTTGTGGCCTTTCCACTGTCTGGGCCACAGCCCACCACCACCACCCCGACAGGTGCTCTCCAGGAAGGGGCTGGCTGCCTTCCTCCCTTCCCCGTTCTCAAAGGCTGGAAGCTCAGCCGCAACACGTGGTCTTCCTGTCAGAGGAACTCGGGACCTGGGAAAGCACTTTGGGAATCTTGAGTGGTAGCTGCACGGTAGCCTGTCCGTCACTCCGCGGCTGCTTCTCCTCCTCCCGGGCTAGACCCACGGTCCCTTCTCCCACCCTTTTCCATCAACAGCTGTCTGGATGCCCTCCTGTGCCCGGTCACTTGGATGTGATCACCCCCAGAAAAATGAGTGATCCCAGTTCCGCAGGCAGATGATATCGTCTAACACCAGAGATAGCGGTAGATGCCGCGCCTGGTTCTTACTTTTTTCTCTAATAAACACGCTCAGGTTGATGGCATCTAAAACTGAAAGGAAAATCAGTAGTTAGCACAGGTAAATCTCGGCAAAGCAAAGACAGCAAGTGCAGCCATCGCCGTGCTGGCTTTGTCTGTGCAGTAGTGCAGGCATTCCTGTCAGACTTGACACAGTGTCCACTTCACAAAGGAGACATCTGGAGGACCCTGAGGACGCGCCGTGGTGAGGACAGAGGGGCAATGCCAGGAGGAGGAGACTTGGGCCTTTGGGGGCAGGTGGGATCACTGATCCCGTGAGCCCGCCTCGCTGGGGTCTGCCCTGGAGACTGCCCGCCCAGCAGGAGATCTGGGTGGTTAGTCGTAGCCGAGCCTTGTACCTGGCAGTTTCTGTTTGAGGAAAGACTGCTTCGTATATCTGTATGAGCTGTTTCTTTGACTTACTGTGAAAGAATATCTTGGGGCCACTGCTTGCCACACTGTTGGCATCCCACAGGGGAGCAGCCAGTTGAGTCCTGCCTGCTCTGCTTGCAGTCCGACCTCCTGCTGATAGCGCACCTAGGGGGGTCCTGGTCGGTGGTCCCCCAAGTGCTAGGGCCCCTGCCACCCAGGAGAGAGCCCCAGATGGAGTCCCTGGCTCCCGGTCTGGCCCAGCACTAGCTGTTGCAGCCGTCTTGGGAGTGAACCAACAGAGAGAAGACTTCTTTCTGTCTCTGTTCTGCCTTTCGAATAATGAAGTGTTTTTCGAAAATCTAGTAAGAACTAGTTAACAAAAACATACAGTGAGAAACAGCAGACTGGAACGTTTTTAGAACACGAAAGGTACACTCCTAAATACGAAAAAAGGAGGAGGAAGAAGAAAGCATGTATGTTTGTGCCTGAAAATCTGAGAGGCGGGCGGCGGGGTCCTGGGCCGAAGCACAGAGCGTGGCCGCCTGCCTCTGGGTGAAGGATGCCCTCACGTACAGGTCAGGAGAGCAGCTGCTCTGGGCCTCGCCACCTCTGCACGCTCAGAACTCCACCTCTGCACGCTCAGAACTCCACCTCTGCACGCTCAGAACGCCACCTCTGCATGCTGGCTGATTTGCGTTCGCCAACTTCTTGACTCTCCCAGTTCTCCTTTCAGTGCGTTTCTAATGAAAGTCATCACTGGTTTATTAAAATGTAAATGCTTCCTCAAAACGTGTATTTCTTAGATCAGGCGTGAGACAGTTCCCGGAATTTATGCTTCTATCTCTTTTCATAGCAAGGTGAGGTGATTCAGATCCGTTGATACGACCATAAATAATCATAGTAGATTTGCTTTGTTCTTCAGAAGCAGTGAGTTCTTAGAAATAGCAAGAAGGCCCTTTTAAACTGTGCATCACTCCGCTCATTCTCTGTCCTGTTCCCCCAAGACAGGGCCCCGTGGCCACACGCCCTTGGGAAAGCCAGGTCTCCCTGGCGCTGGCTTGAGGTCTCTGTGTCTGAGCGTGGACAGCATGATTCCCTTTCTCCCTTTCTCCCTGCTTCAAGGTTGGACTGTGTTCTCATGTTCCCTTTTCCTGAGAAGGTGACAAGTAGAGGTGAGCCAGAGAGAGAGAGAGCGAGCGAGCGAGCGGGCTCGGCTTTCCCCTTCTTTCGGGTTTCCAGGCGCGAGGCAGAGGCAGCTGCCACACCTTGCTTTCCTGAGAAACATCCGGGATCTTCCCCGTGCCCCCACCCTCCAGGACCTGCCTCTCCGATGGATGGACTGGCACTGCTGCGAAGACTTCACCTACCCTAAGGGCTGGGAGTCGGCAGCCAAGAGGATGGGCGGGGGCCGGGAGATGACACTTCTCGGAGAACCGGCTGTCAGCGTGACATTTCTCTCTCAGCCTGTCAGGAACCTCTGGGGGAGGGGTTGTCTTCTCCCACCGAAGAAGTTGCCATTCATGTTGTAGTTTCCTGTTACAGTTACCAGAAACACATACAGCACAGTCATTTGTCTCCTTATGATCTGTTCCTCGCCCAGAACGCCTCCCGGTCCTCTCCCTGAGAAGCATCTTTCCAGCAGCTCAGATTGTCTCCCGCGGCTCGAGCTCCCACGTGGCTGCCCCCCACGCTGGAACCCGTGGCCTTGCACACGGCTGTGCAGTGTGGGCTTCCCAGCCCTCCCGTGTGTGCGCGAGTGAAGCCCAGAGTCTGGCTCCGGCTGTTAGCATGCAGCGTCGGATTCCTCGGAGCCCAGTCGTTCCTCACCCCGGGTAACCGAGAGGCCGCACGGGGAGGATCCCCCAGGTGGGACAAGGAAGTGGTGGCACCCCAACGGCCTCCACGAGGCCCCGACCTGGGCTGAGGCGCCCCCCCCCCCCCCCCCGTGTGGGGACCTTGGCCACCTTTGTTCTTTCTCTCTGCTCCGTCGAAAGACTGCCTGAAATATTTCATTCCATCCTGCTCAAGTCATAGTGCTGCATCAGTACTTCCCATCACTACTCGGGCTTTATCTAGAAATAGTGATGGGCTGCTGGGGCTCTGTGGCGCTCTGCAGGGGCCGCTGCCTGGCTTGTCTGTGATATCCTCGCAGTCTCCTGTCCAGTTCCCAAGAGCTTAGGAAAATAGCATTGTCCATTGTCCTGGGAGGAGTTGCTTCTGCTTCCTGTCAGGTTAGCTTGAGGCCAGGCCAGTTTTAGGAACCAAGATTGTGGGTGTTTTTGAAAGAGCAAAAACATTGACCTTGATCTGCCCTTCCCTTCACAGTGTCTGTGAGGTTAAGATGGAAGACATTTTGTCTGTTCTGACAAGGGATGACTGCTTCCAAGGGAGAGGAAGGGGGAATCAGGTAAGCGTTACAATGTGTCCTGCGCGCTGACGGACTAGACTCGCTTCTCGATTTGGGATGGTGTGGGTTTGGTGTGTAGATTAGTTCTGTCAAGCAAAATGTGCATTTTTAAAAAAGACCAAGAGGGGCTGGAATGCCATATGAACCATATGCTGCTTTGAGTCCCGACTGCCCAGTTCCCATCCAGCTCTCTGCTGTGGCCTGGGAAAGCAGCGGCAGATGGCCCAAGTCCTTGGGCCCCTGCACCCACATGGGAGACCCAGAGGAAGCTCCTGGCTTTGGCCTGGCCCAGCCCTGGCTGCTGCAGCCATTTGGGGAGTGAACCAGCAGATGGAGGACTCTCTCTCTCTGTGCCTTCTTCCCTCTCTGTATATCTGCCTTTCAGATAAAAAGTTATAATTAAAAAAAAAAAAAAGCTTCTTTAAAAAAACAACCAGGAACATTGGAAGAGGTCAGATTTTGGTTGTGTGTTTTTTTCCTTTTCTTTACTCCTGGATGTGCTGGCTGGCCTCACCCAGTTAATGGGCCGCAGTCCTCTCTGGACCCCTGCCAGACGGCAGCAGGCACCCCAGCAAGGAGGCTAGGCCAGGATGAGTCTGGAGGCAGTGCTGCTGCTTGGCGTGGTGGTCCCTCCCCAGACACCAGCAAGGGCGGCCAGCTAGATGTGTCCCTCCCAGACGAGCGCAACACATGCAGTTCTCCATGCCTCCCTTCAGACACGCTTAGTTCATCCATTGTTTAGCGTGTGCCTGCTGTCCGCAGAGGAGGCGAGTTGCGATCATTAGGAAGAAAAATCTTTATTATCTGTGCAGTTCCATATGGAGATTCTGCGCAGGCAGCCCCAAGCCGGCCCGAGCATCCTGCCTGTTCCTTCTCTGAGGCCTCCGCCCTGCCAGGCAGACAGTCCCGGTCCCTCCACTCCAGCCCACTGCTCAGTTCCTGTGTGTGTGTGTGTGTGTGTGTGCGCGCGTTGTATGTAATCTTCTCTGTGAAACATTAATTTCTTGAATGTTTTACATTTGTTTTCTTATGCCTGAGGACACGCTGGAAAGTCAGAGCCAAATAGATCAATCTCAGGGTTTCTTTTAAGCTTTCGGATTTTCCTTCCTCTGGATCGACCTTCTCCTTGAGGCAAGGAGTGTATCCGACCGGCCCTGACGTGAGGTTGCACTGCAGAGTTCCCAGTCAGCCCAGAGCGTGTGTTCTGGACTGGCACCGCGTTCAGCTCTTCATGCACCTGCCCCTCCCCGATCCTTCTAGCAACCCTGTGAGGCAGATACTGCCCCATTCGTATATGAGGGACCTGAGGCTTAGGGCAAGAGCTTTCCCAGTCCTATTGGGTGTGTCACACACACATGATCTGTTCTGAACATGTGTACACCTTTGTTTTCTTCTTTTAATTTTTATTTTATTTGAAAGGCAGAGAGAGAAAGTAAGATATCCCGTCAGCTGGCCCACTCCCCGTCTGCCCACAACAGCTGGGGACTGGGGACTGAATCCCGGTCTCCCGGGTGGGTGTCAGAGCCTTCCTTTGCCTCCTGGGGTGCATGTGAGCAGGAAGCTGCATGGGAAATACAGCCAGGACTTGAACCTGGGCGCCTCTGTGGGGTGCAGGCAGCAGACCCTCACCCCAAGCACAGCTATTTCTGTACCAGCACACCTCCACTGGTATTGACTACACCAAGAAGATGAAACTCACTTGCTTTTTAAAGGTAATGTTAGCCATTTTCATAGAGGTGAAATTTGGTCAGGAAATAGTATCTGTGCCCAAAAAAATGCTGTGAGCGTTTCGGTCAAGTTATTTTAAACCAAGTTTGTTTAAAACGTCTCAGCTGTGCTGGGATCATCCCTGTCCACATCCCAGTTTGTTGCTAGGGAACGACTAGAAACCAAGCAGGGACTTGCTGGTCTTGGCACGCCTCTGCTCCCGGGGAGCCAGCGTTCCCAGGGACCTCTCTGTGGGGTCAGTAGGGGAGCACGTGGGGTGCTATCGGCAGCTGCCGTCTGTCACCCGCCGTGTGACTTGGGGCAAGTCCTGGCCCTCTGGAAGCGTCGGTTTCCTTGCGTGTGACGCTGATATGGTGAGAGTATGCTCGTGAGGAGGCCCTGAAGCCCGCACGTGCTCACCGCCAGTGGTGTTTTCATTGTTGGTGCCCCTTCCGTCACTGCTGTCCTGGTGGTTCCTTAGCTGAGTGGCAGCTGTAGGATTCAGGCCCGACTCGGGCCGTGCAGCCCGGTGCCTCTCCTGCGGCATCGCAGCAAGTGGAGCATTCGCATCTGCCTGCCGCGCGGAAGAAAGAACAGCAGTGGGATTGTGAACAAGGTGGTGCCTGTCGGATCAAGCCCGGTCTGGCGCGCTGCTCGTGGGCCTGGCTGTGGGACCGCTTTCATCCCCGAGCTCAGATCGTCTCTCGGGGGAGCCGGTCATTGTGTGCGGACGTCCAGGAGCCCCGTGAGGGAGCAGAGCGGCCGCGTTTCCCTCCGCTCTGCGAGCAGCGAGCCACACTCTTTTTTTCACATCTGCCCTTCTGCGGCCTTGCGGCAGCCATTCTTCTCCTTAAGCCGCTTCCCTGGCTCGAGGCCAGCCTGGAAGACTTCCCGAGCCTGCGGGCCGCTGGGAGACCCCGGGTGCGAGCCGCCTCAGACACACTGGGGTGAGTGTTTCACAGCCGATGGCCCTGTGCCCGTGGGCAGACTGTCTTCTCCCCAGCCTTGGTTTTGCCGTCTGTGAAATGAGAGCAAGAGTGTCCACCACGCGGGGTTGCTGTGAGGTTTGAACCAAACGGGCGGCCAGGCCCTGGGCGGATCAGGGCCAGAGCCTGCTGTCGGTGCTGAGACGGCGGGCAGCTGCTCCTGCCCAGGGAAGGTGAGGTGAACGCTGCGAGTTTTCTAGTTTTTTAAGGTCTGAGGATCTTTGTTTTTAAAATGGAAGAAATGATAACTGGGTGGGACTTTGCCTGCAGCCCTCTAACTGGTTAGCTCAGACAGCTGAATTAATCGTCCTGGAGTCTGAGTGTCGTGTAGACAGAGACCTGGCTTCTTGGACCAAATGTAACCTTAATTCAAAGGAAAAAGAAAAATTTAGCCAGCTTGATCGTGTTACTGACTATCACATAGGGCTGAGCCTGAGCAAGCGCTGCATGTGAGCCGCCCTGTCAGCAGTGAAAGGAATGAAGTGCGGGGTGCAACTTTGCATTGTTGTGTGCTACACACACACACACACACACACACACAACCAGTGTGTCTCAGCTTGGGCAGTGCCGCAGCACACAGGCCGTGCCGGGCGCGTTTGTGTGGCGTCAGCAGCCAGGCCTTGGTGTGGGGAGCTGCTCGCCTCATTACGATGCCCGCCTCTCCACCCAGCTCCACAGCCCACCCGAAGTGTCCCTTTGGGCCTCTGCACCCAGTCCACAGCCCACCCGAAGTGTCCCTTTGGCACATACGTTTTTGGGCTTCTGTGAACAGAAAGAAAGCGAGAGAAGCATCTGTAAAATGTATATTTCATTTTTAGGTATATAAAATATATATAGCTGTGTCTGGGTGTGTGAGTGTTCAGCCACCTACAAAGAGAATAAATTTGATCTCTCTACCTTACTGGGAGCACTCAGAAGGTTCTAGGGACCATGGGGGTGAAATGCAGTTTGGCAATAAAGGGCTTGAAACAAAATCCTTCCATTTAGTTTCCAAATATCTTGGAAGTTGGCAGTACCAAGGCACATGCTTCCAAATGCATACGTGCGCATCCATGTACCTGCCCACACATGCATGTGCACACACACCCCCGCGGCTGTCGCCACCGGAAGCTGCTTGCAGCCACAGAGCTTGAGCTGGCACTCAGACCCATCTGCTGCTGCTTGATCGCGTGAAGTTTCCGAAGCGCGCACACACCTAGACGCGTTTCCCACAGGGCTCTTGGCCCGTGAAATATGCCCATAAAGTTTCCCTCACAAGACGGCTCTGCCCTGGCATTGTGAGATGGTAAAAGCTGACCAGAGCCCTGGTGGTCTGCTCTTCTGTCAGGAGGGCGTTAGACGCAAGGGCTCACTGAGGGCAGCAGTGGCGTGGAGGCGTGTTCTGACTGCCCCCGGCCCACAGGCAGTGGCGTGGAGGCGTGTTCTCCTGACTGCCCCTGGCCCACAGGCAGTGGCATGGAGGCGTGTTCTCCTGACTGCCCCCGGCCCACGGGCAGTGGCGTGGAGGCGTGTTCTCCTGACTGCCCCCGGCCCACGGGCAGTGGCGTGGAGGCATGTTCTGACTGCCCCCGGCCCACGGGCAGTGGCGTGGAGGCGTGTTCTGACTGCCCCCGGCCCACGGGCAATGGCGTGGAGGCGTGTTCTCCTGACTGCCCCCGGCCCACGGGCAGTGGCGTGGAGGCGTGTTCTCCTGACTGCCCCCGGCCCACGGGCAGTGGCGTGGAGGCGTGTTCTGACTGCCCCCGGCCCACGGGCAGTGGCGTGGAGGCATGTTCTGACTGCCCCCGGCCCACGGGCAGTGGCGTGGAGACGTGTTCTCCTGATTGCCCCCGGCCCACGGGCAGTGGCGTGGAGGCGTGTTCTGACTGCCCCCGGCCCACAGGCAGTGGCGTGGAGGCGTGTTCTCCTGACTGCCCCCGGCCCATGGGCAGTGGCGTGGAGGCGTGTTCTGACTGCCCCCGGCCCACAGGCAGTGGCGTGGAGGCGTGTTCTGATTGCCCCCGGCCCACGGGCAGTGGCGTGGAGGCGTGTTCTGACTGCCCCCGGCCCACGGGCAGTGGCGTGGAGGCGTGTTCTCCTGACTGCCCCCAGCCCACCGCTGGGAAGTCGGCTTCGTTAACCGCTACTGAGTCTGCGTCCTTGGGAGTGGGAGCGCCTGGTGCTGCTGCTGCTGTCCCCCGGGGCTGACCCGCCCGCGTCACGGGAGCCTTCTACCTGTCTCGGCTGAGATGCCGCCGTGCGCTCTGCCCCTCTGTCTCCAGTTTAAATTTAGACTCCCCAGAAGACAGCAGAACACCTCCTCCATTCTCAGAAGGGGCAATTTTAAAATAAAGTATCTCTAGAGGTGGGGTGGGGGAGTGGGACACGCTTTCTCCCAAGTATACTGGGTTTCCTGCCATTAACTTTCTCTCATATTCTACTCAAACTGACCTCCTCTCTTCAAACGTGTGAACCTAGTTTTATCATTTTCTTCCTACATATTTTACTTGTATATACACTCACATTATATATGTATAATTTTTGGTTTTTGCCTTTTTTTTGGGGGGGCTGGGAAGAAAAGATGCCTCATTTTGAAACCTAAAGGGGAGAATAAGAAAAGCCCTTTGTAATATATTGCCATATTATCACTAAATCCCCTGACAGTTGTGACACAGACGCAAGTCACCTGTCACTTAAGCTTGAGGTCTCTTTAATTTTCTCCTGGAATTCGCACCAGGCTGTCTTTAATTTGAGGCCTTTATTGGAATTCTGAAACCTCTCTGCCTCCCTGGCTCTCAGATCTATTCTGAGAGCTGTTACAGAATGTATACAATAACCAACAGAAGGATTCCGAGAGGGCTGCAGCTCTGTTTATTTAACACTCTGGAGGGATTTTTGTGCTTATTCAGTCCTGGCTGCCCGGCTTTCAATATCGCTTTGACAACCATGCTGCCCTTCTCATTAATTTTAAACAGTTAAAACACAGGAAAAAGAGGAAAAAGTTTTCATTATTAAAGTGCTTTACTTTTTAATAACAGAGGATTCTGGCCGCCAGGGGAAAGGGCATCCTCACTAATTTCACATTCATATTAAAAAAAAAAGCGTGAGGACGGTGACAGTTGCACTGCGGAGGTGGCTTAACGAAAGGAGGCCAGCAAAAAAAGTTTGCATTTCACATCAGATAAGGGGTAGGGGAAAAAAATCCTCGTTAATGACAATAGCAAATGTCCACTTTGGTAGCGCCGCTCCTGAGTGACTTTTCTCCTGACATTTTAGCAGATGGAACCCTTAGGGGGACCATGTTCTGTGAGATCGGCTAGACTGCCATCAGCCAAACAGGGAGCGAGAACGGGATTTGACTAACGGGACGCATTTCCAGGTTGTTAAGTCTCTATTAATGCAGAGACGAGTGTCAGTGCACAGAATGAGGCTTTCTCTCCTGTCCGCTTTGTTCTAGAGAGACTTCGGGAGTCCAGGTTGTGCCCAACTCAGGCACCGGCGCCTGGCCGTCTGCAGGGTGAAGAGGCCCGGCCCGGGTCTCAAGGCGGGGCTCTCCCGGGGCCCACGTTCAGGGCGGCAGGAGAGGCGCGGTGCACCGCCCAGCTGCGTGGTGTCATTTGGCCTGTTAGCCTCCGTGGGTTGGAGGATCTGTTCTTTGGATCTCATTTCCACGTTCAGTGGCACACATTGGTGTTTGTTTTAGAGACACAAAGTAGAAGTCACTGGTTTTGGGTGCGTGTGTAAAAGAAAAGGAGATGGTGTTCGGGGACTGAGAGAATGAAAAGACGATCAAAACAAGTGTGTGCTTGATTAACACTGTCCGTCCAGCGGGGCGCTGCGCCCCGAGACCCGGGCAGTCTTTGAACCTGGCTTGCTGGCGCAGCCCTCTAGGAATCTGGGAGCTGCCTTCTTGAGGCCGTGTGTCCGGCAGGTCACCGGCAGGCTCTGAGAAGGGGAGCCGGCAGTGCCGCTGCGTGTGAGGGCGGGAGGGGGGTTGCGGTGGAGAGGAGGTTTCCTGGAAAACAGCTTCTGCTCCGTGAGGCTTTAAGTGCCTGACTTGGACTTGGAAGATTCCGGAGTGCCTCTAATGGTCTTTCATTCTGAGCGTGGATGGTAAGAGGCGAGGAGGAAAAGCAGGTAAATACGCAAATAAACCGAGAGACGCCCTGACCTGCGCCCGCAAAGCTGGCCTCATCCTTGCTTGACTTTAACATCTTCATAGCTCCTTTTTTCCCTGGTAATATTGAAAGGATTACCCTTGCTGGCCCCTGGGTGGTTGCTGTGTGGTTTTACTGTTATTAAATCTATTATAAACTGCTTCATTATTCCTGAAGCTGACTCTGCCACTCCTCTAATCCTTCCGTCGTCCTCGCAGAAACCCCACGCTGGTGGCCCCCAGGAAACCCGCGCTCGAGCCACAGTCCTGCAGACGGTGTTTGAAGATTACGTGCACTCCAGTGAGAGGACGCTCTCCTGGGCAAAGAAAGGTCAGTCGGCTTCCTGGGTGGCTGTGGGCCGTGAGCACTGCAGGGTGCTGCCCCGCACCTTCGCCCCGTGCCCCGAGGAGGTGGAGAGGCCACCCAGGGATCACTGCTCACCAGCAAGGGCTCGGAAGCGGCCACGGAAGGCTTTAAAGTGATATGAAATGTTAACTCCATCCTTCCCCGTGCTCTGCACAAACGGGGCTTTCCCTTGGCTTACATCAGGCCCAGAGCTTTGACCTAACAGCTTGGATCTTGGGGATCTGTTTTTTTCTTTCTGTGAAAACCAGGTAGAAGAGAGGTGACACATCAGTGGAGGTAGTTGTAGAGATGGAGGTAAGAGCTGGGAATATCAGAGCTAGGCAGTTCCTATTTGAAGGTAGAAAGAAATGGGAAGTAACGGGGCCGAGCAAGGGCCACAGCCCTGCATCCAGTCCCTAGGAAATCTGTAGGAGCTGGGTATTGACTCAGTATTCATAACCTTTGTGGGATAAACTGGCTCCTGGGAACACCAGGCATTAGGCCGGACTCTGAGCAGTGCGCAGCGCTTGGGGAAGGGGCCGCTGATAGCTGGCGCTGTTCTCGGCCTTGGCTGTACCCACCTGTGTGCTGAGTCTTGGTCTGTGGTGGGGGAGCAGCTCAGGCCAGCCTACCAGTGTGGGCACCGGCGCATCCTCTTTCTATAAATAGAAACACCTTATTTGAAAATCATTCAACAGATACTTAGTGAATCGGGCACCATTCGGGTGCTTGGGACACATGAGCAGTTAGGACAGACAAAAACGCTCACCTGGTAGTGCGGCTCAGTGGTGGTGATGACCTTTGCAGACATCGTAAATAAATGAGTGGGTCTGTAAAGTGGGGAAGGGAGGTGAAGAGTGACGGACAGAGTGAGCCTGCCTGGGGCGGAGTCCTGTAGGGTTCGGAGGCTGTTGGGAGATGTTTGGGTTTTACCCAGAGTGAAAGGAGAGCCGCTGGGGGGCTCTGAGCAGGCAGGAGGTGTGGGGAGGGGGGAAGCCTCTAGACCGGGAGATGGTGGGGCAGCTGTGGGCCTCGGGAGGTTGAGGAGGACAGCAGTGTTTTAAGTGTCTGTTACATACGTGTAGCACCTGGTGAACAGTCCTTGCTGTCGCCATGGAGCTCAGATCACAACTGCAGGAGGTAACCGGTGAGGGCCCGCTGGTTGCCGCTTGTACAGAATTAGCGTGTCTCCTTCTAGACCTTTCTCTAGTAATAGCCTGCTGCAGCGTTTCCCCAGCGTCGGTTCTGCAAGTCCTGAGGGCTTTCCTAAGAAGCTGCCTCCAGAGACGGGCTGGGACGTCCGGTCAGGGCGCCTTCCCGCGGGGCCTGAGGTTGGCATCAGGCAGCTTCCGAAAGTCCTTGCGCAAGTGAAATGAAATGACAGCCGAAGCTTGTTTCTGTGCAAGGAATAATTGAAACCCTCGGTAGTTTTGCCCATAATACACGTTTTCCATGAACTTTTTGAAGACCCCCACTTACACAACAGCGGGTGTTGAGCCATTGAATTAGGGTAAATAGAAAAGTTGCAATGAAGGGCTGGCGCTGTGGCATAGCAGTAAGCCACCGCCTGCAGTGCCTGGATCTCATGTGGGCACCTGTTCTGTGGTGGGCTATGTTGGGCCTAAATTCCTATTCCAGGTTCTTGCTTCTTACTTGAAGTATTCTAAGTACAGGCACAAACACAGTGTACAAAGTGATGAAGTTTATTTTTATTTTTTTTATTTGACAGAGTTATAGTCGGTGAGAGAGAGAGAGAGACAGAGAGAAAGGTCATCCTTCCACTGGTTCACTCCCCTAATGGCCGCCACAGCCGGCGCTGCGCCGATCCGAAGTCAGGAGCCAGGTGCTTCTTCCTGGTCTCCTAAGCAGGTGCAGGGGCCCAAGCACTTGGGCCATCCTCCACTGCCCTCCCGGGCCACAGCAGAGAGCTGGCCTGGAAGAGGAGCAACCGGGACTAGAACCGGTGCCCATATGGGATGCCGGCGCCACAGGCAGAGGATTAACCAAGTGAGCCACGGCACAGGCCAGTGATGAAGTTTATTTAAAAGGCGAGGAAAGTGCACACACAGGCGGGCATTGTTCAGGGAGACTGCGCAGGAAGGGGAGAGGGATTTCCATACCCTGCCTGCTGTGGGGGCACGAGAAAAGCGAGCCCCCTCCCCTCTGCCAGGCTTCTTATGAGCTTAGAAAGGGGAGTGGTTACATGGGACCACCCCCAAGACCCAGGAAAGGGGAGGTACATGCTAGGGAAGGGGTCATTTGATTGACAGTTGGGTGGATGTGATTACATGGTGGGGGGAGGTGTGGCTTCCAGCTGGTGACTAATCCAGCTACCTGCCTTTCCCATATCAGAGCTCCTGGCTCGCAGCTTCAGCATGACTGGCCTGACCGCCTGACCGGCGCAGCCATCTGGGGAGTGAGCCAGTGGATGAAAATATCTCTCTCTGTCTCTCTCTCTTTCTCTAATTTTGCCTTTCAAATAAATAAGTCTTTTAAAAAAATATAAAAAATTGAAATGAAAAGAAACCCACACCATCGTCAGTTTTCGATTTGAGGATCGGTGGTGTTTTGGGGAGACGATAGTTATTTCAAGGCATCTGAGGTGTCTGGGTCACTGGGGTCAAGGTTGCATTAAGTAATTCTTAAGGAACATGGTTTGAGTTTTTCTCTCATTATTGTCAACATTGAACTTATTAATTCCAAGAAATAAGCAGCCACTTGTCTTGCCTAAAGGCCGTTGGAGCAAGGTCACTCCCCAACTGAGATGTTGTGTGCCATGAAGGAAACAGAGAGAACGTTTCTCTTGTTTGCTAATTGACTTACGCCCCAGGTCGCCCAGGTTGACGGAGCACTGGGACAAAACCTGTCAGCTGGGAGCTGTCCTGTTACTTAGGATTGTGAATCCCGGGGGATTGTGCAGTCCTGGCCACCCTGGAGGTGTGCATTTCCGGAACAACCCTATACTCCATAAGTTGACACCATCTTTTGCATTTCCATCTGCATATGCAAATTCCTCACTGCTGACTTGTTTCCCTTTAATACCATTTCAGAACCCACCTCATGAATAATTAACAAAAGCAGCTGGCTTTCGCTTTTATCGCAGAAACTAGTTGGAAACTGGGCCAAGTATGCGTTCGTTTTCCTTTTGCATTTTCTGACCCAGCACTTAATTGTCGTCAGTTTCCTGCTACTCCCTTGTTGCTTCTGGTGAGTTGTAAAAGCAGTACTAACATGAGCTGAACCAGAATTTGGAGAACGGGCTCTTTACCTGCAGGCGCCCGTTGCCCCTCTGGCTGACCTCCCTGCAGGGCAGGAGCTCCGTGTGTTGGATTTGTGCCTGCGCTTGCCAGGGATGCGTCCCAAAGTCCAGAAGACCCACACCAATGAGGACAGCTCCTTTTCCCCTCTGTGGGACCAGAGGCAGGCCGAGCCCTAGGCCAGAGGCTCTGTCCTTCCGCAGCCTCGGGGTGGCTGTGCCCGCTGGTGTGTCCCGTGGGCAGGTGTGTGTGCCCTGACCCCGCAGTAGGGTGCTGTTGTCGGAGGGGCGGGAGCGAGGACTGCCTTCACCTTTCCAGGATGGAGTCCTGGTCCTCTCTCGCGCCTTGATCTGAAGGAGGCCACCCTTCTGAAGGAGGACGAGCCGTCCGGGCCGGTGTCCTAGAACAGACGTGCCCTGGACTTCCTCGGGCGAAGAGGAAGCAGCGAGTACAGAGTGTCCACCACCTGGCTACTTCACTTCCGCTGCGTGGTCCCACAGCCCTGTTCCCGTTGTACACTGTAGACGCTGCCTACTCTGGCCCCGCTGCAGCTACATTGCTGCTTGCCTGAGTTACCCAAGCGTGGGGTTCCTTGCAGGTCTGTGAGGACAGCAGCTGTCACTGTCCCCAGTGAGACAAGAGCCTTGAGGAGAGGGAGCGCGAGAGGCGCCCTGACCAGTGTCGGGGGAGAGGACGTCTGCCATTCTTAGCAAGCTTGTTCCCCCATAAGGCTGTTGGCTGGGCACGTGCACCTCCTGGAGCCCGTGCTGTGTGCTCGGCTCCTGGGACTGGTGCGGAGAGGGAGGGGAAGGAGGTGAGCGAGGCCGCTGCCTCCAGACGCCCTGCCCACACGGAGGCTGAGGGTGGTGAGAAGGGACAAGACCTGGGCCGCGACTGGGCTGCTGTGAAAGCGCAGACGCTCGGTTGGCTTTGGCTTGACTTGGTTCCAGAGTGAATGTCGGGGTATGAAGGAGAGGGAGGCAGAGAAGCAGAGGCTGACCCTCTGGAGTCCTCGCCACGGGAGTCTCTCCAAGGACTGGAGTGTGTGGCTCTGTGTCTGAGAGCCTGTGGCTGCCCCAGACAGCACAGACCATTTGAAGTGTTAAAGGTTTCTTGGAAAACCAAGTCCCTGGTTATTAAAAAGGGGAGGAAGCACCGATTTCAGAGAGGGGTGCTGAGGAGCTGCCTCGGTTATTATTTCTCATCGATTGGGAAAAGGAGTTCACTTTGCTCAGTAAACAGAGCTTTGATGGATTCCCAGGATCCTTCCAGGAGCTGATCTGCTAAAATGACACTTTTTATTACTGTTCATAAACGCCGATCTCCAGGTGCTGCTGGGGTATCACGTTTAAGCTGTGGGCAAACTTGCCAGTCCAGTGGCTCAACAGGCAAGGGTGAGGGGGGCTGTGAGGCCAAGCCTCCTCCTTCAGTGCAGGGCTGGGAACAGGGGAGCAGCACCCAGCACTGGGACAGGGGGAGCAGCACCCAGCACCCGGGACAGGGGGGCTGGGAACAGGAGGAGTAGCACCCAGCACTGGGACAGGAGGGCTGGGAACAGGAGGAGCAGCACTCAGCACTGGGACAGGAGGGCTGGGAACAGAAGGAGTAGCACTCAGCACTGGGATGGGGGGCTGGGAACAGGGGAGCAGCACCCAGCACCCGGGACAGAAGGGCTGGGAACAGAAGGAGTAGCACTCAGCACTGGGATGGGGGGCTGGGAACAGGGGAGCAGCACCCAGCACAGGGGACAGCAGCGCATCCCATCGCTCCCCACCCCCACTCCTGTCCCCACCCCCGTTGCGGGGAGAAGAGGGCAGATGCCCAGTGTTCACTGCTACCTCTTCCCCGGGAAGGTCTCTCCTCAAAGGAACGCCCTCTGATGTGCAGCCAGAGCCCACCCTCCCGGAGCCCACCCTCCCAGAGCCCACCCTGCCAGAGCCCACCCTCCCAGAGCCTGGCTGCTCCCTGCCCAGGGCTGGCTGTAGAACAAGCACCCCTTTCCCGAGACTCCTGCGAAATGTTTGGTGAACTTCTGTAAACCGTTGGCAGTCTTCAGGTTTGTGGACTGTTCCGCAGACTGTCTCAGGTACTGTTTCCTCTTGAGCAAGCCTTTTCCATTTCCTGGCGTACACATTCTTTGAATGAGTAGAAAGCCCACTAAGGGTCCTTCAGGCATCCAAGACTAAGGCGTGGTGGTGGTTGCCCCAGGCTGGGGGAGCTGAGGCAGGCTCTGGTGGACGGGCCCTCAGGGCAGCGGCCTTTGACAGGGTTTAAACACTTGTGTGCATTAACTACTACAAAAAAAATACTAGGTTCTAATTAGGAAAAATTTTCCCAGTGCGCGTGCGACTTTCTCGGCTCCATAAGAAAACACGCTCCTAACCTGAACATTTCCTGGGTTCCTCGCTGATCCTCGCGTTACTCGTTTACCCAGCAAACGTCAATCCCCTGGGCCTGCTGGGGCCGAGCCACAGGCTGAGTCAGGTCAGCAGTGTCACTAGCTTTAGACGGCTGATGGTTACGGCCTGGAATTTTTCTGTTTTTTGGTGAGTTTTCGGTTGAGGGTCGCAGTGGCCGTGGTAACCGTCCTGGCTGGACAGCTGTAGCCTGGAGAGAGACCCCAGTCCTGACAGTGTCCCCCCACCTTCCCCCCAGCTCTGCAGTCTTTCATCCGCGCCTACGCCACCTACCCCCGGGAGCTGAAGCACATCTTCCACGTCCGATCCCTCCACCTGGGGCATGTGGCCAAGAGCTTCGGGCTTAGAGATGCCCCCCAAAACCTCAGTGTCTCGGCTGGAAAGAAGAGGAGAGCCGGCATGAAGAGGTGAGGCGAGCCGAAGGTGGCCTGTGGCAGGCGGCCGGCGGTCCGAGGGTGTTCGGGGAGCGTGGCACGGTCAGAGCTGCGGGGGGGCTGTGGCCACCCCGAAAGTATCTGAGCTGTGTGTGAAGGCTCCTGGTACAGTGCACGTGGCCAGCTGTGCTGCTGTGGGAGCAAGCTGGGACCAGTGGGGTGAGGGTGCGGGTCCAGGGGCTGCTGGAGCCCAGGCTCCCAGCCAGTGGACCCCGGGGTTGGCCCTGGGCTGGACGCCACATGTTACTCTCCGCGGTGCTGAGGGCCTCCTCTCATCCTGCGCACTGAGGCAGGAGAGTGGGTGTTCCCCTACCCAGAAGGCGTGCGTCCAGGGCCGTCCCGAAGCCCTGGTGAGAGCAGAGCCTGGGTGAGGGGTGTTGGCCTTGGTGGGCTGGGCTCTGGGTCCAGCTTCACAGAGCGGGGGTGGTTCTGTAGAAGGTCTTCTGTCCTCAGAGAAGTGCATTCGGAGCAGCGGGCTGAGCGGGAAGCGGCACAAAGGCCTGCGGTCCCAGGACAAGGACCGCTCCTGCGGGCGTCAACTGCAGACGCACTGACTGGGGTCCCTGGGGGATCCTGCCGTTCCCTGGCCGAGTGTGTGACAGACACGCTCCCCGAGGAGTGCTGGGGACCCCAGCAGCCAGGCAGGGCCAGGTTTCTCTGGCCTGTTCTGGCAGAGGGAGAGGGAGCCCCGTGAGGGAAGTGACCGCTGATCCTGCAGCAAGGGAACCGGGGTTTCAGGTCCGTTCTGGTGAGAGCTCCGTTTGCCTTCATGTCTCAGAGCCCCAGGTCCTGGACTATGAAAGGTTGGAAGAAAATCCCTTTTTGGGGAATCCCCAGGCTTGTTTTGAGAGTCAGAATTAGGGGACCCAGCAGACCCTGCGGGGCCCTGCCCATGACGCTCCCTAGGCAGAATGCCAAAAAGTGGTAGAGTTCAGATCCGGGGACGTCCGTGGCTCAGTGTGTGGGCCTGTACCCACCGGGCTCTTTGTGGTGGCTGTGCACTACCTAATTCTGGTTTCAGTTTTGGGGTTTTATTGTGCTTGCAGTAACGCCTTATAGTGTGGTTCCCGAGGCAGACACCGGCGCTCTCTCCGCATGTGCTGTGCTGCAGTGCCTGGGTGAGAGAGGGCACGCCTGGCGAGATTTCTCTGCCCACCCTTTGCTGCTGAGTAGGTCTCTTGCCAGCTCCACTCCCAGGCAGGCACCGTGGCAGCAGAATTCGGGGTCACAGCGCGTGAGAGTTGGGTCCCTGTCTGGATTTGGCTCGCTGCATTGCACATGTTCAGTGCCGGGGAGCGTGCAACAAACCTGACCGTGCTGACGCTCTGGGAAGGTAGGGATGCACTGCCAGACGATCACTGTGGAGAAACACATCATCTTAGTTTATTCCTCTCCCTGAAAATAAATGAGTCCTAATGTTTTCTTCTTAGCAGATGATGTTAGGACTGGAGACTTCATTAGCAAGTGTTAACCCAGGCAGCAGCTCTTCAGACTGGGACGTCCACAGCTCCTGCCCAGGTCCTGGAAAGCCAGGCGCAGGCAGTTGGGTGGGGGAATTGGCGACGGCATTGTCCTCACCTTGCGAAGTCGCTAGGGAGGGAGCAACTGCCGCCTCCCGCCTCAGCTGACCCGGGGTAGCAGATGGGCACCAGGACCACTGTACCCCTCTGAGCCGGGACTTAACAGGCTTTATCCAGGGAAGAATGGGCTGATCAGCCGATAAAGAGCATGTTAGATGGTCTGGGGTAGCCTTTGATGTCTGGCTGGCGCGGCGGGAGCCAGAGGGTGAGCGACAGCAGTGTCACAGGATTACTCCGCGCGTGACAATGCTGCTCTCTGTCCTTGCCACGTCGCCACTCCGCTGCGGCCACTTGTCCGTTGTTAGGCCTTTCTCTTGAAGGTGCTTCCTGGCACCTGCCCCCACCTCTGCCTCGCAGACGGGCGCTCGGGGTGCAGCAGGTACCTGCTCTGTTTGGGAGCGCCTTGTCTTTCGGGACAAGGAGTGACTGCGCAGCTGACCCGCGTGGGGACCGGCTAACCGTGGTCGGGGAGGCAGCAGAGGGGATTTGAGGTTTTCCACACCTCAGAGGGCTCAGGCAAGCGCCCGTTGCTGCTCTGAGGGTGGAGCGCGAAGTCCGCTGACGCCCACAAAGTGGGGGGAGCTGTGCTTGCCATTCGAGCCGAAATCGCTCGGCTGCCCCGTCTGTCCCGGGAGAGAGGGCTCCTCGTGCTCGCGGGCTGAGCACAGTCAAGGCCCGACTGCTCTGAGCTGCCGTGCCTCCCGGCCAGGGCGGGCGCTGCCAGATGGCTGTGTAACGTGAGCTCACCTGCGTGCCTGCGGGCCACGCCCATCAGGGGAAGCCAGCCCGCATCGCCTACAGCCCGGAGAGGGAGTGCGCGTGGTGTTCAGATGTGAGTCCAGGGCAGCTGAGGTGAGGAAGCCATCGGTGACAGCGGGCGTCAGCCCCGGACTCGACCTCTTCTCAGAAAACTAAATGGGTAATGTCCCCAGATTAGGTCTTCATGATCAGGTATCTGTCGACTGGCACACTCCCCAGCTCACTGCCGTCCCTCTGCACAGAGACACATGGCTGTCAGGGCAGCGCCCGGCCCAGACACCCACAGGCACAGGTGCACCCACAGTGGGTGCCCTTGTGAAATAGCACTTACAGCTCTCGTCACAGAACAGCGTTTTCTCCTGTGAGACACGGTCTTGCTTTGACGCTCAGTGGATTCCGCAGCTCCGGGAAGCAAAGGCAACGTCTGCGTCTTTCGAGGAGACCGAGCGTGGCCCTGGCTGCCGGGAGAGGCCTGCATGTGCGTGCCAGGGTGTCTGTGCATGCGTCTCCACAGGGACAGGTGCCGGGAGCAGGTGTGCCGTGGAGCCCTGGTGCTCTCCCCGTCCGAGGTGGGGCAGGAAAGAAGCCAGTGTCCCCAGGGCCCTGGTGCCCTATCCTGCGTGGAAGAACCAGGCTGCTGCTGCCAGACCACCCGCCCTGCTGCGGGCGGGTTTCATGCCGAGCCCCAGGGCCTCTCCCTCCCTGGGCGATTCCATTTGCAGCCCCTCCCCCAGCTGCTTCCATCTATGTCTCTGGTGCCACTCGTAGTGCCTGGGAACACCTGGTACATCGTTGTTATCAGTGGTTGGATAATCCTGTTCCCCTATTCACAGCACGCGCGCTCGCTCACTCTTTTTTTTTTTTTTTTTTTTTTTTTTAAGATTTACTTATTTGAAAGAGTTACAGAGTGGGAGAGGCAGTGGGAAAGAGAGAGAAGACTTCCTTCTACTACTTCACTCCCCAAATGGCCACAACAGCCAGGGTTGGCCAGGCTGAAGCCAGGAGCCGGGAACCCCTTGCAGGTCTCCCACGTGGGCCTGCCTCCTGTTCCTTTAATGCCTGCTAGGGAAGCATCTGGACTGCGTCCTAGCTGGGCCACTTGTCTGCCTCTGGGCAAGTCACTCAGTCTCTGTGCCCTCACCTCTCAGGGGGCTCCTGACACCTCAGGGTTACCGTGGGGATTGTCCCAAGGGGTGAGCGTGACGTTCCGGACAAGCCTGGGAGGCCTGGCTGTGGCACTGATGCCCACCTAATGGCTCCTTTCCCGTGGCCTCCGTCAGCCTTACAAGGCCCCCAGAATGGAGCGAGGGAGCTGGAGTGTGGCTCTTCTCGCCATGGCAACTTTCCGCACTCTTGAAGTTTTCTGGGCAGGAACAGCCTGGAACGCGGCCCTGGGCCTGCAGGACCGGCGTGAAGAGGCTGCAGCCTCGTCTCCCCTGCAGCGAGGTTCTCGTCCTTAGGAGCCCCTGCTGCCAGCGTTCACGTGGCCTGCACCCCCGTGTCACTCAGTTAGCTGGAGGCACACCTGGAATGCTGCCACAGTGAAGGTGTTCTCGGTCCCGCAGAGGCAGAGGGGCCAGCTCTGCGGTGCTTCCCCGGGCTCCTCTGTGCCCGCTCAGCACCACGACCTCAGCACCTGGGGTCCCTCGGCCCCCCTGGCCTCGCCTCCCCTCAGTTCCAGGCTCAGCCCCTCAGCTAACTGAACCGTGTGTTTGCCTTCCCAGTCTCCCCATGGCCGCTGCACAGCCTGCCTGGGTGCCACATCCTCGCCCATCTGGCCCTGGCCTAGAGCCTCTCAGTGACATCCCTTATGCTGGCGATTGAAGCAACCTCAGACCCATCCTCGCAAGGTCCTCGTGGCCTGCTCCCTCGCTGACCGTGCCCTGGGCTCCCTGGCTGTGGAGCAGGTGCACGCCCTTGTGCCCCACACGGGCCACGCGCTGGCCTGGCGGCCATTCTCCATCTGTCTGCAGTTCCTTAGCTGTGTGGTGGTGCAGAGCAGAAGCCCAGCCTGGGGTCTGCTCACCTTGGTCCCTGGCGCACAGCCGTGCCCGGGAAGTGTCTGAGCGCCGGAGTGGCAACTGGGATGCTCTCGTTCAGAGCGGAAGTGCTGGAAGGAGGCTCCGGTGTGGGAAGTCAGTCCTCCTTCACTGCCTGGTGACCCTGACAGCAAGCCCTGCCTGGTGGGGACCCTGTCTTTGGAGCCCCCTGCACACATGGGTCCATCTGTCCCGAGAACCACTTGGGGGGGTGGCGGCGCCCCCTGCTGGCAGCCGACGTCTTCAGTTCCCTTGGCTTCCCCATAGGAGGCCTGGGCATCAGCCCTACTGAGGAGGAAGTGGGCGTGGTCTGAATCACCGTGGCCACCCCTACTCTCCTGAGGCCAGAAAAGACATCAGGCAGGGTCAGAGCCCTCACCTGGCCTGAGGACCAGAAAAAAAGTGAGGCCCGTTCACAGGAAGTGTGGGGACAGGTGTGTTTGGTGTGCGAGATAGAATCTGCTGGCTGCTGGGTGAAAATGCAGATGCCCCAGGCCCCAGCCTAGATAGTGGTTTGGTAGTCTAAAGGCATAAAGAATGAGATACAGGTGACCATGAATTTGACCCAGGGACAGCCTTTGGGGACTTGAAGGGA